AAAATAAAATCTTAGTACCGAATATGTATAGATGAATTCACACAGTTTCTACGAACCTATTGTTCGAATGGTGTTTGATTTTGAATTGCATTGTTGGTTTCGATTTGCCAAATAACTAGAAGTAGCCAAGTTATGGTGAATTTGCATCTATCATCAATGCTACGTTCCGCAACTCAGTTTTGGTGTGGAGTGAAAGATGCGGTTTTTTTTAGAACAGGGGGCAAACGGGCAGGAGACTCACCTGATGTCAAGTGATACCGCCGCCCATGGACACTATCAATGCGAGAGGGCTCGCGAGTGCGTTGCCGGCCTTTTAACAATTGGTACGCTCTTTTCTTCAATGACCCTAAGTCGAATTGGTTCGGAAATACTTCAGTGGGCAGCTGGTTCCACATAGTGGTGGTAAGCGGGAAAAACTGCCTTGAAAAACGCTCAGTTGTGGAACGGCGGACGTCGAGGTGATACGGATGGAATTTCGTATTCTGCCTTGACGTCCGATGATGAAACTCAGCTGCAGGTATTAATCCGAACAGCTCCTCTGAACACGTCGGTAAGATGTCTTTGGATACCACACTGTTTTAAATACGTGAAACTGCTTATTATCATTTAGCTTATAAACTTTGCTGCCACATAGCCGTGGTCTTTTCGGTCTGGGCCAATGCAAGGCGAGCCAGGCGGCTGCCGGTGTAACGGTAATTGCGGCGGTCGCCTACCAAGTTCGTTTTTTCGTGTATGAAGCTTAGGTTTCCTAGCAAAGCGGTGCCGTTAACTTTTACTTTTTAACATAATGCAAAAAAACAATCATTTTCGCTCGTCCAAGTCACGTTTCCACTCATTGTATTAATTAAATATGGGCACCGCTACACGCGAAAAATGTTTAACTAATGTTTATCACCGCTATGACGGCCGTCATGCAAATGACAGCACCGCTATTTGACGTTACGGTGACACAACATTTTCTAGAAACCCTACTCCGATGTTATTTATAGACAACGTATGGGTGACGTCACCCAACGTTACATTACGGCCGTTAGATAACGGCACCGCTTTTCTAGGGAACCTAAGCTTTACGCTGACGCCACTAGAGCAACACAACTACTAGAATAGACAGTGAATTATAAATAAAAGAATTGTCTTCAAAATAAACCTTTATTCTCAATCATTAATCTTTGTACAATGCCTTCGCATATCAAGTATATTCGAGGGATAAATAAAACATTATATACAATGGCGTTACAGAGGCCTTGATCCTCTTCAAAGCGTATAGTTTGCGCTAACCAGGCATTATAGGAACGCGTATCTAACCTACTGTTTCAAGTTTAAATAATATCACAATATTTACAAATTGCAAAACATAATTGCAAAAACTGATTCGACTTAGTCATTCGAGTGATTTAAAGAGATTTAAATAATGCCGTTTTGATTTTTTTACTGAAATATAAAACTACTAGAAGTAGTATTTAGGAACACTTTAGAAGTTTATAAAGTGTTACATACATATTTGATTGTAGTCAATAGTTGGTTGACTACAATCAAATATGTATGTTGTCCTATCACTCTCGTGTCACTGAAATGAAATCGTGATAAAGAATAATTTGAGATGTAACTTCTAGTAGTTACTTATTTATAATATTATAAGTAACTACTAGAAATATCTATCCATCACATTTTATTATTATTAAATCTAAGTAATGGCATTTATTGCTAATATTAAGATGTATTTTATATTGGTTGACGAAACTGTACTTAGTGTTATATTGTTTCATTATAATATTGGGAACATTGTCATAGGGAGCGTTCAAGTATTACGTAACGAATTTGGGGGGGTCCTTTTGTATAACGTTACAATGCGGGGCGGGGATTCAATTACGCGTTATTGTTAATATTATTTTCGACATTCAAGTACTTTACATAATGATAACTTTTAGGTATGTCACTAGGTGGTGACGAAACGTTTTACTATACTTGGGTACAGTACTGTACTAGGGTACAAAAAAACGTTACGGCGCGTTACATGGGGGTGTCAATAATCTCCAAAAATTGCGTGACGTAATAGTTCAACGCTCCCTTATACAATCTTAAATCCCATACATCTGTAGCTCTTATAAAAGAATAATAACAGGTGGCAATACATTAAATTTTGATAGGCAATAAGTAAAAAATTACTCAGAATTTTTTAAATAATTTTCTGCACCTAACGGTCTGCTCTATCGACTTCGATTTATGAGACTCTGTATACTAACAGTGCTGCATTGTAAAATACACCTAAAGACTCAGCAATAACACCTCGAAATAGTTTTAAAATGACTATAATGAAATCTCTTATTATTTGCACCATTTCATTGATTTAAAATCACTGGACACAAGTCCTAAATACTTTAGATTCGAGGCATTCGAAGGCACTAGCCGAGATACGGCCTCGCCGTCTACTCTAGTATTAACATAATCCCAAATTTCATAATACAGGTAAAATTAACCATTTAAAACTAAAACAGTCTAATGTTTTTTCTCTCTTTGAGATTCTAAGTTATATTTTAAATCTACGGTAAATTTTAAATTGAAAAATACATTTTCTCGAGAATTAATAGATTTATTTTATTTTAAAGTGAAACTCCTAGTGACGCCGTTAAGTACAGTTTCAGTTGAAGTAAGTTCAAAACTAAGAATTAAAGTCAGTTCTTAGCTGTGGTCGTAATAACACGATTAAAAGAATGTTATTTAATTATAAATTTTGACAGATGCTTAAAACTATAGACTGATTTAGTTTTGACAAAAAGAGGGTACATCTTAAAGATTCCGGAAAGCCGTTTTACAAATTGCTTGGATTTTTTAGTATCAATATTATTTACATATTACTACACTATCTTCACTGGTATAAGTCTAAAAACTTACATTTCCTTTGAAAATATATACTTCTGGTTAAGACATTGGCAAAAAAATAAATGCCCATACCGTCATTATCGTATAACAATGTCGGATTTGAAAAAAGTCCTAAATCCAATTTTAATAATATTTGTATACTACATTGACTAAATATTACGGATACATTAAAAAATCCATGTGTTTTAAATTTCAAATTAATCAGATGCTTCTAGAAAACTGTGTAATTTAATGTTATTATTTTTATTTTTATTCAAAACAAACCCTTTTGTTTGCTTGTATACCAATTTTCATAATAACAGAATATGAATTAAAATAGTTATGACAAAAACTAACATGATTATATTATTTTGAAATGGCTGCCCTGTAAAGCTTACTATTTGTCAGATCCGTCACTATTCTACGACTATGACGATACATTTTCCCGTTCTTAACGTTTTTGGTTTCATTGATGTGGGCCTTATGAAAAAGTAAAGATAGTACCTTTTTTTTACTATATTTCCATGTAAAAATGGTTACCATGGTAACAGAAATGATTCTATCCAATCCAAAAGGGTTTAACATAAACGGGGTCATATCTGACTATGTGATATTTAAAGAACAATTTCAGCAATTATGAAAATGAACTAAATTTCACAGTTTCAAATCATTACTATAATTGTAAAGCTTTCTAAAAGTGAATCAATATCATTTTTTCAATTAAAGAAGTTTTACTAAGGGAGCGTTCAAGTATTACGTAACGATTTTGGGGGGGGCTGCAAAACGTTACGATGCGGGGCGGGGATTGAATTACGCGTTATTGTTAATATTATTTTCGACTTTCCAGTACTTTACACCACATAATGGTATCTTTTAGATATAAAGAGTCACTAGGTGGTCACAGTACTATTCTTGGGTACAGGAAAACGTTACGGCGCGTTACTTGGGGGGGTTTAAAAATCTCTAAAAATTTCGGGACGCACCAAATGATTACCAAAAACAATATAAATTTTATTACAATTGTACAATTCATCAATACAAAGGTACACACAGTCACACTGTTCTAACTATATCTGTCTCTTTTCATTACATAGTAACACAATTCGATAGAAAGAGACGGCTATGTTTTTGTGAATAAGAGTCTTTACAATACTAAACTTCATGTATATAGATGTTGAATGTTTTGTCTCGTTTTTAATAAGAAATTGACCCAAGAGTGATAAGGACAAACCATTCAATAGCCAGATGCAATAAAATAAGTAGCTGCTCGTTTATGTGCGAAGTTGTACGTTAGAATTTTTTTTACATAATAAGGTACTATTACCAGCTGATTATATTAAGGGCGATTTTGCTATTTTTAATTCGAAAACTATAACAAATATTATAGTAACGAAAGTTTACTCCACTTGCAAATTATTTTTTTTAAACCTTGCCTAGCCTGTTAAATAGATAATGTAATCACGACTTACTTTAAAAAAGTCTTTCTCTTTTCCTAAGGGAGCGTTCAAGTATTACGTAACGGAGATTATTGACACCCCCCCCATGTAACTCGCCGTAACGTTATTCAGTACCCAAGTATAGTAAAATGTTTCGTAACCACCTAGTGACTCTTTAGTTACTATTATGTTGTGTAAGTCGAAAAAAATATTAACAATAACGCGTAATTGAATCCCCGCCCCGCATCGTAACGTTTTACAAAAGGACCCCCCCTCCCAAAATACGTTACGTAATACTTGAATGCTCCGTAACGCAAAGACAGAAAGAGACGAAAGAGTACTTTAGTTAGGGCAATTAGACTGATTTAGTTTTTAGACTCTACCTGGTACTATCTAATATATTGTGAAATATTTATATTTAATGAGCTATGAATTAATTACTACTTTATTGGACTATTATACACGTAGATGACATATGGCATTTGACGGTTTTCGAACTGATACTCGCTGCCCAATGGTATACAAATAAATAAATTATTAATAATTAAATTAAAAATAGCAAAAAGCCCTGACCACGCGACGACAATGCGAAATTCCGTATATAAATACACTGTCGCTGAACTCACCACTAGTCGCAAATCGCGCGACTACACCCGTTTGCCTTATTATACCTTAGGTATGTGCGCGTGTGCGCGTACGTGTACGTCAGAAGCGCCGTAGGGCTGCGGCGGCACCGGCCGTGGCTTTACGCGTCGGTTGCACTGATAGTGGTGCTACTAATACTTCGCTGGCCTCTCCAGCACCTCCGCTGCTGCCCATTTCCTGAAAATTTAACAATAAATTTGTAAAGATATTTTTAAAGTTATCCGCATGCAATTCCTAGTCTACCGTATGTCAAAGCTGTATTTTGTATTCTCTCTCCCTAAAATATGGCGAGGGGGCAGATGGCTGACCATGCGTTATATTCGTGAATGGGTGCTACTTGTGGTGACTGGTCGTACTTGAATTCGTCTATGCGGTGATGTATTTTTTTTTTTGTAAAAGGCAAACGGGCAGGAGGCTCATCTGATGTTAAGTGATATCGCCAGCGAAGGACAATCACACTGCCAAAAGGCTCGCAATTTTAGGAAGTTAGTAGGTACGCTCTTTTCTTGAAGGACCCTAAGTCGACTTGGTTCGGAAATACTTCAGTGGGCAGCTGGTTCCACATAGTGGTTGGTGCGCGGCAAACTGCCTTGAAAAACGCTCAGTTGTGGAACGACAAACAACACGAGAATGTAAGTGCGTGCTCCTATTTCAATTTCATGCCTACTGCTGATAGAGGACAAATCTTTGTTTTTTATTACCAATTACTTAAAGATTTCATGTGGAATATGGTGTAATGGTTGCAGATCATACATTTTGTAAAACAAAAAACTTGGCTATTAAAAGAGTGGAGTAGAGTTTATTGCCAGTTCTTCTCTTCCGTTCTACGCCCTTGATTTGAGAACTGGCAGTAAATGTAAAATTAGATTTTTTATATTTGAATTTGGACTTACAAACTGCTATTTACTAATTAACGCTTATAGTATGTTTATGAATAAAAAAATAAATCAGTGGCGCTACAACCTCTTTAGGTATCCGATTTTTGAATCTGTTTCATGATCATTTTTAAATCTAATAGTCAAGGAGATGATCACCCTCCAGTGACACACGCCGTCGACTTTTTGGGTCTAAGACATGTCGGTTTCCTCACGATGTTTTCCTTCACCGTTCGAGCGAATGTTAAATGCGCACATAGAAAGATAGTCCCTTGGTGCACAGCCGGGGATCGAACCTGCGACCACAGAGACGAGAGTCGCACGCTGAAGCCACTAGGCCAACACTGCTCCCATGTTTATGAATAAGACTAACTTACATTGATATTGTTGCAGCTAGCGAGCCTCATCTGAGCGAGCTGCTGTGAGGCAGGCGTCAAACTGGACGTCGAACCAAATGGCGAGATTATTGACGACATCGCTCTCTTTAATTTCGACGGTGTTTTGTTAAAAGACAACGCCCTCTCCACCTGAAAACATTTGGAAAGAAGATCAGTAACGACCGCAGTTTTGCCCATTATACGCAAACCCGCTAGATAACTCACGATTGATTAAGGGAGCGTTCAAGTATTACGTAACGAATTTGGGGGGTCCTTTTGTAAAACGTAACGATTCGGGGCGGGGATTGAATTACGCGCTATTGTTAATATTATTTTCGACTTTCCAGTACTTGACACCACATAATGGTAACTTTTAGGTATAAAGAATCATTAGGTAGTCACGAAACGTTTTACTATACTTGGGAACAGTACTGTTCTAGGGTACAGAAAAGCGTTACGGCGCATTACATGGGGGGGTTTAAATAATCTCCAAAAATTACGTGACGTAATACTTGAACGCTCCCTAACTCGTGTGATCATTTATTCAAATAACTGTTGTTGTTTATAAATACTAGTAATATAAGACTATTGAATTACAAAAATTCTTTGATGATTTCATAAAAATGGCTAAAAACTAGTGTTTAGTATCAGTAGCTTAGCGTTATCTACTTCTTTTGATTACCCTTTTATACTAAACCATAGTTAGCGACCATTGCATGACTCCGTGTATCGTGTATTGTTTGGTGAGTGAAATAACTTTTTATTATGATATGTATGAAGCTACAGTCTAGTACTTTAAAAATCTTAATCAATATTGCAATAAACATAATAAGGGACCTCAGATACAATTCTAATGTGTTTGTATGGAATTAATGTGTTCTGACCAATCTGACACCACATTAAAAATTTTTATGCATTATATTATACTCTGATTTTTAATTCCGTAGAATTCTGAATGAATTTCATTTCATAAGTGTTGCTACTAAATAAGTTCTCCACTGAAAAGGGACGAATTTGACCTATTTGAAGGCAATAAAACATCAAATGCGACGTATTTTTCACGTTCTATCTATAAAAAGGTACTCGTAAATCTAAATATTTACTTTCTCAAGTGACCTAATAGAAAAATAACAAATATTTAAGTATTACGAACAATATATCGAATTAACTTTAAATACATTATTTTATTCCTTAGCTGGCATCACTGCCTACTTATTCCAGGTTTCGTAAACCTTTTAAAAAAATAAAATGTTATCTTTTCTTATGCGTTTTTTTACTGTTATTGATGAAAAGGGACGCAATTATCACTCGCCGTAAAACCACTTTTAATGTGGACCACCCCGCACCTAATAAAATGGATACATTCACTAACAAATAAAATGTATGAATAGACTCGGATGTTCAGACTCGAATTGAAATTGAAAAATGTACCTGGCCAAGAGATTTGTCATCTCTGACATGTCGCAAAAATTATAGCTGTCAGAATTCTACGGACTTAAAAATCAGAGTATAGAACATTCTTGAAATTTTCATGTTTCTTTATAAATAGCTTCAAATGTGTTTTATCATAACGATAAAGATAACAAATTCTATATGTAAGGCATGAATGGAGTCGATAATGAGAACCGATTGTAGTATGAATCGTTAGTAAATGTGAAAACCTATTTTACAAAGGGTATAGCACGCTCACAAACTATAGTAATGTCAAGTACAAGATGTAAGAACTGTTTGTGTATTTGTTCAATCCAAGTGCAACCAAAAACCAATAGAAGAAGTGTTAAACGAAATAGAAAAGTTAAAAGGCTTGCTCAGTAGAAATTTTTACCAGAATTACCCAGAATAGTGATACTTATAGTTGGAACGCCGTTGGCGTAGACTTACTATTCACGATTTGCGTGAATTTTCTGACGTCCAGGATTTCGAATCAAAAAACGATATCCTACGGTCGGCTCAGAACATTCTATTAAACACCTGCCTTATTTTTTTTATATATACGAGCAGGAGGCTCATCTGATGTTAAGTGATACCACCGCCCATGGACACTCAATGCCAGAGGGCTCGCGAGTGAGTTGCCGGTGTTTTAAGAATTGGTACGCTAATTTTCTTGAATGACCTTAAGTCGAATTACTTCGGAAATACTTCAGTGATCAGCTGGTTCCACAGTGGTGGTGCGCGGCAAAAACTGCCTTAAAAAATGCTCAAATGTGGAACGGCGGACGTCGAGATAATACGCAATTAACTATGAGCAACTCCTGCGCAAGATATTTCTCTAGCATTTTAACTTACTTTCGAGCAACCCATGTCTATTATACAGTTGATGATGGTCAACCGAAAGCAACCCAGAGAGTTTGAGTAAGCCTCAAACATAAGAAGAGAGTGTGAAAATTGTGCAACCATGAAACCAATGTGAAAGCGTGGTGAATAAGCCTGTCGGATGCGGTTAGTGTTGTCGCGTGGCAGACCTGCGGGAGTAAGTGAGCGCGCAATACCCAAGTGTCAAGGAGCGCAGCGGAAGGCGCCGCTCGCAGCCACCCGCCCAGACCTGCCAGCGCCTCCAGCTATAAAAGATCTCCTTTAATAATAGAGTATAAGCCCTCTATCTCCTCTACGATTAAATCTTGTCTGATATGAAACTGTGGCGTTACGTTGCGGTTTGTAATAGTAAGAGATCTCTTTTAACATTTTATCCTTGTGCGTACAAAAGCGTATTTACATTTTACATAAAAAGACTTTATACCTATCTGTTTTTAAACTGTGTTTTTTCAAATCAAAAATACTTTTTTAAACTATATGTAACTAAAGACATCATTTAAATGAATTCTGAAGACTTCTGGAAATAATTATTAAGGCATTAAAAAATCTTTAATGCGTACACCAACTGTGCGACATTAAACAAACTTATGTAAATTAATAAAAATAGTTTGCAAAAGGCGTGACCCACTAATACTAACTATTTTTTATGGAAATATAAGTTATCTTCTTCTTCTATTCTCCATAAATTGTTTCCAATTGATTTACCAACTGTATGCTTGATTCGTTATAAATAATTTATATTTCTTTCTGTCTTAAGTGTCCAGCACATTTTTTTGCAATCGAATCGTTAATATTAACGATTATATTTGTATGTTACAGGCGGTAAACGGGCCGGAGTCTCATCTGATGTTAAGTGATACCGCCGCCCATGGACACTCGCACTGCCAGAAGGCTCGCAAGTGGGTTGCCGGCTTTTTAATAATTGGTACGCTCTTTCCTTACGCCCGAACCCAAAAATCAATCCACAATCTCGACAGGCGACCTTGACAGGCGATCGATCCATGGATTATGGATTGAGATAGGTTATTGGGTTCGTCCGTTAGTCGAATTGGTTCGGAAATACTTTAGTGGGGAGCTGGTTCCACATAGTGGTGGTGCGCGACAGAAATTACCTTAAGAAACGCTCAGTTGTGGAACGACGGACGTCAAGGTGATATGGAACATATACTAATACATACTGTATCAAATTAACATTTTCCGTCTTTATAATTAGGAGCGTTCTAGTATTACGTAACGAATTGGGGGGAGGGGTCCTTTTGTAAAACGTTACGATGAGGGGCGGGGATTGAATTACGCGTTATTGGTTATTATTATTCTCGACTTTCCAGTACTTTACACGTCATAATGGTAACTTTTAGGTATAAAGAGTCACTGGATGGTCACGAAACGTTTTACTATACTTGGGTACAAATGGGTTACATGGGGGTCATTAATCTCCAAAAAATTGCGTGACGTAATGTTTGAACGCTCCCTTATTACGTTACAATAACTTTCAAACACTCATTAAACACATTTTACAATTACGAATAAACATGTTATTTATCATGCTTTAGTTATAATACAACTATGACTTTTCATTTAAGTTTAAGGGTGAGGGTAAAATTCAGAAACGAGACTAACACAATACATTTTTGCTATACGGGAGTCACATTTGATATATGATTTAGTTAGGCCGACAACGCACTTGCGAGCCTTCTGGCAATGTGAGTGTCCATGGGCGGTATCACATAATATACCGTGAGACCCCTGTTACATTAAAAAAAAGACTTCTAGCACAGTCTCCTATATAGAAAGTTCAGATACATTTTTGACATAGGAGTTCTGAAATTTATGACCCATTTTTACAAGTGCGTTGCCGACCTTTTAAAAATTAGTTCGTTTTTTATCTCGAAGGACACGTATCTGAGCTCTAAATCTGAACCTGAGACCCACTCGAAACTCGAATATAATTTTATTTGCATAGTTAAAACCTTTTAGTTAAAACTTAACCTATAAAGTATCCGACATTTTCTGTTTAGAGAAGGCAATAAACAGGCACCATTTCAAACACCAGAATTTTTAGAATTAAAAAAAATACGTTTTAAGTCGGTAACAAATTAAAACATGATATTTCCCTTAAAAAATCTATAGTCCACGTTTTACACGCTAAATATCTTAAGAACTAAGTCGAACTCACCTTTATCCTAGTCTTTGCTGCGAACTTAGACACCTTTGAAAGCGTACTCAACGCCAGATCACTTGTATCGATGTCCAGTTGGTGCGACTCGAGGCACGCCAGAAATTTGTCCTGAAAATCATATTAAAAGTTTAATGACGAGACGAAATAAGTCCCTTCATCGACAATTTTTGAAGTGAAACTTCTTTAGGCGCATGAGGGTAAAATGTTTACGGATCGTCACGAAGATGTGCAGCGTTTTAGTCGAAGAAAAGGGAGAGAGCGATTGAGAGAGAGTGAGAAAGGGAGATCGAGAAAAAACACGCTATTGTATATTGTTGTACGTATTCGTTTAGTAGTGGAGCTATATCACAGGGATCCTCTGTTACTATGGGAGTACCGCAAGGCTCCATACTTGGTCCCTTCTTATGCCTCGTCTATATAAATGACCTACAATTTCTTGTAAAGGAGCTTCACGAGATAGTACTGTTTGCTGATGACACTTCGCTTTTATTTAAAGTGAAACGACAAAATCCATCACTTGATAACGTAAACGGTGCCATCTCCAGTGTAGTTCACTGGTTTAATACAAATAATCTTAAGCTAAACGAAAAGAAGACAAAATGTGTTAAATTTGTAACTACAAATGTAAAAAGTAGTCATTCTCAAATAATAATTAAAGACGAGGAAATAATAAAAAATAAAAAAAAATAAAAAAAAATATGTTTATTATGGAACATAAGATACATGTATCACTTATTCCACGTCATTAAATTTGAAGGCATCCCTACTCATCGGCAAAGAAGATAGAGGGTGTAGGCCGAGAGAAAAAGCCGGCGTAAAAAACTCTCGGTACTCTTTTAAAACAGCAAATCATCAAACAACACTTATTTAAAACAAATATCGCAAATTGATTAGAAGTAGCCTGTCTAGCACTAGTCCCAGGCCCTTTTATCAACTAGATAATCGTTGACTTTATAGTAAGCCTTTTTACACAGCTTTTCTTTAATACATTTCTTAAATTTATTGAAAGGCAGTGATAAAAGAGCCTCTGGGATTTTATTAAAGAAGAGTATCCCTTTCCCCAAAAAAGAATTACTAACTTTAGATAGTCTAGTACGGGGAAATTGCAGCCTGCGTTTGTTCCGTGTATTAACATTGTGCGTATGTTCTATTCTAGTAAACTTATCACTATTTTTGTATACATACATAATATTTTCATAAATATATTGCGAGGGAAAGGTAAGTATATTAATTTCCTTGAATTTATCTCTAAGAGATTCCCTACATTTTAAATTATAGATTGCACGAATAGCCCTCTTCTGCAGGATGAAAATAGTTTCGACATCAGCAGCATGACCCCATAATAATAAGCCATAAGTCATTAAGCTATGAGACTTTGTTGATAATGCGGTATTCTTGGGAATTACTTTAGATAGTAAGCTCCAGTGGGGCCGACACATAGAAGGTCTTTCGAATAGGCTAAGTTCCGCAGCGTTCGCAGTAAAAAAGATACGCGATCTTACGGATGAGAACACAGCAAAGCTTGTTTATTTCAGCTATTTTCATAGTGTTATGTCATATGGTGTTATTTTGTGGGGTAATGCAGCTGACATTAAATCGATATTTGTAGTGCAAAAGCGGGCTATAAGAGCGATCTGTGGGTTGTCCCCACGGGAGTCGGTCCGAAGCAAGTTTAAGGAATTACATATTTTGACTCTGGCAAGTCAATACATTTATGAGAATATTTTGTATGTGCGGAAAAATATAGATATCTTTAAAAAGAATCATAGCTTCCATAATTATAGTACTCGTAATAAAGACAAAATTAATGCACCAACCAGAAGGCTGCATAAAACGAGTAATTCTTTCCAAGGCAATTGTATACGTTTTTTCAACAAAATCCCTAGTGAGATACAAGCGTTGTCAAGAAATAAATTTAAATCGTACATTAAAGTAAAACTGCTTGCTAAGGCTTATTATAATATAAATGAATATTTAAACGATCCTAGTGCTTGGATATGAGTTGCTCCAGTATATATAGGTAACACGACTGAACCTCTCGGCTGCATTTCCAGACTCCGGGGCGATCGTCAACATCCACGACTGTTTTAATGTAAAGTGGGAACAAACCGTGATCCATGTGGTATCCAATTATTTCAGTATTATTATTAGTAGCCAAGTCCACATTTCAAGGATCGTCATGCTCGCTTAAATGTCATTGCTTGTGGCGGCCCCCATGCGTCGGGTTGTCTCTCTCCCTAAAATATGGCGAGGGGGCCGATGGCTGGCCATGCGTCATACTCGTGAAAGGGTGCTACTTGTGGTGACTGGTCGTACTTGAATTCGTGTATGCGGTGATGATAATTATTTCGACTATGTGTTTGCGTGTTGTTCCCACGAGAATGTAAGTGCGTGCTCCTATTTCACCATGCCTCCTGCTGATAGAGGACAAATCTTTGTTTTTAATTTATGTTATTATTATAAATTATTTAAGATGTCATGTGGAACATGGTTTAATGGTTGCAGCTCCTTACAACCGTTGTATAAAAAAAAACATGGCGATTAAAAAGAGTGGCTGAGAGTTTATTGCCAGTTCTTCTCTTCCGTTCTACGCCCTTGATTTGAGAACTGGCACTAAATGTAAAATTAGAAGCATTTATATGTATTTCTTTACAGACAAGTCATAAGTGTACAAATAGTTACCAATATGATTAAATGATTTTTGAATTTTTTTTTGAGTAACATATTAGAACTTTAGATTCTGCCGCATAACGTCTTGTGCAGTAAACGCAGATTATTTATTTATTTCTGGATGCCATCAAAATCAGCCATTGTCTTCAATAAGTTGTAATGTGGGTAGGAACAAAAGAATCACTAAAGTCACAATCAAAAGTTATTTAATCACATAAAGTATCTCCCTTACAGCAATTCACTAGTAATTAGAGAATCACTTTTAATTAGTTATAAAACAACAAGGCACAAGATTACTCGGAACAAAAGCGATTCGTCACAAACGTTGTGCGCTCGCCGTTGACGTTCGAATACTAAACGAAATTCAACATGGCCGCGCTGACCATCGACACGACGCTCCGCCAGACTGACAGTTGTCAAATCTCGTTCCAACGTATTTCTTAACAGATGGCGCTAGCAATGCGCCGTCATATTTATATTATCATAAGCATGTATAAAGTGTGTAAAGTGTGAATATAGATATACAAATATATGGTGTGATAATATACTGGTACATGATCACCTATTGGTTTTTACCTTAGTAATCTATATATTATATAAAAGAAAAATGGTCTTCGTTTGAGGCTCCTTCACGCCTAAACCACTGATCGTATCGACATGAAACTACCACCATTCGATGCGAAATTTTTTCCTAGATGGTTTATGGCTATTTATTTATTAAATTCCATTCCATACGGACTTCACCGCGGAAACATTCGGGGAGGCTTCCTAGAACCTCTAAACGTCAACATCTGTTAAAAACTCGATTTTCGAAATATTTCAATTTTCTTAGCGGGAAGTTAAAAAGAAGAATAATAAAAATATGAAAAAAAATAAAATAATGAAACATAAAATTTATTTTAATTCGTCCAGCAAAGCGGGCGCGACACGGCTAGTAATTAATTTAAAAAGAAGTTTCACTTCTAACATGTGTACTTTCACAAATCGAAAAGTATTACTTCAATTGGTCCAAATATACTTACAGCATCAGCTTTGCAGACGGTGTTTGCCATCTGTCTGCAGAGTTGCCGAAGGAAGTGGCCTTTGTCCACAGCATCGTCGGTTATCATGAACGAGTACAATTTCTCCTTCAGCTCTTGATTACTTCGACACATCAGTGCGAACACGTTGTGGCAATCTGAAATTTTATTTTTAAAACATTTTATTGAGCTAGCATATGACAGCAAATTAAATTGTTTGAATTTGATAACAATTGACAATTTTGGCTTCCAAGCATGTTTACTTTCTCCGAAACGATGAAAATTTCATCAGAAGCGGTTGAGTATTTTTTGAGATAGGTATTTTAAAACGGTTTAATTTAAGTTAATATGTTATTTGGGCTACGGCAATGGTTCAGGAAAAGTGCGCACCATACCTTTAAACCAACACAATTAACTAAATAGCCGAACCACTAGTAAAAAACATAGGCCGACAACCCACACGATAGTTACTGGCAATCCACTTGTAATAAATGAAGGACTGACAGGGCATTTGGATTAAAGTAACGGCCAGCAACATAGTTTCAATTAAAAAAACGTGTGGGACTGCCGCGGTAAAGCTATTCTTTGGCATTTTTATCAAATTATGCCATTAAAATTATTTATTATTTTTTTATTTATGCAGTATTTCTTTCTTTGATATGAATTCAATGTACCACTCTACCAGACTCAGACTAAAACGCCTATATAGTCTGTCTCATTCTAACGCGTACCGGCTACACCGGCCGCGCTTACGCTACGTCACCGATCACGCCAGACCGATGTGAGACGCAGTATGCGTTCTGTCCCACTCTAACGCGTTTTGGCACGTATATTACGTCAACGTGTGTTAGGTTTATTTTCGTTACGGAATTTCTTGATTCGGTCGCCGCGCTCAGAGCCCGCAATAAAATCTATGCAATAGGTTTATAAAAAAATCCGCATAAATAAATGCTTTACCTTCTGCCTCTCTGATATCCACGACGCGTTTAACCGTGCTGAGAGGCATCAACGATATGTGCCTGTAGGGCTTGCTCGAACCTATTCGCATCGTACCGGTACCGTTCGTCGGACTCTTACTGTTGAAGGCCTGAAAATCAAATTCAAAAATATATATTTTTTGCCCCAAAAAATACCAACCAACTATGTAATATATATTTGTCAGATTAGCATGCAAAATGTCAAAAAAGAAATATATATAATAACAGTATGACATATTTTATGTTAGAAATTCTGTCTTAAACGCTATTTGAAAATATAATTAAATTATAATTCAAAGTTCATAAAGCTTAATTAAAGCAACATTTCCAATCCTAAATTCATACTTATCGCTAAGTCTATACTCAACCTATACTTACTTACTTGCCTTACCTACTTAAAAAAATAAGTGTATTAATAACTACCTTCGATCTCTTCTTGCAGACTTCCATCGTGTCTGTGAAGAGAAAGAGTACGAGGTGATCTCCTCTCCCGGAGAGCTCTTTGGACAATTCCACCACTTCGCATCGGGACACGAAAGAACGGTGAGACGATACTAAATGCGCCTGAAATATCACAAAACATAAAATCCTACACTCAGTATATAACAAGAAAAAATCTAATATCTGTGTTAATTGTACACACATAGCTGTCCACTTCTTAATAAAACAATTTTTTTACCGGATTGAAGTTATGTATTTATAATTATTTTTCATAATTTTAAATTTGAAAAATAATTATATCTTGAGCATGAAACAAGTGGAGGAGTGGGGGAAAGCTTGCGCAGCGCGGGACACAAACGTCAACTGATTTACCAATCACGCGATCGGCACGTCACTTTCCCTCCCCCCTCCCAGTGATACCTAAAAATCGCTTCTGCCCAGGCAAGGAAATTTGTTCAAGATGTTTGCAGGTATCTGTACGGTGTTGAAACGAGGCATAATATTTGTGCAGCTAAAAGTTACCACTATCACCTTCCCGCCGTTACCGGGCACTGATCAATGTCGTTGTAAATGTCAAACATCTGCAGCTGTCCTTCAGTCTTGCGCTTGTCTTCGTTGATGTGGGACATCACCTCTCTAAGTCCGGCCAAAGCCGACACCAAAGCCACGTGATCTGGGTTGCTTTTGTGCGTGTGTTTCAGTATATCTGAAAGGAGTTATCAAATTGGCTTAATATAATTTTAAAGTGCAAACTACGACATAACATTTTTCCAATACAAGTTCAGTTCGTTACAACAAGGAGTGCCTCCGTGTACGTATTCGCTTCTAGCTAATGTTGTGTTTTTATAAATGTATTTCTTTAAATAAAGGATCTTACAATACTTTTTTGTTCGAATTTAAATCCGGTTACTGAAATAACCGTATATATTGCGTTCTAACGCAGTTTTTTCTTTCTGACACGTCCTTATAGAATCACTAGCTGACCCGGCAAACGCTGTTCTGCCATGTATATTATTTCTAGGAAACTTTTTTTAGTTCAATAAAAATAACTATCTACTATACTAAAAAAATGGGGTTGATCGTAGAGGGGTTGTATGTATTTTTGTATGTTGTATCATAAACAATTAAAACACAAAAAATAACTAAAAAATAAAAAATTTTGGGTGGACCCTTAACATTTTGGGGTTTGAAAGATATGCATAAAAAATTTCATAAGAATCGGTCGAACTGTTTCGGAAGAGTATGGGCGTTTTTTAATCGAGTAATCGCATGATATATAAAACTTACAATATTTTAAAAAGCAATTGAATAATGAAGGTAGTAACAAAATATTGTACTTTTTTTTTTCGATACTATTGACACCCCCCCATGTAACGCGCCGTAACATTTTTCTGTACCCAATAGTTAAACGTTTCGTGACCCACCCAGTGACTCTTTATACCTAAAAGTTACCATTATGTGGTGTATGGTACTGGAAAAGTCGAAAATAATATTAACAATACCGCTTATTCAATCCCCTGCCCCGCATCGTAACGTTTTACAAAATGACCCCCCCCCCCCAAATTCGTTACGTTATACTTGAACGCTCCCTTATTAGAAACTTCTTATCAGTATAACTCACCATCCAGCAATAAACTAATACTCGGTAACCGCTGCACAGGTCTTATTAATAGTTCTTGTAAACTTTGTCGGCCGCATTCGGGTTTCGTTTGGCAAATTTTAAGGAAGGCATGAAATCTAGAAAAAAAATAAAAATATTTAGAAAGGACAAGGCGGCATGCTAATTTGACAATTTAAAATGTTACTTATAAACCTTTAAAATGCACAAAATAAAAAAAACTCCTGAACCACCGATTCAAATTTAAAAATATATTTGTGTTAGATAGTGCATTTATCGAGTCTATAAAAATAAAGAGCAGTGTTGGCCTAGTGGTTTCAGTGTGCGACTCTCATCCCTGAGGTCATAGGATCCCCGGCTGTGCACCAATGGACTATCTTTCTATGTGCGCATTTAACATTTGCTCGAACGGTGAAGGAAAACATCGTGAGGAAACCGACATGTCTTAGAACCAAAAAGTCGATGGCGTGTGTCAGGCACTGAAGGCTGATCACCTACTTGGCCTTTTCTTTATTTTATAAAAATAAAACACAGCTGAAATAAAATATACCTGGGATTCTCTCGGTCGCACTGTTGCAGCATCTCCTTGGTGTTTTCGAAAAAGTTGACAAAAGGAGGGTAGGCTTTCACCATATCCGGCGTGTATCGGAGTACTAGACGCCCGATACTGACTTCCTCGCTCCAGTGCGCCTGCGCCCATTTCAGCTCTTCCAACATGCGTCTGAAATGTTTAAAACCCACTTTAAAATTACCCACATAATACACATATCTGAGACTGGCCTTGAAACATTAAAGTATCACAATTTTTTACCTTGTTAAGTTAATGGATATTTAAAGATTATATATAAAATCTATTCAGGACTAGAACACACACAAAACCAGTTTATTCAAACTTTGACTGTGTGGGTCACAACGCAAAGTCTACACTGGCCATGAGTACAGTCTGCGTAAACAGTTAGCTTAGTACATAACTAACTATTAATAAATAAGTCCTTTTCACCATTCAAAACTATGGACAAAAACACATAATGTTTTAACGAACATTGACGAAATGAAACATTTTTCGTTTCCTGTAATATTTTGTTCTCTGGACATACGAGGTTATCATTCTACAGCGACAATATGTAACTAATTCGAGGTTATTGGAAGTAAGTAAACTTACTGATGTAATTCAAATATCGGTGGTAAGTTCCCAAATATAATCTTGAGTTCCGTGTTGTTCAGCAATGCCTGGTTTTTGCCATTATTCGTATCTTCCTCTGCCATTTCTTCAAGCGGTTGTTTGAACATCTGTAATTTTCAATTTTTAATAAGAAAAATGAAGACCCGTTACGCAAGCAGATTTACTACAATTTATCCTCTCTCTTCCCCAGTTTTCATTTAGTTTTTGTTATTATTTTTTCAGTTATTGCATAGATTTTATCGCGGGCTTTGAAAAATACCTAACACACGATGACGTAATATAGGTGCGGCAAATACGCGTTAGAGTGGGACAGAACGCATACTGCGCATTCCCATCTCTCTGACGAGATCGGTGACGTAGCGTGAGCGCGGCCGGTACAGCCGGTACGCGTTAGAGTGAGACAGACTATATAGGCGTTTTAGTCTGAGTCTCGTAGAGTGGTAGATTGAAATAATATCAAAGAAAACAAATACTGCATAAATAAATAAACAATTATAACTGCATAAGTTGATAAAAAATGCTAGCAATAGCTTTACCGCGGCAGTCCCCGAGTGCCACACGTTTTTTTAGTTATTATTTTGTGGTTGCTTGTTATTGTTTTCCCTTGATAACTTGCTTGCTTGTCCGATAATTGATGAGTATGTGTATAAAATTTGTGATGTCATATTTTTTTGTGTTATTTTATGCGTACACATTGTTTTAGAACTTATAATTAAATAAATGGTTTCGGTAATTCGACATATTAGCGCCATCTATTATCAATTATTGTAAACCCGGTAATATTCAATTATGCCAATTAGGTTCATTATTACTCAATCAGTTACAAGAGAGTTAGTACTGGCACAATTTTATATAACTTTTAAAAGACACTAAAGCCTGGTTTACGCCGAGGCAACAACGTGCGACAGTGCTACACATTGCGGCATGCGGCACCTTGTGGCATGCTACAAATAGGAAGCATTTGCGTCATTTATGGCATACGGCAGCCTATTTTACGCCGAGGCAATATCGTGCCTGGATAATTTCCAAAGCATTGTGCTGTTTATGGAGTGTTATTGGTCTACCTACTTGTTTGATCGAGGGGATACACCAAAGAATATGGCTGATGATGTAACTAAGCCATCCAGCTAAACAATGGAAGAAGAAACGTTGGTGGAAATGAAAAATCAGAATGGCCCACGGACTAGTTTAGTAACAAACATTAAGGCAGACGATAGAGCTTTATTTAAGAACTTTACCAGAATGTCAATACATAACCTAAAAACTGTTTTGACGCACGATAAATGTCGCATAGAATCCATTATACCCGGATACAAGCTGCGACAGTCTGCCACTTGACGCAAGGTGTTGCCTTGGTTCTTGCCACAATGTGCGACATTTTTAACTTTTTAACACAATAAATGTGTGTGACACAAATCAAATATAAACTTACTGCAACAATTGTTTGTAGTATTCCAACATAGTTCGACTCAGTCTGTAATAATTCCATAAACACTTGTTGCCTCGGTGACATTAACTTCCGGACAACATTATCTGGGACTTCTGATTCTGAAAATATATAAAGTTTCAATTTATAAACACGGTAAAATAGATTTAAATAACCAATTTTGTGAGTGATATTTAAAATTAAATAACAGATATAACTGGCTCGAATGTTTTAACTACATATATTAAAAAATGTTCCCCCTGGTCAAATCTGACCAAATTTTTTAGACTACAAAACGCACGAGGCTTACCATAGGCATAGGGGGCCGTTCAAGTATTATTTACTTTTTACACATATTGTCTATGCTTGAAAACGAAATGCATTTTCGAGGACTCCTACAAAAAATTAATATGTTTATATACTATTATTTTTGAGAGCTTTGCTTACTGTTGCTGACAAGAGAGAGGGGGGGAGAGGATAAATTGTAGTTAATCTGCTTACGTAATACGGCCCTTAGGCACTGAATGTTTTGTGTCATAATCATGAGCCAAAGCATGTTTAATGTGGATCACATACGTTCTTCTATCTAGATTTTATTAATGGAATCTCCACTTCCAGAAATAAGGGAGCGTTCAAGTATTACGTAACACATTTGGAGGGGGGTCCTTATGTAAAACGTTTCTATGCGGGGCGGGGATTGAAGTACGCGTTATTGTTAATATTAATTTCGACTTTCCAGTACTTAACACGACATAATGGTAACTTTTAGGTATAAACAGTCACTGGGTGGTCACGAAACGTTTTATTATACTTGTGTACAGAAAACCGTTACAGCGCGTTACATGGGGGGGGTCAATAATCTCCAAAAATTGCGTGACGTAATACTTGAACGCTCCTTAATTTATTTAAAATAATTGTATTTTATTATTCGCCTTCCGCCCAAGCTAGTAGTCTGTAGACCAGCTTTGTATAACGTATCATACGTACAAAGCTGGTCCCCAAATCACACCAAAATTGAGGGCAAAAAAATATTAACTCAGTGTTCAACTCAATTTTTAATGATGAGTAAAAAATACATAGATTGAAAACAACACAAATTTAAAGATTTGATTTTGTTGAAAGGACTTTTTAGTTTTAGGTCTCCTTCGAAGTTGTTTTTCCGCTTATTTTGTGATTTATTCGTAAATATTATTGAGTTTTTATAGCCTAGCACGGGAAATTTTTCCATCTTTAATTTGAAAAAAGAATTTTCAAAATCGGTTAAGCCGTTCAAAAGCCTTAGTGTTTGTACAGTATCATAAGAGTGGGCGCATGGGAGCTCAAAAAAAAATATTAAGAAAAATGATAAATAAATAAACAAACTACTCAGCCCGCTATTTTTTAAAGCATAGACAGCACAAATTGAATTAGGACTTTGAAAGGGCGCGACGGCAAAAAACCTAAAATAACAATTAACATTTTAAATGCAAACCTTCAAGCAATTGCTTTCCATCCGGCGAGGGCGTACAATCCAACAAATTCCCAGATAAACTCAGCAAAACAGCATCGCCAACGGACGACCTCCTTTTATGCAACGCCGCATCGCCGCCGCGCAACTTGCGCTTGCGCATACGCAGGTGCGCGGGCGTCCCCGCGACGTTGCGTTCCGTGTTCTCTTCTACTGGTATTGAACTGCCTACAGATGAACGGCGAGATATCTCGTCGAGGTACTGAAAATTAAATTATATTTAACAATATTTGTAATGTATAAAATGCTTGTCGTTAATGTTATTTATGGTAATAAAATCTTTATTTCTCTTACAATTTTAAAAAGAAATTACACATAAACGTGCAAGTACTCAACGCAGCCAACTAGCGTAATTAGCCGTTCAATTAACAGCCTAGCCTATTAACTAAACGGCGCCGTTTAACTAACGGCATGAAAGATATTCAGCCGTTGCGTATGTTCCAACATTTGTTAAACTGGCTGGCATGCTTAGGCCATTAGTACGATAGAGAAAAAAATTATTTGGCAAAATTTTATTTTCTTCTTTCTTTCAGGCCGCTAGTTAAACGGCGCCGGTTAGTTAAACTACTAGGCTGTTAATTGAACGGCTAATTAAGCTAGTTGGCTGTGACCTATATATATGCAAAAGAAAAGAAAGAAACAACAAAAATTAATGATAAATAGTTATATCAAACAAATAACACACAAATCTAAAAGCGAAACGTCTCTTAAACGCGCCAAATGTATTGGCACTTGTAATCCAACAAACTATGTACTAATATTATAAAATTTAAGATTCAATTACAAACCCAATATAATTCAGTAATATTGTTATCTATAAAAAAACTCACATCTTTGAACAAATAATCCCTTTCATCCTGCGCCTCTTCATTCTGAACAGACGCCCAGAACCACTCGGCCTTCACGATATGAATACTTTGCGAACAGTCCGGAACCACCACTGTGTTATGTTCATCCACAACCTAAAACATTTACAAACATCTATAAAAACCTGCTATTATTAATCTAAAAGAAAGCTAAACCACCTTAATCAAAATATCAGTCCGTCTGACATCTGTTCACCTTAGCACAAACAAAATCTAATATACCCACCAATTGCGTACAAAATGTTTAAAACGATATTTATACCAAAGACGCAAAATCATACTTCAGTGGAATCTCTATAACTCGAATGTCAAGAAAAAATGCAAAAAAATCGAGTTAAAAAGTTTTCAACTTAACAAGAACTTCGAGATACATATGAGTTAACTGCTGAAATTTCGACTTACAGAGGCGCATTACTAAGTGTTTTTTTCGATTGTATGCAATGAATGTTCACTCATTGCACGAGTACAAGACAAAAATAATAGATTAGAAGCCCGAACCCGAACATTCATATTGGATTTCATTGCTATTATTTCGGGGAATTCCAAGTAAGGCTTAATATATGAATATTAAATACAAAAATATATATATATATATTTTACTAACTACGACTTACAGTCTCTTTTTTGAAATTCGAGTTATAAAATATAAATATGTACTATCAATACTTCGTAGGGAAATAACATTTTGTTCGAGTTTCAAAGTCTAAATAATTCGAGATACCGCGAAAGGGGATGGCAATTTTTTTCGACTAACTTAGTTTCGAGATATCCACTGTATTATGTATATATTTAAATAAACATTTGTAGTTCCAAATTCGACCATGGAGCGCTTTTAAGTTTAACAAACAAAGATGTGTTTTAATTACGATATTTCGAGTTATTACGAATCTATTACGATAAAATAATTTTAAAACTTATCCGCACGTGAAAGGTACACATTAATTTCAAGTTTATAAAACAACCAAAGGAAATCTCTGTAATGCCTTTGTCATAAAACCTAGTACTTCGTATACTAGACCGAACCGAAGAGTTCGTGCTAATGAAACAAATAACAATTTACTGATGACTGGTATTTTGATCGAAAGCTCAATTGACCTTAGTAAGCTCATTTAGTAGATTGAATTAAATGAAGGTTAGTACCGGCAAGAATCCAAGGCATGATACGCGAGCGTCACGGATGGTTGTCGAAGTTGGCGTCACGTTGCAAGTTACCGCTTCAGAGGGTAAGGAAGAGAGACTCTCATAGCACACGTTACTTTTCGCCTTAACATCCCCACATATAGAGTGCCGCTGAGCCCTAACAACCCTATGCGGCGTCTTAAATATCGTAGAGTCATCTAACTCATCCAAAGTCAGCACTCTGGGCGTTCTCATATCCGTACTGTCGACTGTATCGACTTGTACTGGTGATATATCTAAATGCATATCATCCAAATCCCTCTTTGGTGTAGATACATTCTTCAAATCAACTAAGTGGGAAGGATCCACTTCCACTGTATTACGTTCAGTTCGTTTCTCATACTTCTTCTTTCGCTCGCTTCTAAACGATGCCGTGAAAGATTTCACGCTTCTGCGAAGTTTGGACTTCACCGTTTTCGAGCTTTTCATGGATGTGAAGGAAGTGTCAAAGATGTTGGACTGTTTACTGAGATTCATTGAACATATTGATGTATTATCATCTTCTCTTATAGGTGACGATGTTGATGCTACAAATTCTCCTGCTGGATCCGTTGGCTTTACACTATCAGGGCTAACTGGTTCCACAGAAATATCGCCCGCAACTTTCGTCACCGAATCCTTTTTAGTGCGTTTGAATATCGTCGGTCTATTCTTGAACTTGAAAGAGTCTTTAATTTTCAGTCTTTTGATTGACTTCCAGGTGGAGTCTTCCGTTTTATCCGGTGATAAATTCGCATCTATTGGACTCACTTGTATGTTAGAGTCTGTTGAATTGCGACTCCTCTTTTTAGCTGATGATATCGTTGTAGTCGAGTTACATTCAGCTGACGATGGTAACAAAAAACCAGTTTCATCTTTGTAATCCAAATCACATAGACTCTTTGTTAATGATGAGTTTAAAGAACCGGCTTCCGTTAAACAGTCTACAATGTTGAATATATTCATAGATTTATTTTTAAACACTTCCCTTTTGTCTTTGAAGGGTGCTCTGTTTATGTGTAGCACATGCTTATTTTCTTTATCGCTATTTTTGTACTTTCGTGCATCTATACTATCAATTTCATTTTCACTACCTACGTTAGCTACGGGCTCACTATTACTAGTACTGCTCTCGTCTTTACTTTCGCAACTATCATTCTTTGTTTTTCTAAACCTATCTCTTGCATTTTGTAAACGCTTTTCTCTTTCATCTTCTATTGTATTGCTTTGTTTATTTGGACTAGAGCGACAACCCGACAAACGTGCTGAGAGTCTCCGATAGAGGGAGGTTTTTGGTGTGGTCTGAGGTCTTGTGGGAGTAGAGCGGATATTTGTCGAGTTAGGGGTATTCGAATGGGGTGAAAGGATAAGCGAACGACCGAAAGTCTCCCCATTGGCCATAACCTGAAACATGTGTGAAACACACCAAGCAATGATGTAATGAAGCCATTCCAATCTTCATGCAATATCATAAGCCTCTATTAAATATTTTGGAGCTATTGAAGGAACTAAGAGGAAGCAACTACTCACTGTGTGAATTACGCTAACATGAAAGTGCTGTAATATGATAAAGCTGGCTGGTTTTGCTGAAGCAGTGAAACAAACACTAGACAATGGGTCGACTTTAAGCCGTAGGAGAGGGCAACGTCAATGCTTAGGCAAAACCTAATTCTAAGGGTAATGTCGCTTGAGGTTGCAAAGATGTGAACAAGAAAGTCCCTAATGACAGGGAGCGTTCAAGTATTACGTCACGCAATTTTTAGAGATTATTGAACCCCGCCCATGTAACGCGCCATAACGTTTTTCTGTACCCGATGGTAAAGCGTTTCGTGACCACCTAGTGACTATTTATACCTAAAAGTAATGTTAAACAATAGCGCGTAATTCAATCCCCGTATCGACGTTTTACAAAAGGGAAACCCTCCCAAATTCGTTACATAATACTTGAACGCACACAACACTACGTGGCATGTGACTTACACACTAAAATTTAACCAGAGCGATAAACATACAGAAACAAAAGCTAAATTTTAGAGTAAATTACGTAAATCTTTGGTAGAACCAATATATTGACAACATTCATAATTTCATACTTACGACATGTGTGCAGTCAGTATCATCCAACTGGCATGACGCACCACCATTACTCGCAAGTACCTCCGCCATGTGCTGAGTTTCATCTTCGGGGAATCCCACAAAACAAACCCTTGCACCTGCGAATACTCGCAACTTATGCTCTTTCTGAAAGGCAAAATTATATGGTCATCAAACAGAAGGTTATGGTCACCTCGGTGATTAATAGAAAGAAAAATTTATGTAACAATAAATTGGGACATATATTAGGGAAGCCGCTAAACATGGTCTCAGGCGGTTGCGCATTCAAATGACTGCATTTTTTATTTACAATACAGATATCAAGAACAAAAATTATGTAGCAATAAGTTAAACTTGGTCGATTTGTACATAATATATTTAATTTTATAAACAATAGTTGTTGGTACTGTTTTAAAAACCAACACTGTCACGGCTTCATAATGCAATCACAATATGATCTGCTAAATTTTGTAATTTTGTTTCCTACACAAACCGCCGCCCATGGGACACTCTCAATGCCAGAGGGCTCGCGAGTGCGTCTGCCTTTTAAGAATTGGTAGAATTTTCTTGAAGGACCCTAAATTGAATTGGTTCGGAATACTTCAGTGTGCAGCTGGTTCCACATAGTGGTGATGCGTAAAATCTGCCTTTAATTACTCAATTGTGGAACGAAAATATCCAGGTTATACGCAATAATAATCCAAATACGGATTTTACATTATTCTTTATCTACACTAATATTATAAAGAGGAAAAATTTGTTTGTTTGTTTGTTTGATTGTAATGAATAGGCTCATAAACTACTGGACCGATTTTAAAAATTCTTTCACCATTCGAAAGCTACATTATCCACGAGTAATATAGGCTATATTTAATTTTGAACAAAAATAGGGTTCCGTAAGATATTGGGGTTTTTCGGACACAAGGTGTAAAAAATCAACCAAAAAAGTTACTTATTTTGCGTACCCTGCCTAAACTATTAAAGATAGAACCATAAAATGTTCTAAGTAATTGTAGATCTTATAAATATCTACAAAAAGTCCGCGACACACTATACCTATCTATGTAGAGTGAGGCACAATAACCATAAATGATATAATGACATTGCAAAACGGCGTTTGCCGGATCAGCTAGTATAATATAAAGAGGAAAGATTTTTTTGTAAGTGTGTTTGTAACGAATTGGCTCAAAAAGTACTGAACCGATTTTAAAAATTCTTTTACCGTTTGAATGCTACATTATCACTTATTAATATAGGTTATTTTAATTTCAAGAAAAAAATAAGGATCCCTACTAAAACTACAATAATGTTACCCAAGGTGTAAAAAAAATTCTATAAAATATTTTTCATGCGACGCTGAGAAAACTTTAGACAGAAAATAATTCCACAATATTAAAGAACAATCAATATCTACAAAGTTTAAAATTAATTGTTCTTTATGTAAAAAATATAACATACAATGAGTTAGTCAGTTTGTAAATATTATAATCTATTACTGCTTAATGTTGTGTCGTTTTTTTATGTGTATGTCTGTTTTGTATGTGATGTAAATAGTTACCGCACTGGAGTAATCTGTAATGGTAGCTTATATTGTTTAATATATATATATAAATTACGTGTCACGTTGTTTGTCCGCTATGGACTCCTAAACTACCAAACCGATATCAATCAAATTTGCACACCATGTGTAGTTTGATCCAACTTAAAAGATAGGATAGCTTACATCTCAATTTATACCCGCAATATTATTTTATTGCAAAATATTTGTTTATTATTTGTCACAATTCTAACAGATGGCGCTGTGTTGAAAGTACCAACGTTTCACATAAGCTACAATTTAATGGCATAACCACCAAAAAAGCATAGTGGTCCCCATGACTGGTGTTCTCCTACCGTTTCCCTTGAATAGTTTGATACTATGTAATATAACAAAATCCTTAGCCACAGCAACGCTTGGCCGAGTCAGCTAGTTGTTTAATAAATAACTAAAAGTGAACCTTCGTACGTTTTCATGTATAAATAATGTAATAATAATAATAATCAGTGGCTGCTACAACCTCTTTAGGTCTGGCCTCGGATTTCTGAATCTGTTTCATGATCATTTGTCAACTAATAGGCAAGTAGGTGATCAGCCTCCAGTACCTGACACACACCGTCGACTTTTTGGGTCTAAAACATGTCGGGATTCCTCACTATCCTCCGACCGAATATTAAATGCGCACATAGAAAGTCCATTGGTGCACAGCCGGGCTTCTACGACCTCAGGGATGATCAGTCGCATGCTGAAGCCACTAGGCCACCACAGAAGAATGTAATACTTACAATAATAGCATCATCAGTGGCCAGACAGGCGGGATCATCCCGTCTCTCCCAGCATGCATCAACCCATGATCTCGCCAGCACCGGAAGCCCAAATCCCGAGGCATATCGATATTTATCGCCCGTAGCGGCGGCCGCTATCAAATGGGTGACTTTACTTGACATATCTTTCCGTATTGAACCACCCATATAGTGTATTAGCGTTATTAGGTACGTCTGTGAAATCAAACACATTAAAATTAACAACAAATAGTTGTCTAACGCCCGAATCCAATAATCAATCCACAATCAGACCGTGACAGTCGATCGATATCCTATCTGCATCCCAATAACCAAACCCTACGAAGACAATCCATTTTTGGCGACGGATAAAATGCTCTTTGTCGGTCCATTTTACCGAGTTTTCGCTCATATTTGTAAACCAAATAAAGTAAATAAAACCGTACAAATAACATTAAAATATACATGTGTATGTTTTAAACATAACAAACAGTTAAAGGTTTAACAAGTTTTAAAAAGTTAAACAAACGGTTTAAGTTAAAAACTGTTAAAAAAATTAACTATTGAAATCGAGCTTTCGTCAACTGTCATTTTCATACAAAGGTCTATCCAGACACCGATACGACCTCCCATGGGTAGCTTGTATCGACTGATGGCTATTACAATCCGTCGATTGGTTATTGGCACACTTGTTACAACATTTGGTTTAAGATTACTATCTCAGATGGTTGATTATTGTTTGAGATAGGTTATTGGGTTCGGGCGTAAGTAGATTATGATTTTATTTTCCTATATAATTTATTTATTGGTTAATGTTATCAACAGTAAAAACATTTTTTTCCAGTTCATACAATTTGTATGACTCAAAACTTAGCGATTAAAAAGAGTGGCGGAAAGTTTCTTGCCAGTTCTTCTTGCCCGCTCTACGCCCTTGACTTGCGAACTGGTAGTAAATGTAAATTAACAATTAATTTAACTTCTTTTCTGACGTTCATATGTGTACTTGTTTACCTATATGAATAAAGTTATTTTGACTTGACTTAATAACCCATTTTTTTTTACAAAAAAATATGACGTGTGCAATTCACTCGTGGTAGAAGTGAAACCTTCAAAAAATTTGGTTTACATTTTGTTTTGTTTACGGTTTGTTACATTTTTAAGTTTAATATCAATTATTAATTTTGATAAAAACTACAATGATTAAAAAAATATTGTTTTAATAAACAAAACTAAAAATAAACTATTCTTTAAATCAATTTTTTATTTCAATTTTAATTTTTAAGTTTAATATCTATTTTGATTTTGATAAAAACTAAAATAATTAAAGATGGAAAGTCGATCAAACAAAAAAGCGACTGTAAAAATAATAAAAGTTTACTGTATAATGTTTCCTATCTCATTTTCTCCCACGTTAATCTTACGAATTCATGCGTCTGTCTCTTTTTACTTCGGCTTTTTCGTTACATCGGCTTCCAAATCACAATAATACTAAAGAAGTTTTCACTTCAAAAACAAATGGCTACAACCCTTGATCAGTTTCGTGACCATTTTTTTCTTCTAATTAGTAGTTGAGTGCGTTGCCGGCCTTTTAGGAACACAGCAATTTTTTTACATTAAAAACCTATTAAACTTACAAGTTCATCCTTTTTTCTAAAGCCCGAGAAGCATATGACAGCTCCTCGCATGGCCAAAGAGTATAGAGGACGTGCGTTCGCTGGAGGTGGCTCATCGCGCTGTGCCAGTTGGAGCACCGCAGTGGGACCCAGCACCCTGGAATAAAGAATTATATTTATGCCATTATTATAATCATTCAAACTCAAAATATCTTAATTCACATAGGTAAACAAGTACACTTATGAACGTCAAAAAGAAGTTAAATTAATTGTTAATTTACATTTACTACCAGTTCGCAAGTCAAGGGCGTAGAGCGGGTAAGAAGAACTGGCAAGAAACTTTCCGCCACTCTTTAATCGCCAAGTATTGAGTCATACAAATTGTTTGAACTGGAGCAAATCAATCCCAAGGATTAGGATCATTTAAGTATTCGTCAAATTTATAAAGAGCTTTACTGATTAATTTAAGTTTGACGAGTGCTTTGAATTTATATAGTGATAATTTACTAACAGTAAAGGCTAGCTAGTTAGCCGGCATATCACGTATCGGGGAATCTGGGACTGTAGATGTCAGTACGTTTCTTTAAAAAATCGGTACAAATCTTTTTAAATAATATTTTGTTACACAGTAATCCCCCCCAATAAGGTGGGTCGCGTTATAGGATATCGCGTTATAGGATATCGCGTTGTAGGAGTATACTCAGTAATCAGTATACTAGTAAAGCAAAAACTAGGAACACGAGTTTAAAGTTATTTTTAATTTTCTAACACAATTAAAACAGATATCAAGGTTCGCAAAACTAATTATGGACTTGAGAAAACATTATAAATTTCACACTACAAAGTCAAAGTTAAAGTCAAAAATCATTTAATCATAGGTAACACTTTGTACACTTATGAAAGTCAAAAAATAAATATATATGAAATGCTTCTAATTTTACATTTACTGCCAGTTCTCAAATCAAGGGCGTAGAACGGAAGAGAAGAACTGAAAATAAAAAGTTTTTTGTTTTACACTACGTTTGTAAGGAGCTGCTACCATTACACCCAGTTCCACATGACATCTTAAGTAATAACAGAAATACAAATTTAACTTGAGAAATCTCCGCGTTATAGAGGGGAAATATCGCGTTATATGGGGGACGGAAATCGCGTTATAGGGTGGATAATAGTATTTGTTCCGAAATCAGTTAATTTTAATGTATAGTTTCAAAATTATGACAAAAATACATCCATTGCTGGAAATTCATATCTTAATATATATATTACGCGTCACGTTGTTTGTCCGCTATGGACTGCTAAACTACTTAACCGATTTCAATCAAATTTGCACACCGTGTGCAGTTTGACCTAACTTAAAAGATAGGATAGCTTACATCTTAATTTATACCCGCATTATTATTTTATTGCAACTTATTTGTTTATTATTTGACAGTCATTATTCTAACAGATGGTTCTGTGTTGAAATTACCAACGTTTCTCATATAGGTAAGCTACAATTTAATGGCATAACCACGAAAAAAGCAGGGTGGTCCTCATGACTGGTTCTCCTACCGTTTCCATTGAATAGTATACTATTATGTAACAAAAACCTTAGCCACAGCAACGCTTGGCCGTGTCTGCTAGTTTTTAATATATAAAATAATGTTAATTCTATAATTTATTGACACTGCCGATCGCCACATAGTCTTATTACTTCATTTCGCCATGGTTTTCATATACTGTTTTGCTTGGAATTCTTTCCTGCTTAACAAAAATTTCCGGTATTTTTATTTTATTTTGTATATATATTTGAATAGTATTTTATTTGTTTATAACATTTATGTTTGCCTAAATTATCATAAATTTTAGATAAAAGATAGAAATAATAAATAAAAACGCCAGTTTCAGTGCACTTCAAATTGGTTAGACTTTTGTATACATTTTTAAGTGTGTGTATCTTTTGTAAATATGAATTAATGTTTATAAATTATTACCTTATACAAAAAGATACATATAAGTTATAAGGCAACGGGCGGCCTTATAGCTAACAAGCGATTTCTTCTAGGCAACCCTGGTATGGAACAATAAAAATGAAACACCTACAGAGGGTAAAGTACACGAAGTGCATAAAGAATAACAAAAAAACTCAAAATAACACGTAACTATAAATAAAATAAAGAAAGATCTAAAGATAAAATAAAAATATGTATAAACAAAAATCTAAATGCCAATCAAAAGGTATTATCTAGTTATTGGTACTATAAATGATGCTTAAATAAAAATCTTATCTAGTAATTTGCCTCTATTCTTTTAAAACCAACTTTGACCTACCCTGACCAACAAACGCTAGATCCGCTCTGCGTGTAAGGGAGCGTTCAAGTATTGCGTAACGTATTTGGGGGAGGGGGGGTTATTTTTGTAAAACGTTACGATGCGGGGCGGGGATTGAATTACGCGTTATTGTTAATATTATTTTCGACTTTCCGATTCTTTACAGCACAAAATGGTAACTTGAAGTATATAAAGAGTCACAGGGTGGTCACGAAACGTTTCACTATTGGTACAGAAAAACGTTACGGCGCGTAACATGGGGGGGTGTCAATAATCTCCAAAAATTGCGTGACGTAATACTTGAACGCTCCCTAAAATAGTGACTAATTAACGTTATGATGGCGAATGCGGAAGTCGAAGCCCTACAACTGCACAAAGAATCCTACGTTGACGCCTCAATAATCGCCGTAATCCGATTGCGATAAAATACGATCAAACCGCTTACGTGCTACATGAGGAAACGTTTAGTTTACTAAAAAAGAAAATAGTTTTTGATATCAAATAAATACAAAACTACAGGAAGTTAATCAAAGCTACCATTAGAACAGTGTTGGCCTAGTAGTTTTTTTTTGTAATTAATGAAATTCTGTAAAATAAGGTCATAAAGAAATTTCACTTCTTACATGCGTACACCTAGTATACGCACACATTTTATTAACCATTTAAATTGTAGCTGAACACTCGTACCTCGGTCAGACAATATCTATGACCGACGCAACAACAAAAGAAATCGACACAAGAATAGCAAAAGCATGGAAGAGCTTTTGGGCGCTTAAAGCTCCTGAAAAATAAGAAAACGAGCATTATAATTACGAAAGCTCTTCAATACTTGTATACTAACTGTACTAAAATATGGATCACAAACTTGGGCGCCTACTAAAGCGCAGTATACAAAGGTAAGAGTGTGTCAAAGATCGATGGAACGATGTATGATAGGGAAGAGATGAGACAAAATAAATAACACAGCGTTAAGAAAAATAACTAAGGTAACAACAACAGATGTTACAATAACAATAAATAAACTAAAGTGATGGTTGGGTACATGGCAAGACGAACAGAAAAGTGGAGCTAAAAACTACTAAACCGGTGCCCAAGGTACAGCAAACGAAAAAGAGGGAGACAACTTAGAAGGTGGATAGACCACTTTAAAGAAACAGCAGGTGGTACATGGCAGAGAGTGGCACAGTGCAGAGAGGAATGGCGGGATTTGGAGGGGGCTTTGCCAAAAAAGGGCACACAGTAGAAGAGAATTAAAATGGAAATGTTTTTACACGCTTTATATTAGCTTCATCTGTATGTATGTATGTAACCGACTCCTTCGGACTCGATTTTGACCCACATTAAACGGACAGATTTAATTCAAACTTTGTACACTTATAAAGAATCAGCGACAATATAATAATTTCATAGGTTTATCTCGAAACAACAATGAAATTTTTTTTAAGTCCACAAAGCAATACGATTAAATTGAGACAACACGAATTTCTGCTAGGACTAAAAAGTGGAAAATAAATATAGTTTAAAAAAACTAAAAAAAACGCTTTTAAAGCACTTCAAACTAAAAAGTGAAAAATAATTCCTAATTTAGGCTGAAAATGGTAATGAACAAAAAATACTGGTATTATTGTGAAAAAGCGTTTAAAAGCGTGTTTTTTAGTTTTTTTTTAACTATATTTATTAAATGTGTGTATCTGAATTAAAGGCTATTATTATTAACTCTTTAATTGATTGCGAGATGCGCACGCTACTCGTAACTAGACATTGTATAAACATTTGTCAGAAACAGTGATTAATTGTTATTATATTACGACTTCCGGCTCCCGTCTGAATGAAACGGAAGGATGCGATGTAAATATAGACACCCTTTTTAACTTTGAACCAACTCTTCTTTTTGTAAAACATTAAACATGAATAAGGTATTCATTACTTGATAAGTTTGATTGATATCCCATTTATCGATCGGCAAAATACAAAATACCATCCGTATCACCTCGACGTCCGTCGTTCCACAACTGAGCGTTTTCTAAGACAGTTTTTGCCGCGCACCACCACTATGTGGAACCAGCTGCCCACTGAAGTATTTCCGAACCAATACGACTTAGGGTCCTTCAAGAAAAGAGCGTACCAATTCTTGAAAGACCGGCAACGCACTTGTGAGCCTTCTGGCATTGTGAGTGTCCATGGGCGGCGGTATCACTTAACATCAGGTGAGCTTCCTGCCCGTTTGCCTCCTATTACATTAAAAAAAATCGATGTGGGGTAATTAACAAAAAATAACGTAAATTTTTGTTCCATCGTTCCAGTAATTATAATGATAAATTTATATTTTTAGTAATTTATCGAGAAGTACTTCAAGTAAATTTTGAATCAAGCTGTTAAGTTCTTTTAGGCTTAGAGTGGAACCGTTCCATGGTTCCAGTAATTATATTGAAAAATTAAAGTTTTTTAGTAATTGATCGAGAAGTAGGTACTTCAAGTAAATTTTGATTCAAGTTGATAAATTATTTTTGGCTTAGAATGGAACCGTTCCAGGATTACTTCTGTAAGATTCCTAATGTTATTGTTATACATTTTTGACTTACTATTTGTATTGTTAAAATATTTTTTGGTGGTTCGTTGGGAATCTACACGTGACACAGTTTTATTTAAAGTTTAAACCAATTAAACCATCACCTTAATATGTTCTTCACAACACAAAAACTATTTTTTTTTATAGAACGGGCAAACGGGCAAACGGGCAAGTGGCTCATCTGTATTAAGTAGGTAAGGCTCGCCAGTGCGTTTTTTTTTTTTTTTTTTTTTTTTATTTAAATGTTTCCAGATTATTCCCCGACTATAGTCGTCGGAGGTGTTAAAAAGCTTACATAAATGTATTGGTAACCCGAATGTTTACTTTCTATTACTATATTACTACTCTACTACTACCTATTTCTTTTGACAACCCCCTGCATGACCCTCACGGCAAATCCCAAAAAGATGCCCCTCAACCTAACATTGAGCATTATTCCCTTCAAACTCGTCTCCGTTACCCTCATGCCCATAGCTTGCTCAGCGTTATACCTGTCGTATCCACACATGGGACAGTCGGTCAGAACATGCAACACTGTCTCTTCAGCTGCATCATCACAAGGACAGGCAGCACTTTGTCTAACCCTGAACCTGTGAAGATACGACAGGAAGCCACCGTGACCTGTCAACATCTGAGTGATCAATCCCGTTGGTTTCATTTGTTTAATTATCGAAAAGGCCGAAGCAACATTTGGAAGGAATAACTTGGTTATTGCAGCTGTTTCACCGTCTCGATATCTGTGATTCCATTTTTCTATCGTGTTTCCACGTAGACAGTTCTTCAAATGCGATATGGGAAATCTATTGTACACGGGCGCCTCTTCTAGATGCGCAGCTTCCTTTGCTAGTTGGTCTGCTCTTTCATTCCCCTCCATGCCCGAATGCGCTTTAACCCAAAAAATATCAATTTTTTTGTTGAGTAAATGCGCTTTATTTATGTTCTTACGAATTTCAACTACAAGGGGATTGAAAGAGCGACCACCCGCAACACTTTCGAGTGCACTTCGGGAGTCACTATATACGCCGTAGGTTGTTTCTGGGTGACAAAGGATCCTTGCAGTCGCTTTAAGAATAGCCACCAGTTCAGCTTGATACACGGAACAGCATGAAGATAGTTTCAATTTAAAAGTCTCGAATTCGGCACCATTTTTCCATAAGGAAACGCTGGCACCGACCAATTCGTCTACTTTACTTCCGTCCGTATATATCTTTACTGCCGGTGCATCTGTTCTAGGACGCTCTTGTTCTCTATAGGCTATAAATTTGATATCAGGTTCTTTGGAGGGGTGAGGAATACTCATCCACGATACTCTTTGCTCCAGGTCACCTTCCAATTCAGACTGAAATAATCCTCTCTTTGCTTCGTATAGCACAGCGGCCTCCTGGATTCTAAGGTCTAAGGGCAATAGTCCAGCGAGGATCAAGCTGGCATTCAGTGATACGGTTCGGTAAGCTCTGCAGAGCTTCAGCGCGAAGCTTCGTTGTACTGAATTTAATTGCTTCCTAATTCCTAGCTTTTTAGTGGCTGGAGCCCAGACTGCTGCCGCATATAAGATTATCGGCTCGATGACTGCTGTATAAATAATATGAATTACATCTCGGTGTAAACCCCAGCCAATTCTCGCCGCCCTTGCTAATTGTTTGTAAATATTTGTTGCTTTCCTGCATATATTGGAGATATGTTTATTAAAGGTCAATTTAGCATCGAGAGTCAAACCAAGTATTTTTATTTCATCTGATAGTTTCACGGACACTCCGCCCATTTTCAAATGTGGTTTGTCATATTTTTTTTTTTAGTTATAATCATAGCTTGGGTTTTTTGTGGAGCAAATCTGAGTCTATTTTTGGTACCCCAATCTATTACATAGGCAAGAGCAGCATTAGCATTTCGTTCTATTTCAAATGCTGATTCTCCGACAAACACCATGATGACGTCGTCTGCAAAGGCTTGACAATAGTACCCCTTTTTTTCCATTTCTTGCAGCAATGGATCCAAAAGTAGGTTCCAGAGTATAGGGCCACCTATGGATCCCTGAATGCATCCTTTCGACGTATTTCTATTTACCTCCTCTCCCGCATATTTTAACTGAACCTTTCGTTCTTTTAGGTAGCTATCTATTATCTTTCTCAGGTTAATCGGGACCCCTAGTTTAGCCAGCTGAACCCGTATCATTGGCCACCAGGCACTGTCAAAGGCGCCCTCTATGTCCAAGGAAACTATCGTTATCAATTTTTTCCCATTTAGTTGGTCTCGTATATAGCCGACAAGGTCGTAGAGGGAGTCTTCTGTGCTCTTTTGTGGCATAAAACCGTATTGACGGTGGCTTAGTTTGGGTATCACATGCCATTTTAATCTAGACACAAGCAACCTTTCTAGGATTTTTCCCATCACGGGCAGAAGACCTATTGGTCTATAGGACTTTGGACTCGTGTAGTCATCCTTACCAGGTTTCCTGAGAACCACTACTGTTGCGACTTTCCATAGTTTCGGGAAGTATCCAAGTTCTAGACATTTGTTTGCCATTGATAGGAACACTCCCGGATCCCGCAGGATAGCTCGTGAACAAATATCGAGAGTGAGGCCATCTGATCCAGGTGCTTTTTTGCAGTCAAAGCTACCAATCACCATGTTGAGTTCAGTAATAGTAAATGGAGGATCATGGTTGTCATCATGGTCCTGTTCATTTACTGTTTCAGCGAGCTGTCTTGTTTTCTTATGTTCCTGATCATCGTCTTCCTCTTTATCGCGCGGATAAAAAACCTCTGCAAGTAGCTCAGCCGACTCCCTTGAACATAGAGTTTTACCTTGATTATTTAGCGGTAGGTCTTCATGCCTCTCAGTGGTTTTATTTATAATTTTATATATCCCCTTCCAGACTCCTTCTTTATCCTGTTTTTCACAGTACTCTTTCCAACTATTAATCTGTGCTTTTTTTGCTTCTTTCTCATATATATCCTTAGCCTCTAGATATTCTTTTATCACTTTCTGTCTTCGAACCGCGGCAGCGCATCGAATCCTACGCTTTTTAGTCACCATTATCCGTTTAAGGTTTGCCAGTTCTTTGGTCCACCACGGTATGGTAGGGAGTGATTTATTTTTTATTTTAGGTATGCAGGCATTACTGGTTTCTGTTATAATATTTATATATGTTGCTATAATGTCTTCTAACTCTGTTTTATCGGTTATATTATCTACGTTTTGTTGATTTATTCTATTTTCCAAAAGTAACTGACCGATTTTCTCTAGAAAATTAGTCCAGTTAGCTTTTTTAGTATAATATATCCTTGTTGTTTTTAATTCTGTGTTATTCTTTGTTATTTTCTGTTTTATTGTAAAGGTAATAGCATTGTGGTCAGAGCTAATTAAGTTTTGATTTACTTGCCAATTTTCAATTTTTTGTAACATATCTAATGTGCAAGCCGTTACGTCTATAAAACTGGTATATTGTTTATTGGCTCGTATGGTATAATATGTGGGGGTGTCTCCCTGATTTAAAATTTGCATTTCTAATTGCTCCAGTGTTGCAGCCATATCTTCTCCCCTTTCATCAATTACTGAGCTGCCCCACCAGACACTTTTTGCGTTTGCATCTCCTCCAAAAATTAAGTTGCGTTTAAATTTGCCTTTGATTTTAACTAGTTGGTCTAGGTATGGCACCAAGGGTTTGGGGTAAGGTTCAAAGTAGTAAGAGACGGCTACCATTTCCCACGCACCTGTGTGAATTTTTACCACCACAATATTGTTTGTGGTAAGTTCGGGGTACTGTTCAACTTTTAAGTCGTGGTCAAACACTGCTATCGCAGCTTTTACAACCCCCTCGTTTTTTGCGGTGCTTTGGTAGACTCTAGCCCCCCTATACTGCCTCACCCTACCTCTGGCGCCGATGTATGGCTCCTGTAGTAACGCAATTGCTATACCTTTCTTCTGTGATTCAATTATAATTTCGTTAGTGGCCAAGTTTTTCTTCTGTAGGTTTGCTTGAACTATTAAGTATGATTTTGAGTTTTTGTCCGTTGGGCCAACTGAGGCAACCTTAGCAATATGCTACTGAGGCCCTTGCCAATAAGTCCCATCTTTTCCTCGTAGGACACTCAGAGTCAAAGCTGTTATGATCTGTAATTTCCAGGTTCGCACGTTTACAGTTAATACAGGATGGGATCCCCCCAGCCATATATTCCGGGCAATCGATCTTTTTATGAGGCCCACCACAGTGTGAACAGTTTTCTTCTTCTGCTGTACATGATCGCCTACCATGCCCGTATCCTAGGCACTTCGAGCATTGTATCAGGGGTGATTGATCCATAACTTTAACCCTTTGCAAGTCGATGTGCATTTTACCTTCAGTTGTTAGTATTCCCCACAATGGAGGAGAAACTTGTACAATTATGTGATTCGTATGCAAGTTCCTAGCTCTTCTACGATACTTTACTGTAGCCCTTATGTCCTCTTTATTTAAGTGTTTTATTAGGTGTTCATTTTGAGTATTAATTGATGATATAATATCGTCATCCGTATTGGTTTGCAATACATCGTAAAGAATTATTAATGGGTCTTTGTTTTTGGCAGTCTGAAATGTTAGTGTCCTGTCAATCTTTAACCGTTCCGATACTTTTTGTAGCTGTTGGGTGGACTCACAGCCTATAATTACTTTTTGATCCTTAGCTTTTCTTACTTTATCTACGTTTATTCCGGTCTTTTTTGCATTTACTGCCGTTTTAATGCGCTCGATAATTTCATTGCTCGTCTCTTGTTCTGTTGAAGTAACAATTAAAGAGTGAAGTGCGGTAGGCTTTAAGTTGGATGCAACCGTGTTCCTTTCTCCTTTACTTTTCTGACCCGCAACGATACTGGCATATGTGGACTGTATCGAGAATGTAGTTGTTTCTATCTTATTTATAATCTTTTTTTCCCTTATTTCGTCTGTTTTATCCTGTTTTTCGATTAGTAGTTTTAACTGTTCAATTTTATCGTTATTTTTTCTTATAAGAGCTCCTTGTTCCTCTATTCTCATTAAAATTTCTCTAGCGTCGCTGCCACATTCCGTATTTAGCGTGTTTTCTTCTTTTGACTGCTCCCCTCCAACTAGTTGACTTGTATCGACCCGTGCTGTAATGTCACCGTTCGTTTTTTCCAGTTCCTTGACAAGTTCAAAAAGTCTTTCCGCGGCACTTACAATTTTATCTTTTAGTTCCATTTTTGTAAATTTTAAACTGCTGATTGTACTCTTGATGGTCGTGTATAAGATTTTCGCCTCGCTCGTAGGGGTCTTCGTTTTGGGAGACACTTGAGAATTTAGGATCCATGTCTTTATTGAGTTTTTGGCTGAAGCTGGTGTCTTTCTTGTCATTTGTTTAGCGTCCAACTCAATTATATTATTTTCTTGTTCCCTCACGCTGCGCAGAACCTGCGATTCTTCTGTTGACATACCTGCTTCATGAGTGCAGTCCTTGGATTTTACCATGCCTTTAGGTGGTGTTTTAAACATGTTAGCGTATATGTGTTGACAGGTCGTGCGTCACAAAGAGAAAGAAAAAAAAAAAAAAAAGAAAAATGTTTTTCAAAATAATAATATGTGTGTATATATATATATATACTGTCAACTATCAGTATATATTATCAAATAATAATGTTATGATGAACGCGATGCATTCAATTGTTATAGGTACCCAAATATTACAATATAGAATACCGTTCGTCGAGAAATTGATTAGTAATTCTTTTAATTATATTTACCGTACCGATACCGTACCTGTTCACGTTAATTCATACAAAACCTTAATATCCAACACTAACCCTATGCTATATTCTAACAATAATATTTATTTGTTATGATACAAGTATAAAGATACGAAGATGTACATAGTTAGTTAATGTTTTTATATTATACTATAATTAACTAATGTCCTAAGTTAACTAAATCTAATGTCCAATCTCCTATTATTTCGGCGATGTTAACTTTGTAAAATGAATTGCACAGCAGTTATTTTTTTTTTTCACTAACAGTTAATTATATTCTGATAATTTTAAAAAGTTTATTGCATAAATGTTATCCTCAGGTAGTTTACTGTCCTCCGATGATAATGTCCACTTCTTTTCCTTGTACGATTTTAGTGATTGGTATTGGTAACGCCCTCTATTGTCGGACCTCTGAAGTACTTATAAAACTTGACCGTCGATCAATCGAGACGATCAAAGTGGACCTTGTTGTTATGGTACAGGCACTCTATACTAGATGGCGTTATCGACTATGCGCTATTGTTATCTTTTTGCATTCTCATTTAGCAAAAATAGGTTATATTTTTATTGATTTTGTTGTAAAAGTTCACAAATCTATAATTGATCGACCCTTTAAATTTTCAGTAACTAATTTTGATAAAACCACTGTTATTTCGCTTCGACTGGGTGTCTTTTGATAGCACTTCGACTACTTTTTGATATTGCACTTTTTCACAATTTAGCACTGAGTCACTGAATAAAAAGCTTTGCCCACACTGTATGTTAATAGATGATTGATTATTTTCCACTTTTTGGTCTATACACTGGGTTAGGGTACACAATTATTTCTTAATGTTTCGATAAATACCAGTTAGGGAGACAAATGTTAAGTTATAACAAATGGACATTGCCAAAAGGCTCGCCAGTGCGTTGCCGACCTTTTAAGAATTGGTACGCTCTTTTCTTGAAGGACCCTAAGTCGAATTGGTTCGGCATATAATGGGGCAGCTGGTTTGACGTGAAATATGCATACAATATTAACATATAAGTCGCGATTAAAAGTTCGCGTTAAACCGTCAAAGGTTATGTTTATAGATCATGAATGACGCGGTTCGTGACGTTGAACAATATTTACGTTTTTCGAGAGATTGAAATAGTTCTGACGAATATATTCCGCGGAATGCGAGTTGTCACATGAATAACATGTATCGAGAATTGGGTTAGTGTTAAATACATAGAAATAGTATTCATAGAAAAAAATGGTTTAAATTGACTTTTATACATTTCTCTTTAAATACGAAGACATGGCCAAATTGGCTAGACTCTAAAGATTTTCTCCAAGAGTATAATAAATTATAAAACCTCATTCTTTATTTGTTTTAAATTAAAAAGAAACCACATCACGAAACTACCGGTTAATTTAATTCGTTCTATTTTCAAATTAAAACTGTCTCTATCAAAACGTCTGATAAAAAAACCAAAACATTAGAGTTAATTCGTTCGATTTTCGAACAATATTTTTCAAAGCTAATATAAAACCTCCTTACACATATAAAAAAAAAGATAATCGAGCTTATTAGTTCGTTTTTCGAATTATATTTTTCACTTACAAGTTACATTAGAAAAACAAAAGACATCACAAAGATACTCATTTGTAATCACTTGAACTACATGTACGCTCTCTGCAATAAAAAAGAAAATTACCTTGTTACCGATTTGCAAATTAACTATATTAAATCACAGCTTATACTTCTACCTATAATCACTATATTTACATTTCACATGGTTCCGGAGTCCTAACCACGAGGTCACATCTGGTCTCATCCTCTTCAGGTGTCGATGGTAATCTCGTAGGTCCCATAATCAGACCGAGGCACACATTACCAACATTTCACTTACACAAATACACTAGCATAAACTGATTCACAAACTATTTTAGCCGCGTTATTGTAAAATTAACAAAGACGCTTTCCGTATGGAGACATCCCACAAGGAATGCTCGCCGAAAATAGCGAGCGTCGAGCGTGAACAAGGGCGGGCGCAGTACCCCGCCGCGGCATTCCTCACTACCTTTACAAAGGTTAAAGTCTCTACAACTCCGAACGTCAAAAACCATAACTGTCAGTGTGAAGTTTGTACTGTCAAAATTTTCTCTTTACGTCAAACTATATGAAAATTCTTAGTAACGCGAAGTTGTAACTTTTTTGAAGTTATACTTCTTTAGGCGCGTTATTAAAAATTGATGAGAGTGAAATTTTACGATGCGCGCGCATCGTTACACAAAATTAAGAGAATTAAGTTGCCCACGGAAGAAGATACGGCATTGGACATAATTTAAAAACAATATTCGAATAATAATAGAATTTATGTTACACTTAATGTATGAGAATAATAATAAATATATTTTTATTTAATTTTACAAATGTAAACTGAACTTTATTGACTATAATGACTCCTTCCAGTCTTTGATTATTTAATTGTAATTAATTATTTGCATGCATTCAAAAACTATTTTTAATAATGCCAAAGAAGTATAACTTCTTACCACCCTTTTTTTATACTAGACACAGCGTAATAATTGGAACAGTTGCTGAAAATAATGCCATACTTATCTACTTGTAATTTTTTTAGTTTCTTAAACTACCCGACTCTTGTGGTGCGTGGTAGAAAAAAAATAAACGAAATACACTAATCCCCCTATAACGCGGTTTCCTTCCCCCACATAACGCGGTGATTTCTCAACTTATATATCTGTAGTTTGATATTTATACTGATTTGTCAAGTCCATAGTTTGGCTTTAACTGTTTTGTTAGAAAATTAAACTAAATAACTATATTAAATTCGTGTTCCTAGTTGCTGAATCGATTACCTATTACGCGGGCCGGGTCCACAGCGTTATACAAGGGATAACTGTACATCTACTACCATATCGCAAAACCAGAGCATCCAGCGAGAACTGGCCAGAAACATTCATCTACTCTTTGACCGCCATTATAGATTACAAAACTCATAATAACCTGGAAAACGGTCACCACCATCAGAGGACCGTCAGAGGTATTGCTACCACAACGATGAGAGGAGGATTTGTCGCTTTTACTATTTCACAGCCCTTCTTCATACAAGACAAACCCAACTATTTTATATTCCTCGCACTAATACAAACTATTTACGTAACTCATTCATGTATACCTTGTGATTATAACACAAATTACCAGTAAATGGATATATTTAATGTAACTAAACAATGTTTAAAAAAACTCTGGTATCTTTTATTAATAATGGCTTTGTATTAAATATATATATTAGCTGACCCGGTAAACGTTGTTTTGTCATGTATATTATTTCTAGGAAAAAAAATTTTAGTTCAATAAAAATAACTATCAATAATAAAAATAGGGGTTGATCGTAGAGGGGTCAAAATTAAGGGTTGTATGTATGTTTTATAATGCCACATAATAAAATAATAAATAATAAAAATCTTATCCAAAAAAAAAAAATTCTGGCTGGACACTTCTCACTTAGGGGTTTGAAAGATACATAGTAGGCGATTCTCAGACTTACTAAATATGTATAAAAAATCTCATAAAACTCGGTCGAGCCGTTTCGGATGAGTATGGGAAGGAACATTGTGACACGAGCATTTTATATATATAGAGATAATCATCAATGAATCTTAGGGTCTGTTTCACAATGTACGGATAAGTTCCTCATAAGTTCCAAATTAGCTATTTATTACTTATTGGTAGGATAAACACTATTGTTGCGTTTCACGACTGTCAGATAGCGCTATTCGTCACATAAAGTACATCATAAGTTATGAGTCGGATGAATGTCAAATAGCACAATTTATCTTCCAAATAATTTATGTGTTGCATAGCTATTTGGTACTTTATCCATACATTGAAACAGACCCTTAGAATTTTGAATTTATTATAAATGTATACTTTGTTATATTTTTTTGCAAAAATAGGTAAAACTGTGTATTATGTTTGAATGTGTATTCCGTTTTTGGCTTTTGTGTATAATATTATCGTTTGGATATTGTTTAGTGAGTAGCTGTAGCAATACTGTAACAAAAAAAATGACGTATTAAATAATATATATTTCACATAATATAAACTATGTTTTGATCGCGTGAGTTTTGGCGCTTTAGAATTTTTACAATAAAGGTTGAATGTGAATGGTTTTATCGTTGTATATCGTGTATTAATAATATTACTATCATGGTCACGGTGAGGTGTTAAAACTAGCACACATATATACTATCTATTTTATCTACTAATCAGCTGCGGATTCCTCATAAAACATTCTAGATATTGATGAAAACTACCAAGTACCCGTCCATACATGCATGAGTTGATCGCAAACAGACGCGGCGGTTGACTTTTTACATAATACTAGCTGACTCGGCAAACGTTTGTTTTGCCATGTATATTATTTCTAGGAAACATTTTTTTAGTTCAATATAAATATCTACAATAATAAAAATAAGGGTTGATCGTAGAGGGGTGAAAATTAGGGGTTGTATGTATTTTGGTATGCTGTATCAAAAAAAAAATACAATTTTTTTTTCGGGTGGACACCCCTTATAACTTTGGGGTTTGAAAGATAGATGATGTCCGATTCTCAGACTTACCGAATGTGCATAAAAAAATTTCATAAGAATCGTAAGCCGTTTCGGAGGAGTATGGGAACGAACATTGTGACACGAGAATTTTATATATTAGACTAGCGGCCCGTCCCGGCTTCGCATGGGTGGATACTAATCTTTCAAACATTTTTTGTAGATTGATATGTTTTTTAATATTGTGAAACATTTTTCCAGCTAGGAACAGTTTTCCTAAAAGTTCAATTGTCGATTTTAAAATTGTTCTTACTTATTATTTATTTTTACCACATTTGAAACTTGTAAGTGAAACCCCTGAACTACCACAAAATACAAATATTTCAAGCCAAAATCCTTTTCGGTACAGCCATTTAAATTGCAGTAAATCTGCTTATACTTGAACGAACCCAAAGGCCGGCAACGCACTTGTGAGCATTCTGGCAATGTGATTTCCATGGGCGGCGGTATCACTTACATGAGGTGAGCTTTCTGCTCGTTTGCCTCCTAATAAAAAGCTTACCCTGCATCTAAACGGCCTAAAGTTACGTTCAAAATTCGGAATCTTTTAAAAAAACACCGAAATAATCATAATATCAATTGATTACGCCCAGATACATTTCTTAGAAGCATGAATTCAATGAACAATTAATAACTCAAATACTCACTGGCGTATCTTTTGTGCGTTACTTTGAAACGATTTCCTTATAAATTATAATATGATATATCATCCAAACATATCAGTGAATCACCATACAGAAAATTCAGTAGATTTACAGTTAAAGCTCCTTTAAAAGCTCTTTTAAATTACGTAACGAGTTTTGGGGGAGGGTGGATTCTTTGTAAAACGTTACGATGCGAGGCGGAGATTGAATTACGCGTTATTGTTAATATTATTTTAGACTTTCCAGTACTATACACCACATAATGGTAACTTTTAGGTACAATGAGTCACTGGGTGGTCACGAAACGTTTTACTTTTGGGTACAGAAAATCGTTTACGGCGCGTTACACTTTAAAATTTAATTATGAAATTAGACACCCCCTTATATGTTTAGTTATCTAGTACACCAACATATATTTAAATTTTAGAACATACAATATATAATATGTATAATATATAAAATGTATAAAACAGTTGTAGCTTGTAAATAATGTCTAAACCTGCCTTATCCTAATTTTTGGAGATTAATTTCTTCGGAAACGATTTATCAACGAAATACACATACACATAATGTGTTATTTATGAATGATATTAAAATAAATACACGAATATAGCTTGATGTTTGTTTACGTGTTTACAAGCATAGTACGGCGTACTGATGCGACGCCATCTTCACTAGTGACTTTCGGCTCTTTTATAAATAATTTAAATTTTGACGTGACAACGTCTAATAAATCGAACACCAGCTGCACGTACGGAAAAGCATGATTCATTGTCCCGTTACGGTCATTGTCCCGTTACGCTCATTGTACGCTTTCGCCGCATCTATCTCTCTTTCATTCTATTGGTCTATACGTCCATTTTTAAAGTCAATATTTAACAGAATTAAAAAAAATATTCTGTATATTTCAGTCACAAAAAAAATGGCTTTTAATACTTTAGGCATTTTTGCCCTCGAGTCCTACACCACTTGTAATATTTTCTACTGCATTTTAAATCTACCGCATTTTCACATCGGAAGAGTAAGGGCCAAAAACGTGTTATAAATTAATAAAGCAAATGGCGGTGCGGTGCGGCGACCGTTTGAAACAATAAACAATTTATCTCATCAATTGAAATTAATTCTGAAACATTCACAAACGATCGAGTCTCGAGTTTTAATAGAAATAAATTATTCAACATTTCACAAATACATTCGATTCACAATGTATTAAAATAACTGTCTATACTCACAGTCGTCTAATAGATAATAACTACTTAGCCTAGGCATCAGCAAACTGATGCCTGACAGCAGCATGTCGGGCACAGGAGGCTGATCACCTACTTGCCTATGAAGTGGATCACGAAACAGACCTAAATCTGAAGCCCAGACCTAAACGGCTGTAGTGACAACGTGTCAACGACAAGTGTGTTGTTTTTTTTTACTTCTATGTACAGTGCAAACTCTTTATAACGAATTTCAAGGGACCGAGCATTTTTCATTGTTATAGAGAGTTTTCGTTATATGGCGAGAAGATAAAAAACACAAAATTTAACCAATTACAATAATTTATATATATAATAGATAGTACAATGGTGCGTTTAGTAACTGAGACCAAAATTTCCTACAGGCAATGTAATCTAAGAATAATGGCACACGTGTCAATTCAATTAACAATAACAAAGGCGAGAAGGCTGTTTATGACCTCTCTTAGAAATTTCGGCACTTCAATAGGTTAGTTTTGTAATCTGATTATAAAAACAATTACACTTAAGTATGTTTTTGATGTCTAAATATGAAAATATTTCTTCGTAATGGAGAGTGCTGGCCTTCTTAAGAGTGGATTAATGTATGGGTTTCGTGTTAAACCAACCAAATTTTTATTACGTTATAGAGTGTTTTCGTTATAGCGAATGGCGTTATAAAGAGTTTGCTCTGTAATTACTAATAACACTTCTTTGCATAGCAAAAGTTCGGTAATAAATATAAAACCTTTAAGCGACATTTCACGTGCTGACTTCCATTATTTTGCTAAATGGTCGGCGATTTTCGTAAGCATTACACAATCACCTTGAAATAAAGCTATGTTAATAGAATTACATAACAAACGTATGCAGTATACAAACACCGAAACGGCCTTTATAATCCTACTACAGTCAAAAGTTTAGAACAACATACCGGTTATATTGACCAAAATCAGTGTCGTTTTTCCTACAAACGTAGAATAAAACTATGAAAAGATTTTTAATTTGTTACGCCAAAGAAGTATAATTAGTATAATTTAATAAGTTAAAAGTCGACAACCACAGACAAAATCTGCTATAACGACATCGAAGGGTTTACTCATATTTGGTCGTAAAAACCGATGACATTGTTAGAACCTAATACATACAATAGAATTCAGCCGGGACCTTTGATTTTCTAAACGATGTAGTCTTAAACGGTTTTCATTGTAATATAATATTTAGGACAATATTTTATCTAACACAATAATATATATGGACTTATGATTGTCTGACAGATTAAATAAATTATTTAAAAATTGTCTGGATAAGTCCAAATAATTATTCATTGTTTGGAAGATTATATATGCTATTCTTGTTTTCAAATCAGCTTTTTGCCGTATAAAAGACCTTGTTTCAGTGTGTAGGCTTAGAAACAAGATTTAGCTATTTGTTTATGGTACAAGAGGAAAACTAGCAGTCATTTAAAGTTACGAGTTTACACCAGAAGGTTTGCAAATGCGTCGCCGGCTTTTATGGTGGTGGTACCCTCTTCTCTATGTATAAGTGAGATGCCTTCTATTGGTGGGTACGCCTCCAGGAGATGCCTATTTAGTTCGCAAGAAGTGTCATCCCTAAATCTTACCCCTTAAGGGTCTCAAATCAAACCTCATTTTAACGCTGATAGAGGACAAATCTTTGTTTTTAATTTATTTTATCATTATTTATTACTTAAGATGTCATGTGGAACATGGTGTAATGTTTGCAGCTCCTTACAAACGTTGAGTAAAACAAAAAACTTGGCGATTAAAAAGAGTGGCGGAGAGTTTATTGCCAGTTCTTCTCTTCCGTTTTACGCCCATGATTTGAGAACTTTATTCATTTTTGACGTTCATAAGTGTACATTGTGTTACCTATGATTTTTGCCACATACAAATCAAATGAAGCAACTTTATACTACGTTAAGATTACCAAAGTCAAGCTAATTGAATTAACTCCGATTTTTTCTTAACTGTGAATAATAGATTTCCTTATATTTAGTTATACAAAGAATTTGCAATATTTATTCTATAATTGGAGATGAATACAGCCAACCAATTTAACCATATTTATATATAGTAACTATCACAGTATATTTTAATATTCTACTATTTCAAAGATTCAGAAGCGATTTTGCAATGTTTAGACGATTGTATCTATACACTTAATTGCAGGTAACGTTTTTCATATAAAGCCCTGAGGTAACTCAGGGCTTTATATGTAAATTAAACGATACAATAGATTTTTGTTTGGAAAACTTAAGCGTTCACGAGTGTATGCCTCTAAACCAGTGATTCCCAAAGTGGTCTATATCGACCTCTAGGGGTCTATGACAACCTGCAAGAGGTCTACGTCAGCGAAAAAAAATTTGGGAGTCCATGAAATGAAAATGGGGGTCCACGATAGTGGATCTCAACACATACACTGATACGAGTAGTACCTATTTACTTTTTTTTATTTTTTTTTATTAATTATGGAACATAAGATACATGTATCACTTATTCCACGTCATTAAATTTGAACTTTTTTTTTTTTTTTTTAAAGACAATTCACACCAATTGACCGAGTCCCATGCTAAGCTGGTGAAGCTTGTGTTATGGGTACTAGGCAACGGATATACATACATAGATAGATAGACATATAAATACGTATTTAAACACCCAAGACCTAAGCACAACACCAAATGCTCATCACATCGATGTTCGTCTCAGCCGGGGATCGAACCCGGGATCCATGGATTCGCAGTCATGGGTACTAACCACTAGACCAATGAGTCGTCGACTTTTAGGCATCCCTACTCATCGGCAAAGAAGACAGGGGTGTAGGCCGAGAGAAAAAGCCGGCGTAAAAAACTCTCGGTACTCTTTTAAAACAGCAAACCATCAAACAACACTTATTTAAAACAAATATCGCAAATTAATTAGAAGTAGCCTGTCTAGCACTAGTCCCAGGCCCTTTTATCAACTAGATAATCGTTGACTTTATAGTAAGCCTTTTTACACAGCTTTTCTTTAATACATTTCTTAAATTTATTGAAAGGCAGAGATAAAAGAGCCTCTGGGATTTTATTAAAGAAGAGTATCCCTTTCCCCAAAAAAGAATTACTAACTTTAGATAGTCTAGTACGGGGAAATTGCAGCCTGCGTTTGTTCCGTGTATTAACATTGTGCGTATGTTCTATTCTAGAACACATCATACTATCTTATAATATCAAAACATATACATTATTTATAAAAGTACCTATGAAGTAAAAAATAAAGTATTATATTATATAAAAGTATTATTTTAAAAATTGTATAAGTTGTAGGATGTTAGTATTCGCTTTGTGGTTTTAAATTTTATTTTGAGTAGTTTTAATTTAAATTCAATTAATAAATGTATAAATTAACATGTGTTTCTACTTTAAGTTTTTAACACTAAACTTCACTACAGTTAGAAATTTACAGGAAATCAATATCAGGTAAGTAGGGGGTCTAACCCAACACGGAAAAACATGGCAAGGGGTCTACGGCACAAAAAAGTTTGGGGAACTCTGCTCTAAACGGAAGCACGAACATGCATCGTTCAAATAGAATACGTAATAACTATACAAATTGTATGGAAATCGTTACTTTCGGGTCGTCAATTAACGAAATTAACGTATACGAATAGTTGACGAAACTATCAGGCCTCAGACTAAAAACTTTTTAGGAACAAATCACAAAATATATCCAATGTATATTATCGTAAAAACACTTCCAAAATAGTCTTCCGTAAATGTAACAAAAAAAACTCACCTATATTTAGCTTTGTGCGCTGCATCGAATAAGTCGCCCTCAAACGGTGAAGTGATAAAATAGGCCGGCGACGTCAGTGTAGGAAGTCCTTGTCCAACGCTAACGGCTACAACGGAACCGAGACGTTCGCACGCAGCACGTACGCGTTCGCACTCCAGACATGGATCGTTGACATACACCATAGAACCTATTGAAAAAGATCCGTTAGTCAAAAGACATTTGCTTGATGTAGTGGCATTGTCTACAGAATGAGGTGTCAATTCCCACTTGAACTGTAACAATTCACCACTGTTATTATTGTAAGAAAAACTATCGGTTATGCTATAATGCTATCGGTTATGGGCCTGCTTTGTATTGGACATACACCCCATCCATAGCGGTATAAGAGTTATGGAACTCCACATTCTTCAACATGGAGACTAGAGACTGAAGCTAACCAAATTGGTACCCAATATAAAATCTCCGTGCAGCAAGGATCTCACTAAATTAACAGAAAAATCTTTATTTAATTTATTTTGGAATTGCGATTCCAGTTTTTCATTATCTTTTGATAATTTATTGTTTCGTTAACAATTTCCTAGTGATTTCTTCCTAAAACCTATCATTTCTTAAGTGGACAATTAAATTTTTTTTTTTTAAATTTGGTTGGGAAAGACTGTTGTAGACTATGAGTTCACGATACAAGGCAAATCTTGAGATATGAACCATGGCAGAGTCTGCCTAGAGAATTGGTCTTTGCTACAAATAAATTATGCTAATGCTTGAATCTTAAATTTTATGTACAATGCAGTGCACATGCAGTTTATTGACTATGTGACTCGCAATCCTTATTTGGATTTATACAGAACAGAATGCATTGAAGAGTAATCTTCATCCCACTTTGTTTTAAATTGACCTTTAACTAAGAACCTTGTTAACGGAACCATCTGTCAGATTGAATAATATCAGTAAGTTACTGAATAATACAATATCATATTTTTTACTATACAAAATTTACTATTACTGCAACTTAACAGTTATTTATAAATTAATTAAAGATGAAAAAGATTACATAAATTCCTTATAAAATAAAGAAAAACACAAATTAAATTTATTTCCCTAGTAAAAATGTATTTAATCCATTTTAAAAGAGTTACCATCTTATAAAATCTAAATATAATGTTTAACTTAAGCACTATTGCCTTATGACTGTGATAAATAAACAGCAATAACTTAAAGAAGAGAAATATCTAAGTTATAGTAGTGTAATAATGATTCAGTTTCAATAAATATGATAGAAAAAGTCTAACAAAATAATAATACAGTTGTAATATTAAGGAGTTGTATTGTGTGTGATAAACATCATTTTCATGGCTAAAAGGTCCTATTTCTGATCTAAGAATTATAATTTTGTAAATTACTATACCCGACAGAAAAAAAGGAGGGAAACAGTTGGTTGCTGTCTGTTATATATAGTTTAGGGTAATAAATCAACTGGTGTCTATCCAGTAATAGGTTAGATATGATACTACTGATACGAGATCGTTTTATTTACTTTTACGTCAACTGTATCTCATTTAAGTGCGGCCAAAAACACATTTAGGCATGAATTTATCGCTATGCTTAAATCGTCAAAAACAAATATTTTGAGAGGGTGTAAGTATTAACACGGCTTAGAAAACACAAACAGCCAACGACACACAGTCGTTTCGGAAACAATTGCAACAAAATTAAAAGTATTGAAAATATATAAATATAAATTCACCATTATTTTCTTGAGTTTTGTCAGTTGCAATAATTGAGCTTCCTGTTTGTGACATTCCCTTACACAATTCGTCCATCTTGCGTACCACTAAATAAATCGTTAATTCAATTCTTCAATGCTTAGTTGCACAGTAGTTTTACACATCATGAAATGTAAGTCACAACACGTTACAGAAATCCGAATTCTTGTTTTTACTCCACAAAAGTTTTCTTAAAATCGAAAGCATTTTATTAACTTCAAAAATAATATCAAGCTCAATGCTCAAATCACAAAAAACTGAAAACTAGCCACAGATGACAGTAATGTATCGCGATCCAGCACAGACTTAAGGCAGCTGATTCATAGGATATCAAACGTAGGAACAAAATAATTACCCAACTCAGAAATTGAATATAAGTATAATAGATAAATATTTTTGTCGTACGATTTATATTTAGTATGCCTGAAAAAAAGAAATTGGTAATTAAAGTAGGTATTATACAAACGTAAGTTCATTTAAAAGAACTACATTATTATATCATGAAATGTAGGTATTATGAAACAAAATAAGATTTTTTTATATATAGATTTAATGACTAAAATATGGCAAATACACAATTTAATTTACTAATTCTTGTACATTTAAGCTATGAACATTCTTGTGTTTAAAAACATCAAGTTTTCCACGATAATCAAACATTTTTGAGTATTATTTCGTGTGTCATAATTGTTTATGCTAATAACTTTTAACAAGCTTTACTATTATGGAGGAAGGATGTTGTGTACTTTCTCTTCATCTCTTATATTCCATCCTCTTCAAACCGAAAACTCTTTTTTACCTCAAGAACAATTTTAAATTCACGGGAGGTCATAGTTATAGCGTACCCTGTTAAGAATACGTAATTACTTATTACGTACTCTGTTAAGAATACGTAATTCACTTTCTGCCCCTATCCGCTTAGCTCTTTCTCTATATTTCTTTAAACTTCTTCTGTACAAGGACAACATCGTAACATAATCAACATTTAAACATAAACGCCCTCGTTATTATTTAATTTTTTTAATTGTACATTTTTTGCAACGAAGTGTTAAAAAAATAAACCACAGCATATAATAGGTATAATAAAGTGGGTTAATCAGCGATAGTAGGCATCAGTAGACATTAGTCAATATTCAATTTCAGTAACTCAATAACAAGTAACAGCCAACAGGCGATCACTAGAATGTTGTCAACAACGTCATTGTTTATGTTAACGAAAATAATGTGATTAAAAATTATTACATATTATTAATTGATTAGTACTGGATATAAATTTAGATAATTTTTTGCTAATTATTAAATAATAAATTAAACTACTTACTAGTAAGTAGTCGTTTATGGACCATTTATTTCTCTATTTTTACAATTTATTATTAACCATATAGAAACCACATTGATAAGATAAAGGCGTTGTTAATATTAGCATTACTGATAAACAATGGGATAACAGAAAAACCAATGAACGTGATGTGTGAACAGTTAACATAATTATTTTCTATTGAACATACTCTTCACAATATTTTTAGTAATGGAACATTTTGGTTTGTCGCACATATTATGCGAGCCAGATAAATATAGTCCAGATACTTTGGACTTATTAGTAGATGACGAAGCAAGAGAATATTGGTTAAATACATGTGAAAAACTTGTAGACAAGTATGTCAATTTTGCGTTAACTCGGAAAGATGATCCCACTATTGAAATACGCGCACTCAAGTTTAAAACATGTTATGTGGAGGCATTAAAAGAAATAAGAGTAAATCCACTGTAAGTATTAAGTTCTCTTCATCTTTTTGTAAGTTGTATAAAGTTGCAATGAAGCATGGGTTGCCCATACCACATATTATGAATCTGCAGCATTGAATATTTTTCATAACTAAGGATTAAAGCAAAAAAAAACTTGTCACCAAGTAATCCATATTGATAGTCTATCTGTCTATACTACATGTACATATCTAATTACATACTGGTTTTTTATAGAGCTCACGGATACTTAACTATACGCTTATTACTTGATATTAATGAAACTTGTCTTCGAGCTCAAGGCTTTTTTGATTTATGGAAACAACAGAAAAAGTATGAAAATGATGCTGCTCTAGCTCAGCTTGCATCAAGACTGGCAGAAATAGATGCCATACTAGATGATAAACAGAAATGGATTGCGTTATGTAGTGGAGTGCTAGCAGGTAAGTTAAATTTAATATTAGTGCTTTGCATAAAAGCAAAACATTTTATTATATACAATTTGTCTTAAAAGGTAATATGTTTGATTGGGGGGCCCAAGCTGTAACATCAATATTAGATAGTGGACTATATGAAGCACTGCAAAAGATTCAAAAGCGTCCCTGGCTGTGTGATGGATTTGACCAATGGCTGAATAAATTACAGGTATTCTACTCTCAAACCCCTTAATATTACTTTGTTTTATATCCTAAAAGCCTCAATATGAAGAATTGTCTATAGATAACATCAATAGAATTTGTCTGTATTATATTTGTTTATACTTAAAAATAATGTTTTTACCATATTTTCCAGAATACAGTTCATCACTGTGCTGCTGTTTTTGTAGATAACAGTGGTGTTGATGTTGTATTAGGAATTTTACCATTTGTCAGAGGGCTCTTGCTACGAGGAACATCAGTTATACTATGTGCAAATGAATGGCCTGCTTTGAATGATATTACAAATTCAGAGCTGGAGAGTGTACTTCAGAGTGCATCCCTAATATGTCCAATTATCGCTGCAGCCAGTGCATCTGGTAATCTAGTTGTAAGATCCAATGGCCAAAGGGGACCATGTCTCGATTTAAGAACAATTACTTTAGGTAAGTTTTGGGATTTATATAAATAGTTCTTTAATTCACACATTCTTAAATGTAGATATTAGAAAAGTATATTATATACTGGTGTACTTAAGGCCTTCTCTGCCTTAATGTGTGAGATGTTGGTGTATTATTGTTTCTGTGCCTGAAGCTAAATTTTATTTTGCAGATCTTGCCACTGAGATGAAAATGAGAGGAGTAGATTTAATTATATTAGAAGGAATGGGGAGAGCTCTACATACAAATCTGAATGCTTGTCTAGCAGTAGACTCATTAAAATTAGCGGTCGTAAAAAATGTATGGCTTGCAGAACGGCTTGGTGGACCCCTTTTTTCTGTTATTTTTAAATATGAAGATAAACCTACACATACAATGCCATAAATATTATTAGTTATTTACGACAGTATTTAATGAAAACTAATAATTGACCTACATATAACTGAAGCAGGAAAATGTAATTGTACATTTAAGAATGATTAATTTTATTTGTGTTAACATTACTGACATATTTTGAATATATTGAGTGTTACCTTGTGATCAATTTATTTACACCTATTTGCAATCTTAAATTAAGTTAAATCTTTACATTGTTAATATTACATATTATTCTTTGAGGATAATTATATTCATAAATTGAAGTAATAATAAAAATCAAGTTATTTGGTATGATTTATTAAGAAGTAAAATGACCCGACTGAATTAATAATTAAAGGAAACTTAACAGTTCATTTATAAATTCATGTGACTAAAATATCAACAATATACCCATTTATTAGACAATCACCTGCAGGAGCTAACAATCACAGAAGGTATAAAATTGGTAGCTATTAGCTAAATGAACACTTCATCAAATAGTTAATTTATATCGGAATACAGTTCTACTAAATGACCATGCTACATCTTACCATCATGACGTCAACAATACATTCTATACTTCATCTTATTCTTATTTTTCTACTCTTAACTTTTTAAGATCTGTTGAGCCAAGCAATCACTTTAAATAACAAATAAGCAATACTTATTGCATAAGCAATTTTTTCCTTTTGTTGTCTTTGAAGTGTTTCAGCTTCAATAGACATAACACGACGATTAAGTTTTGCAATTTGACGGCGAAGATGCACAAGTTCCTCAGCGGCAGACAGACCCTCCCCATTACTTATGGGTGGAGTCGGATCCCTTAAAAATAAAGAAATATATAAATTTACATAACTTGACATGTATTTCAAGTCAAAAAGTTTATTTTCACAATTTAATTTTTTGTTACTATATTTATTATATTTCTTTCTAGTATTAATAAATTAAATTAAGTATTTTCTTAGATGTCAACATCCAAAAAAAGCATGATCAAATATAACAAAAAATAAATATGGTTTCGGGAGAGATATAAAATCTTTTATTACCTCAAAACTAGACGTGATTCCGTCATGGTAGACTCATTAAGAATGTCAGAATGGGGGAGAATTTGACGGGTAACTTCTTGAGAACGAACAGCTCGAGCATTTCTTGGTGGAGAGTTAGCAGAACCAGGAAGAAAATCATCAGCTGATGGGAAGTAGTGCTGGTCCAGTGTAATAACACGTGGTGGGGTGGTCACTCGTATCATTCCAGGGTCAGTTGGTAATACTGCATTATCCAATTGGATTTCTCTGGGTGTTGCTTTTGTCCCTGTAATAAGAATATTTGGCTCATGATTGGGATAAACCTTAAGAGACAATGAACTTTTTTACAAGTTCTAAAAAGAGAAAGGTCACAGGACATCCACTAAGAAATATTTTCATACATAGTTCAGAGTATAAAAGTTCCATAACAATAAATTGAAGTTATGCCCATTGTAGTTAACACAATATTTATAATGTGAGTGAATTTTTCTCATTCGCAGATATTTTCGAGGTTGTCATAGATAAATTTCCTCATAAATCAATTTGCAATCAATAGGCCTGTGCCTTTTCATCCAAACAAAAGCAGGTATCCAATACCTGGTTTATGTGTATAACCCAGTGATTTGTAGTTGCTTTAAGAAGCAATATAAATAAATACTAAGCTAGAATGTTATGGCTGCAAAAGTCATACCAATATGCTGATCTTGTCCCATGACAAGGATCCTCTCAGGAACCTTCATGTCAAATTTTTCATTAGCATAGTCCCATCCAGAAATAATTCCATTTGGAGTATTCTCCTCATCAACTACATCACCCGTTGCCTAAAAACAAACACTTTCATTGTATCTTAAATGCCCTACAAAGAACCTAGAGACAAAGAACCTACATACAGACATATGAAAGTATCATTTAAATGTACTGATTTATACATCACCTGAATATTTGATTACACTGATATAAAGATATTGTTGCTACTCTTGAATTTTAATTACTACCATAGAAGTGTCTTTAACGCACATTAGGTGGTAAAAGATATGAGGGTATCTTAATTACCTTTATTCTGTGTGGCACAGTCATATTATGACTTATAAGCCTTGCATAAGCTTCGTCTGATGTATACTGCATTTTTACAACTTTTCACTTACGATATCTATAGTTGAATACTGATGTGCCAGTTCCAGATTTACTTAAACTCCTAGAAATGAAATTATCGTAAATTTAACGCAGCTATGAACTAAAAAAAATTGGATATACTTTTAATAATTATAGACTATATTACCTATTATTCAACCTCGAATGCTGAGTTTACTAGAGTTTAGAGTTAGTTACTAAGAATTTAAATTAATAAGTTCCATATAAGTTGGATTAAAACCAACTGAAACCTACCTTCTTTTTTGGCCAATGGCCACAAATTTTGACAGTATATGAAATGATATGAAATTTAGATAATTCAAAATAGAAATAAATATAATTTGACAGCTTTAGTAACGTCAAAACTAGGTAATATTTCAAAAACACTTGCAAGCAGTAAACTGTCGGCGAGATATAACACGACCAACAAGCGTAAGTAATGTCAACTCCTACAGATGTTTCCCCTAGGACCAACTTCAAGAAACCCCTAAATATCGATGAAACACTTTAGAGGTTCTACAGTAATTTCAAATATGAATTAAAATACATACATTAAAAAAAAAGTGCCTGTGTACAAAGTACACATGTCAGAAGTGAAACTTCTTTGGCAAACTAATTTTTAGCTCTTTTCGTATTTTCGCTCGTTCATATTTATACAAATAAAACATTTTAGTTTTCGGAGACTTAGAGGGAGGGAAGTTATATTATGCTATTTAAGCGTGGTTTCTATTTCTTATTTAAAGTAAAAAATTAGGTAAAGTTGGTAACATTATGCTTAACGTCAAAAATCGTGGAAATCTCCTATTGGCAGACAAATGACACTAGAGTCTAGACATTTTCGTTGCCGCATACATTTCAAGCCAAGTTTCATTAGGCTTCAACAAAATTATTGTGCGATATAACTGAATTCGTATTTTAATCTCATAAGATAAAGATAGTCATAATACCTTTTAAATATGGCACGTTGATTTGTCCTATACTGTTTTATTAAGGACATTCTGTATTTAAATACGTCAATAAAAACAATGTATTTTTCACCAGTTTAGAGAACATAATAGTTTTTTTGGCTGCTTCAGTTTGTTCAAATAATTACAAATAATTAGCTTACGTACGTTGGAAGCAATGAAGGCTGTGGGGTTTAGCGCGTTACTGTTTTTGATTTTAACACACGCTTTTGACTCAATTGCATCCAGCGCCGACACTAAGAGAGAAGAAAAGAAATCAAAAGGAGTGACAACATTCGTCAGTGCAAAATGGGAAGCAACTCCAATAGTTTTGGAATTAGCAGAATATTTATCTGGAGAGAGTGGCGATATATTCTGGTCATTTGTGGATGGCATAAATTCATTGAAATCTAGTCTGTCTAGTCTTAGTAAGTCATAACATTATTGGCATGGGCTAAATATTCACAAAGTACATTTTATGTTTATTATTTGTTAGGCTATATAATGTAATAGGAGGCAAACGGGTACGAGGCTCATCTGATGTTAAGTGATACCGCCACCCATGGACACCCTCACATTGCCAGAAGACTTGCAAGTGCATTGCTGGAAGTAATATACAAGTAATGAGCAGCAGAAAATATATTTAGGTATAGCTTCAGGCCTAAGTTAACCTATAACCGACAACCAAAGTTATTAGCTAGGTTAACTATTAGCCATTTGGCTTAAAAAAAATTTTTATGTCCATCTTTGCTTCTATGCCCAAAACATTTCCCTAATAAAGGTAAATTATGATTTAAAACTTTAATTTATGCTTTACAGATACAGACAAAGACGTATATGATACATGCATTGGCATAGCAAGTTCATTATTAGCCCCAGCCCAGTTACGTATGGCTAAACTTGCACTTTCTATGCACTTAAATTCACCCACTGTACGGATGTTTGATGAAATCGCTACTCAAAATGGAGCTAAACAAGTAAACTGTGATGTTTTTGTTTCAATTGCATCACAAAACATTTGTGATAATGATATTTTGAGGGATGTTCTTCAATCAACGAGCCAGTATAATGCAGTAAGTATTTGAATAAATGTATGCTGTATATAGGCTCTCTGTAAAATATCAATGATGGGGAAGTTGTTGTTAGGGAAGTAATAATTGTTGAAGTTGTAACAAAGAAAAGTAACATTGTTCAGATCTTGATATAACTAAACTGTAAAAATTCTGTTAACTTAAATTTTATAAAAAACATAGACTGCTTTTATATGACATACGGTGACATTTTTATTCAGTGGGTCCAGAGAGTGTTCAATTGCTTGGATTCAATAAGTCAATATTTTAGTTTAGTAAAGAGAGATAACAGCTTTCCCTGCTTAGTAAGAAAATTCACCTGATAGTCATATACAGATACATGTTTGCTTTAGTCAGACAAAAATAGTTTTTAACTACAGTCAAAATCTGTTATAGCAACATCGAAGGGACTACACTAATTTGGTCCTTAAACCGATAGTCGTAACAGCTGATAACTTTGTTATTAAGTACCTAATACATTAGAATTTAGCCGGGACCTTTGAATTTGGTCAATATAACCGGTATATTGTTGTAAACGATAGCATTGCAAACGGTTTTGACTGTATTTTTATTTATTACATATGTGGGGGTATTTCAGGATGAACACAGACTTGAAACATATCTGTTAGACCATACTTATCCAAGTAGCGACAACAAATCCCTTACTGCTATTTTGTATGGAGAGCTGGGCATGCCTGAATTTACAGTAAAGCATAAGATATTGACAGCATTTGCTGATAAAGGGTTAATCAACTATGTTGTCAGATGGAATGTTAAGGTGAGAAATTTCTTACTAACTTTTTGTTAACTAACTCAATAATGCCTCCTAAGTCTACTATTTTCTTTTTTTAGATAGTTGTTTCCCAACCTTTTTTGTGCCATGGCCCACAGCCTTTTTAAAATTCATATTCCCCCCATATATCCTAGATATGTCGCAGCCAAAGTTATAAAGGCTAGGCTGTCAATTGAACGACTAATTAAGCTAGTCGGCCGCGACATATTATAAAAAATAAAAATAACATACATAATTTTTAATATAAAAAAATGTAATTATTCACTTTAAAATACTCTTATCCCTCTCTTGTTAAATGATAGGTTTTTAGGACACTGTGATAAATTTATTAAACATATAATGAAATACTGAAATTCAAATTCCAAATACAGTGTAAACTCTATATAACGACACTGAAGGGACTGTGCATATTATGTAGTGTTGCCCAAAATCGGTCTTGGTCTTGCAGTCTTGGTCTTGTTCTTGCATTTTCGCAAGACCAAGACCAATACCAAGACCGCCTTATTGTAGCAATACCAAGACCAAGACTGAAGCCTGCAAGACTTGAGCAAGACAATACTAAAGCCTGCAAGACTCTTGCGTCTTGCAGTTAAGACAAACTGAGATTTGGGCGTTATTAAGTAGGTATTTGGTTTCAATCCCGATTTTGAGAGACGTTCCCCAGTATTAAAACCGTTGGTATCGTCATAACACTAAAAGTGCCGCTCGTCTGAAAGAACACTGAAAGGTATTGTATTGATTAGGTAGGGAAGTACTTATTACATTTCAACAATTTATTAAGTAGGTAGCGTGTTAATACTCACAAATCTGTTACCATCATCCCATGTGATAAAATTTACCCAGAATAACTTTCTAGCAAAGATCATACCTTGTAGGTATCAACTAACCTATAATAATATATTATGCTTGTTTATGTCTAATGTGCAGATCTAACGTTAGTACTCGTAGGTTGGTATGTGCTTAAAATTATAGCCAACAAAGTTATATAAACATTATGTAGGTACCTACTTATGTTTCAAAGTTTATATTATTCTTCTATTTAGCAAAATTTAAAACTAACTGCGAGTCGAGTAGGTCTAGTAACAGTTTCTACGGCAGCCAATATTATGGTACAGACGCTAGCACATCAAGCTACTACAATCTGTCAAATTTCTTTAACAGATTTTCAACTTTATCGCTAAAGAATTAAGGTTCAAGGTTGATTGGGAAAATGTGACGTTCTGCGAATAAACTGTTGGTCGGTTGGTGTATTATATACCTACTTATTTGATAATTTACCGACAAAGTGTATCTAGTGTAAGTGTATCACAGCATTTGACACTGTTTGAGCGCCGCATTCGCCGACAAAGAGTCCGGACAGAGGCACACAAAATTGTTACCTATTTTGGTAGGGTTGGTACAGGAGGATAAAATTAAATGACCTTGAAGATGTCTCAGCAGTAGGTAGGTATAAATTGAATGCTCTGAGTTTCTTGTATTTAAATACATTCTCACACTGGCTCGAATTTGAACACTACAGCGTTTAAAGCTGTCGGGCGAGATGATAATTAATAACTAAGTAGGTATTGCATCTATTGAATTGCGAATATTTTGTTTTCAAAATAATCATTGTTAATATCGGTAAATGATAGATAGTGAGTGATATACCTAGGTACTAAAATGTGAGCAGCAAGATTGAAAAGTGTTTATGCCATGTCAGTGCATTCCATAAGTTTATTTTAAAAAAACGCTCTCAAGTAAGATTTAGAGTTTACCATTCAATTACATACAACACATTATTGAAAAATATATTTAGACGGAGTACTTAGGAAATTAGTAGAAAAAATATTCTATCGTGGATACCTAGTTATTAAAAAGTTGATAAACGTTGTGTTTACTTATTTTCTGTGCTAATGCCAACATTGACAACCCTACCAAAATAGGTAAAAATTTAGTCCGCTCCTAGACTTTGTGTCCCCGCCGTCACTTTCATGTCAAAGGTCGCCGCCACTGCCCATGTCCCAAAGAATAAAATAAGTTTCCGGGTGCTCAGAACGGACACAAATAGATTATGTTGTAATCGCAAGGAAGATTGTAGTCGTAAGGATAGGTAGATATTATAAAAAATTTTGTAAGTAATAAAAATATAGTTTATATTATTATTATTATTACCTATTATACCTTTTTTTTAAAGAACATTGCACTGCAAAATTGGAAGAGGGTGATTTTAACAAACTTGAATCGTGGAAAAGCTCCAAATATGAGCGACGTCATATTGCTTTACGCATTTTGTTTTAAAATCACACACTTCCAAAAATCGAGATTTGCAGTGTCGATTTATCAACTTCTATCGTACCTACTCTACGTAGCGACTATTGTCTTCAGCGATGATTTACTAAATAAATAAAAATAATCGTCGATATTTTTCTAAGGAATACAATTTTGTTGAAGTAGGTACCTACATCGTTTCTCACTTACACATACTTTAACGACTGTACCTACGTAGCAAAGCGCGCCAGTCACGAGTAACGACAAATTGCCTAAAAAATGTACCTACGCAGTACGCACACTGTAATGAAATCTGCTAATCTCAACACACACGCACTTCCTTATTTTGGCCGCATAGGTAGCATAGGATAGCCCGCCAAACTCTTTTTTTTTGCAATTTGCAGGCTAGTGCTAGATTGTTGATTAAAATATTATTCGCGCTGTAAGACGTATGTAGTTACAGAATCATAATCTAAAATCTAAACTAACGTGTTCAATAAATAGCAATAGGTTAATAGGTATTTGCAAGTCTTGCGAGACTTGCGAGACTCTTGCTGCAAGATCAAGACCAAGACCAAGACTGAGAGCGCAATACCAAGACCAAGATCAAGACCAGGTGTATTGACGCGAGACCAATACCAAGACTGGCCTAAGTCTCGTCTTGGTCTTGCATTTGGGCAACACTAATATTATGGCGTTAAATGAAGGGAAGAAAAACGGATAATCCATTACTACTTATTAGTCATGGTCAACAACAGTCCCAACGTGCAAGCAATCCCAATTTGTAAACAAAAGAACGAATTTCTTAGAAAGTTCGTATGCATGATGCCGACAGCTACGAGTTTTTACTAATACTAGAAACTTAAAAAGTACTTTATTACTAAATTGTTGTCGTTATTGAGAGTGGGTGTCATGTCATGTAGAGTGGATCATTGTATGGAAGACATACTAAACCAACCAAACACAATTTAATTCCACGCTTTAGGGAGTGCGTTAAATCGAGGGATGTTACATGGAGTTTACACTGTAATTTTATGAAATTTTCAAATAGCCCCCCTTAACAATCAAATTGTCCCCCTGTAGAGCGTGGGCCCCACGTTGGTAAACACTGGTATAGAGGGTTCGGTGCCTGACATATGTCCCTTTCTGAGTCTACACAAAGTTTTCCTTCAACATACTAGTGTAACTTGTGCACTTAGAAAGTAAAATCCATTAGTGTTTTGAATGTTCAAGCTCAGGGTGACAGTTGCAATGCTTCTCTTTATGTAGAACTAGATGACCCCGTGAACTTTGATTCACCAACAATATATTTGTGTCAAAACTTTTAAAACACCAAAAAGATCAGACCTCATACAGCAGACTGCATATTAATATTTCTGAAAGAATCTACAAATAAATTACAACCAGTGACAATTTTTCATTTCTAAAAAGACGTCCAATTTCCCAGCTAAAAACAGTTTTTATTGGAAAATTCAATCGTCGTTTTTACATTTCCTACCGTTTAAACCTTCCCTGAGCTTGCACAAATATTTTAAGATCATAATTAGCCAAATCGGTCCAGCCGTTCTCGAGTTTTAGCGAGACTAACGAACAGCAATTAATTTTTATATATATATATTTGAATTCTACATAATATAATCTTTCTCTACATTGTAGTGTGATAGAAATGAATTTAATACTAGTTTGTTGCTCTTGGCTCACATTTAAATTAAATAATTAATTACAGCCAAGAGGTAACCCTAAGCTACGTCTATCGGGATATGGAGTTGAGTTACAGTTAAAAAGTACGGAATATAAAAGCCAAGATGATGCAACTCCAAAAGAGTCTGACACAGATACTCCGGTGCCATCTGAGGAAGAAGATGAAAATGATCCCCAAAATCAAATAGATGGTTTCAACTTTGGTCGATTGAAGTAAGTAATATTTATTTGTTTAAGTGTTAATTAGTAATCTATGGCATTAATAATACACAATATATGGAAAACATAAATATTACATACATATTTTGTTCTATTATATGGGTTTCTTTTTTGTTTTATAATTTAAGTGAATATTTATATTTTTTTATGGATAAAGTAAAACCAAAAAGTGTATTACACCACAATAGTTACAAATTCAATAACGTTATGCGACTTAATATATTTAACAGTTAAGCTCTCAAGGCTTACGACAAAAACACTTTTCTGCAATCATTTCATTTTATTAAGGCAAGAATTAAGTTTGGTGGCGGTTTTTGGTATGGAGATGTTTAAATAAGACTCTTTGTTTGAACAACTGATTTTAATGGTTTAAAATATGAGCTTATAACTAACACAAACTTAGGGGTAGAGGGGTTGCGATGCTTACAAAAACAAACTTGGCTTATTTAAGGGTTAATAAATCTAAATCACACATATGTTATTAGACATCAGAGATGAGAATTTTAAAATACAATTTATAAGTGTGGTACACTAAAGGGGTCAATATTGGCTTTAAGTGCGATGATTGATGATCATGATGATGATTTTCTTTACGCTACCAATTAGTAACTTAAATATTTATATGTAACTTAACTAATATTGGGTTATGTAACTCTAGTTAATAATTATCAACTGGTATAGTCATGAGTGGTACAACATGAATATTGATGTGTTTAATGAAAGTCATTTATTATTATATAAAATACTTAATGTGTTTATGGAGCAAAACATACTAGCAACTAAACTAACATATATGACCTTATTAAATAATCAGGAGCAGATCTTACACATTCATAAAATCACAAATACAAGCATTGATATGGCAGGGAAAGATTTTTCAATTACAGTAGAGCCTCGATAATCCGTACTCAGGCTAATCCGAACGTCGCTATAATCCGAACTGCATACCCCACCCCACTTCCTCGCCTTCGCCTCGCTGCTATGTTGTTTATTAATTAGTCTGCAGTTACGACTGCCACGTTGCGCGTCCATTCCACGTTTTTCTGCTCTGTACTCGTGCGCGGCGTGTTTTTTGAGGTTATAAAGATGGTTCCAACACCAAAACGCAAACATAAAACTTTGACTATAGCCGAAAAGTGCACCATACTAGACAGTTTAAAGGACGGAGTGTCGGCAACTTCTCTTGCTTGTAAGTATGGCGTTGGAAAATCAACAATTACAGACCTCAAGAAAAATGAGCAAAAATTGAGATCTTTTATAGCTAAAACTGAGAAAGGACCAGGGTTCAGAAAAACTCTAAAATTACCAGAGAATCCAGTGCTAGAAGAAGCACTGTTCACATGGTTTTTAGAACAAAGACGACGCCACATTCCATTGTCTGGTGAGGTCGTAATGGAAAAAGCGAGATTCTTCCATAAAAAACTAACAGGTTCGGATTTTTCTGCAAGTAGAGGATGGCTTGATAATTTTAAAAAACGTCATGGCATACGTCAGCTGAAAGTGTCAGGTGAGAAAGTCTCTAGCAATACGGAAGCTGTTCAACCATTCCAAGAAAAATTCCTAAACGAGATAAAAGAAAAGAACCTTTGCCCTGAACAAATTTACAATGCCGACGAATCAGGATTGTTTTGGAAGGTTCTGCCGGACAAAACTTTAGCCTCTTCTGCTGAAACTAGCGCTCCTGGGTCGAAAGTGTCTAAAGAGCGAATAACTTTTATGCCTTGCGCAAACTCTACAGGGAATCACAAATTACCATTGCTAGTTGTGGGGAAGGCAAAAAAGCCAAGATCTTTTGGATCTGTAAAATTACCAGTGCATTATGAAGGGCAGAGGCGTGCTTGGGTAACCAGAGATATTTTTCTCGAGTGGTTTAGAGGCCATTTTGTTCCTGAAGTCAAACGCCATTTAAAAAAAATGGGACTGCCACAAAAAGCATTGCTCTTAGACAATGCCCCTGGACATCCAAATGCTGAAGATTTGACAACAGAAGACGGCAACTTCTCTGTACTGTACATGCCTCCAAATTGTACGCCTTTGATCCAACCTATGGATCAAAACGTAATCCAAAATGTCAAGATAAATTACAAAAAGAAACTCCTGATTCAAATGTTCGTGCAGCAAGAAGCCGATGAGGCTTTAACCTTGCATGATGTTATAAAAAGCGTCACAATTAAAGACGCCATTTTTTCGCTAGCGCAATGTTGGGATCATGTATCATCGTCTCTTATCGAAAAATCTTGGAAGCCTCTTTGGCCTGAAAAAATAAATTCAACAGAAGATAGATAGAAGTATGTATTGACAAAGGATAGGTTCCGCCTACCTAATTATTATTTACAACAGATAGCTACTATGCTATCTTACTTTTTATTTACAACTAAAGCTAAACATTTAGCTTTTCAGACAACTGCTTCTATTGAGCAGCTAGCTTTTCAGACAACTGCTTCTATTGAGCAGCTTAGCTTAAGTGATACTTGCAGTAGCACTTCATTAAGTATAAATAATTTAAATTAGATAGTGTGACAATAGAGGCAAACTCTAGCAATAATTTAGTACAACTCAGCTCAACACAAACATGTTATATTACTAACAACAACTGTTTAAACTTGATGCATCAAAACATGCAAGGTATGTTGGGCAAAGAATTAGAATTGGAGTTGTTTTTAAAATCAAGTAAAATTGATGTCCTATGCATTACCGAACATTGGCTTAGAGAATGCCAAATCATCTTTAACTTTGATCAGCACCAAGTTGCAAGTTCGTTTTGCAGATTGTCGGCGATTCATGGGGGCTCTTTGATTATTGTTAATAAAAATTTAAAGTATAAAGAGCGTAATGACATCGTGTGTCTGTCTGTAGAACACTCTTTGGAAGTAGCCTGTATAGAGATTGAGAATTGCATTATTTTAAGTGTTTACAGACCACCAAGTGCATCTTACGATTTTTTTGAAGAAAAGTTGGAGGAAATTTTGTGTAAAGTTAGTTTTAAGAACAATAAGTATATTATTGTATGTGGTGACTTCAATATAAATTTATTAGAAAATACCTCCATTAGTAAAAAATTCAATCTGTTATTAAAATCTTACAATCTTGTTAATTTGTTTCTTGAGCCCACTAGAATTACAAGCTCCACTGCTACATGTATAGATAATGTATTTACAGATGCAGAGGCAATGCAAACCTCAATTACAACTGATCTTAGCTCAGATCATTGTGGACAGTTAGTGGCGCTAAAATGTAAAGTGGTGAAACAAGTAAATAAGAGCAGTGTGTTTGTTCCAGTGAATAAAAAGCGAATGGTGAGATTTAGACATAATATAGGTAAACGCCTACCTTTATTACCGGTAGGTACTACCGTTGATACACAATACAACAATCTAAGTGATTGTATTAATAAAGAGTTCAACACCATCTTTACCCCAAAGAAAGTCTCTCATTCGCAGTGTAAATCGTTTAGTGATTGGGCGACAGCGGGAATTTATAAAAGTAGACAACGGTTGTATGACCTTTACGCTGAAAAGTCATACAATCATAATGAAGAATTTATTCTTTATGTTCGAAATTATTCGAAATTATTTAAGAAAGTTTGTTACGCGGCCAAGTCCTTAAATATCAAAAACAAGATTAAAAATAGTACCAATAAAACTAAAATGACTTGGAAGATAATTGATAGTGAAACTGGAAGAGTCAGGGATCGCAATCAAGACATCGAACTATGTGTCGATAACACTATAATCAAATCTAACGAAGAGATAGCGATTGTTTTTGATAAGTACTTTTCTGACATTCCAATTTCGACTACTAAGTCTCTTCAATCATCTCCCGCCCTCGCCGAATCGCTGCTCAAAGATAATGTAAACGAGTGCAAGGTCAGTTTTTCATTCCGACCCATTGGTGCCGACGATATAGTGAGGATATTTAGAACCATAGATATTAAGAACACTACCGATCTTTGGGGTATTTCTGTAAAAATAATTAGTAGCATAATTGATGTAATTGCTCCCCATCTAGCTATAATTTTCAACAATTGTATTAAAAGTGGCGAGTTTCCCGATCTAATGAAACATAGTAAAGTTATTCCTTTATTTAAAGCAGGTAGTATGTCCGACCCCAGTAACTTTAGACCAATTTCCGTACTACCTACTTGTAGTAAAATATTTGAAAAAATTATATTAAATCAACTGGTAAGTCATTTTAACGTAAACAAATTATTACATAATAATCAGTTCGGTTTTACCAAGGGTCGCTCGACAGCCGATGCCGGTGTTGAGTTATATAGATATATAGTTAAGGCTTGGGAGGAGTCGCATGACGCTTTAGGTGTTTTCTGCGACTTATCCAAAGCATTTGATTGTGTCCAACACGAGACCTTAATCGGGAAACTCCGCCACTATGGCATCAAGAATACCGCACTGAATCTTCTGACTTCCTATTTACACGGAAGAACTCAGAAGGTTGAAGTGAATGGTAAGAGGTCCTCTGGGTCGGCAGTAGATATGGGGGTACCACAGGGCTCAATTCTTGGCCCTTTCCTCTTTCTTGTTTATATAAATGATCTACCTTTCATGGTAGAGAGAAAACATCAGATAGTTTTGTTTGCTGATGACACGTCCTTGATTTTTAAAATCAAACGACAAATAACAAATTTTGACGATGTGAACAATGCTCTGTCTTCGATTGTCCATTGGTTTAGTATGAATAACCTTCTACTTAATGCAAAAAGACAAAATGCATTAAATTTTGTGCAAAAAATGCAAGGGTTATGGATACTAGACCAATTATAAACGGTGAGGAATTGAATCTGGATGATACAACTGTATTTCTCGGAATCACCATGGATTCAAAACTTCAGTGGTCCCCTCATATTAACGGATTGGCGAAGAGACTTAGTTCTGCAGCCTACGCGGTTAAAAAAATTCGGTCACTAACTGATGTCGATACAGCTAGACTTGTTTATTTTAGTTACTTTCATAGCTTAATGACTTATGGCTTATTATTATGGGGTCATGCTGCTGATGTCGAAACTATTTTCATCCTGCAGAAGAGGGCTATTCGTGCAATCTATAATTTAAAATGTAGGGAATCTCTTAGAGATAAATTCAAGGAAATTAATATACTTACCTTTCCCTCGCAATATATTTATGAAAATATTATGTATGTATACAAAAATAGTGATAAGTTTACTAGAATAGAACATACGCACAATGTTAATACACGGAACAAACGCAGGCTGCAATTTCCCCGTACTAGACTATCTAAAGTTAGTAATTCTTTTTTGGGGAAAGGGATACTCTTCTTTAATAAAATCCCAGATGCTCTTTTATCACTGCCTTTCAATAAATTTAAAAAATGTATTAAAGAAAAGCTGTGTAAAAAGGCTTACTATAAAGTCAACGATTATCTAGTTGATAAAAGGGCCTGGGACTAGTGCTAGACAGGCTACTTCTAATCAATTTGCGATATTTGTTTTAAATAAGTGTTGTTTGATGATTTGCTGTTTTAAAAGAGTACCGAGAGTTTTTTACGCCGGCTTTTTCTCTCGGCCTACACCCTCTGTCTTCTTTGCCGATGAGTAGGGATGCCTTCAAATTTAATGACGTGGAATAAGTGATACATGTATCTTATGTTCCATAATAAACATATTTTATTTTATTTATTTTATTTTGAAGAAAATGATGACTTCGACGTAGAAGACGATCTCCTGCTCAGTCTTTTACGTAATCGTGGTTATACAGAAGAAACCATTTCCACTTTCTTGTCCATGAGTGAAGAGGAGAATTGCACAGATCCTATAACTGATGATGAGATCATAACCCAAATAACGCAAGAGAATGACGAGTCTTTAGCTGAAGATTATTTTGCTTCAAATGTCAAGAAAATTACTCATTCACAAGCCATATCATCTTTGAACACTTGCTTGGAGTGGGCTGAAGAAAATGACCTGTCCTTATCGGAAAAGATGATGCTACGTAACTTGAGGGACAAAGCTTTTTTCTGGTCCATCAACAGGACTCGCCAAACTAAAATAGATCAGTTTATGACTAAATAGACAATTTACACCTTACGTATTTTATGGTACCTAATTATTATGTAAATGTACGGTAAGCAACGAGCCGGGCTTTTTATTTGCATTACGACTGTAGTCCTTACGCTGCTTGTAATAAGAGCGTTCCCAAGGTCAATATGTAAAGCCCAGCTCGTTGCTTACTGTACCTCTTAAACTATGTATATATGTAATTAAACACTATTTTAAGAATAAAAATGTTTTTTTTTCTCCTTACATACTATAATCCGAACGCTTCGTGAGTCCGAACAGGGGTAGTTTTTGCTAGTTCGGATTATCAAGGCTCTACTGTAGTTATTTTTTTTAGATTTAAAAAAATCTAATAATTCTTAGGACAATATTTTCTGTTGAACCATATTACCTGTTGAAATAATTGTTTAATTATCTGAACTATTGTCTATCATAGACATTTAACCTCACTGATTTTATGTAATCATACTATCAATTATAAGTTCGTTATTTTGTAAGTGTCACTTATTACTACGCTTGAATGTACTTATTATGGGATGAATATTAATTTTGTAAATATTTTTTTTACAACAATCCAACGCAAATAGTCACTGAATAATTTTAAATTTAGTTTGAATAATAACTTACAATGTAATTCTAGAAATCTAGAATGCGGTTAGCTTATTTATCTTTTTTATCATTTAAAAACTACACTTGGAAAAAAAACGTGTTTGATTACCATAATCACTAAATGAATATATTATATATAAATTTTTGTTTTATTTTTTATGTAACAGGGTGCCCCATCTGATTTTATGTGATTCCGCGGTTCATGGACACTCACATTGCCAGTAGGCTTGCAAGTGCGTTGCCTGCCTTATTAATTTTTAACCACATAAAACAGATTTTATAATATTTTAATAGTAATATTATATTTACCCCCTTACTGAAAACTAATATGTCTAATTGTATCGTTTTAAAAAGTAAAGAAAACATTTTTGTTTTAAAAGGTTTACTAAACCTGGAATTAGTAGACAGTGATGCCATCTAAAGAATAAAATAAAGTAATTAAAGTTAATATATTGAAATATTTGTTCGAATTTTATTTTTCATTGCCTTCAAATGGGTCAAATTTGTCCCTTTTTCGGTGGAGAACTTTTTTAGTAGCAACACTTACGAAATGTCAGAATTCTACGGAATTAAAAATCTGAGTATAGAATAGTTTCAGTTACAGACTACTAAAAGAAAATGAATAGTCCTATAATTTTAAATCACTAAGTAATTTTTCACCTTATAATATTTTACAGAAATCTATTCCCCGCTCTAAGAACTCCATTGGAAAGGTTTAGGAGACATTTATCAGAAATGAGTGAAGAGCTGGAACCGTTGAAAGTTTGGCAGATGCAAGGTCTCAGTATGCAAGCGGCTGCTGCTGTCATAGATGCCCACGATGCTGGAGGCGATGAGGCTTTGAGAGTTCTTACCTCCATCGCTCAGAATTTTCCTATGCAGGTAATATACCAGAAACTTGTGCCTATAGGTGCTTGAATCTCGAAGAGTGACGTAAGTTTAAAACTTGGCATGACGTGGAATTTCGAGGACAAATTTATTGAAATTTTTGAGATTTAAATAAAAGTTGTTATAATGTAAACGCGAATTAATATCATTAGTCAAAATCTGTTATAACGACATCGAAGGGACTACTCATATTTGGTCGTAAAAACCGGTAGTCGTAACAGCCCATGACGTTGTTATTAAGTACCTTATACTTATTGTTAAATGTGTGATTAATATACTCATGTATAAAATAAAACTAAATTTATTTCACATGAAAATTATAGTAAAAAGACATTACGTATAATTATCATTTTTATACATTAACGAAATCTGTTATTTTTTTTATAAGGCCGTCTAATAGAATTCAGACTTTGGTCAATATAACCGGTATGTTGTTCTACACGATGTCGTCGTATACGGTTCTGACTTTACAAAACTAGATGTTTTGAATGCTTTTCATCGTTATGTCGATGACCGTGAAAGCTGAAAACCATGCAAATGTTGACTTATGTAAGGAATGTAATCTATTCGCTACTACAACGGAGGTTTATTAAAATAATGACCGAGAATTTAGTTTTGGATCTTCAAAGTTCTGAAAAAACTAACGTAATATAAAGCAAAAAGCATTCATAAATCATATATCTCGCTCAGCCCCGTTATTCCAATTCTTATGTCAAATTTTCAGTACTGTCAAAGTCAAAATCGTTTATTCATATAGATAACACAATGTACACTTATGAACGTCAAAAAAGAAATACTTATTAACTGCTTCTAACTTTACATTTACTGCCAGTTCTCAAATCAAGGGCGTAGAACGGAAGAGATGAACTGGCAATAAATATCAAAGGTTCAAAGAAATTTCAATAAAATTAATCAATGTTTCTGAAACGCAAACTGATTTGTCATTTTCAACATTGGCACCTGACATTGACACTGGCTTGACACTTGACACCTTTCTTTTTAGACAAAGTCTTTAATACACGTGAATGTACCCCGGTCCCTTCGAGATGAGGTTCTATATAATCAAGATATTTGGGCATCTTCTCTCGGTCTCCGAGCTGCCGAGCCCTTGCTATTGGTCTCCGGAGCCCAATATGATGCTGAAGAGGTTGACATCATGGCTCTGTTGAACTCGCTGAAAGAAGATATTGGACCCATGAATACTTTACATGCAATTGGTATGTATGAATTCCCGTAACACGCATTTGAACGACACTTTTATATCCCTATTGATGATATTTTTCCGACTTGTATTTTTGGGTCTAAGACAACACGATACATCACGATTTTCTTCTTTTGAAGTAATTCTTTAGGCGCGTTATGAAAAATTTATGATAGTGAAATTTTACGATGCGCGCGCACCGTGACACAAAATTAACAGAATGAAGTTAGTGGCGCATGTTGGCACGCACGCCGCCTCTGTTCACTGTGTATTTATTTTTATAATATTTATCCACATGCTTTGAGTTTCTACATTTAAAACACGTGTTTTCTTTTTTTTTTCATTATTCAAGTGCGCATTTTATATGTGCGTCTGAATTATAATCAGAAGTGATTTAAATTGAATATTTAAATCAATACTAATTAATATTAGAAAATAATAATAAATATAAATATAATATTAATAAATATTTATTTATTTAATTTTTCAAATGTAAACTGAACTTTATTGACTATAATGACTCCTTTTCCAGTCTTTGACTATTTAATTGTAATTAATTATTTGCATGCAATCAAAAACTATTTTTTATAATGCCAAAGAAGTATAACTTCTTACGCGCGTACATAAGTACACGCACCCTTTTTTATGAATTAGCAACTTGACTTTTATTAATCAGAAATATTTAATTTATTATTAACATTATACCTTACTCTATAATGAAATCTCCACCGTGGTGGTATAATTTTTATTATTTACGTCATTTCATTTATTCACAAAAATACTTTTATTTTTTCATACTATGTATTACTGTCGAATTTTCAACTTTAATGACGTAACAGTGATATCAACATGAAGGTAGTTTAGCACTGCAACGACCTCAAATCCTACAATGGTTCACTTCTTCGTGGAAGTTGACCTGTATCGTAATGAACATTACAATATTGATTCCTTTGTAATGATATAATATTTTTTTCTATTATCGATAATTATAGAATTGTTCTGATGGTTGTAATAAAAATATTTTAAGACAGTATGTAATGTAAGATACTGTACATAAATTGATGTTAAAACGCTAACAAACTACTATTTTATGTAAAATTTTATGAACTACCCTCATTTTTAATATCTCTTTTTATGTACATTTTTGAATGTTGTACTTCTTTAGGCGCGTTATGAAAAATTGATGAGAGTGAAATTTTACGATTGCGCGCGCACCTATGACACAAAATTGGCAGTGTGATATAGCGTGCGCGAGCGAGATGGGAATAAGACAAACTACAAGTAAAAAGAAATAGAATATGCGTGAAGCTAACTTCACGCATATTCTAGCTTAGCAGCTTAACAAGAATTTTGAATGACCATGACAATTGACATCTGACAATGACATTTACCTTTTAAACAAATATAGGAGTTTTAATTATTGTTTAAAATTAATAATTATATACCTAGTTATTTTCATTATACAAAATATTTGTGAAATAATATAAAATATTTGTGAAAAAACTGTGCTAACCTTCCTGAGTGCTTCAATACAATTGAGGTTAACTATCCGTATGTATTATCGAGTATTATTAAAACTGAAACATGAACCATTATTCATTGCTTTTGTTTATTGCGTTTGTTACAGCAACTTTTTAGAAATATTCTACGACCCTATATATCAATAATTGAGAACAAAGATTTAAGCACGAATACTAATAAGGAGAAAATGAAGGCTTGGAGCGATATAACAGAGAAGTAAACATTTTAATAAGTACCTGCATCTCAAAAAAATGACCACATTATTTAATCAAAACATCAGATTTAATCTAGCAAATATAAGGACAAGAGACAAAAAACAATTGATGAATCAGTGGAAGTGCACTAAATTGAATACAAAAAAGAGTTGTCATCTTATCGCCGTGAAACATCAAAAACTGGAGGTGGAACAAAGCCACCATCACCTTCTCGAGACACAATGGTTTGAAGTAGATTTCAATGAATTTGATTGTGATGGTGTCGAGGTAGGAATGTTAATTATAAATATGATGTATGGTGATGTTCAAGGTTCAACCTTTCAAGCATAGGCATATGCTTACAACATTACTTTATTCCCCTACAGGGTAGTTAGAGATATTGTAATACCTCAAAACATCCATGTTGCACTTGTAGTACCGAAACTCTGTCCTGCCAGAAGTGAGCCCATTCCCACTTATAATGGACAGTGGGTATAATACACCTTAATACCTGAGTGCGAACCACTCACCATGATACTTAAATTAATAGATGTTATTTATATATTTCAGGTTATTACAAATAAAATCATTTTGGAAACAATTGATATCCCAAAAGCAAATAAAGCCAACAATGACAAGGTAATAAATCAGTTTTGACATAACTTGAATACTAAAAAAGCCAAACAAAGGTCTGCACAACAGTGACAACATAACTTAACAATTTCATTATTTTGTAGGATTAAAGAAAGGTTAAAGAAAATCATGTCGAACTGAACAACAAGAATCCCCAAACAACTCCAAAGAAACCTACAAGGAAGACACCGGTATTATATTTAAATTATCTCTATCTCTAAATAGAATAAAAGAAAGTTGCTATCCAGGTCTGTAGCATGTGCTACAAATTATATTATTAACACATTTATATAATTATATTAATATAAATGTGTTAAAAATTTATAATATGAATTATAAAAAATTTAAGTTTTGCATGGACAGAGCTTAAATTAATATTCTCTTATTTGTTGCAGAAAGCAAGTAGTTTTGGAGAAGCCTCGTAGATGCACAACCAAGTAATGATTAATTTAAAATTACAAACCGAAATTCTGATGAAGACATTAGAGTCACTTAAAATTAAATAGTATAATGAAATAAAAATGTTTTAAAGATAAATAGTGTTTTATTTGTTTAATGTAAGAGAATAATAATAAATATTTATTTAATTAATTTTTCAAATGTAAACTGAACTTTATTGACTTTAATGACTCCTTTTCCAGTCTTTGATTATTTAATTGTAATTAATTATTTGCATGCAATCAAAAACTATTTTTAATAATGCCAAAGAAGTATAACTTCTTACGCGCGTACATAAGTACACGCACCCTTTTTAATGTTAATATCACTTTTGTGGTTGTTTGCCTGACTCCGTCTACTGTTTGGGCAACTTTCTATAAAATAAAGTAAAAAAGTTCAATTAAGTATAGTTTTTTGAACTACCCTTTTAAGTAGTTTTATAATCAACTACTTTAAGTAATTAAATGTTTTTAATATTTCAGGTCTATCAAAAAAACTTATCAACAAGCTCATGTCGTTGGAGCTTGGTGAATCATTTACATGGGAGGAATATGGGCTGGACATCAGAGATACGGCGATCACGTGGTTAAATGATCTAGAAACAGATGAGAGGTATAGAAGATGGCCGGCTTCTTTTATGGAGCTATTGAGACCAACTTACCCTGGTATGCTGAGAAATCTAAGAAGGAATATATATAATTATGTAAGTACTGCATGGCAGTGTTAACCTAGCGGCTTTAGTGTGCGCCTCACATCCCTGAGGTCGTAGGTTCGATCCCTGGCTGTGCACCAATAGACTTTCTTTCTTTTGTGAAGGAAAACATCGTGAGGAAACCTTAGTAGACCCATAAAGTCAACGGCGTTAGTCAGGCACAGAAGGCTGATCACCTACTTGCCTATTAGATTTACAAATGATTATGAAATAGATACAGAAATCTGAGGCCCAGACCTAAAAAGGTTGTAGCGCCATTGATTTTAATTACTAGACTGTTCAAAAACGAAGTTTTCAAAGTCACTTCAGCTGGTAATACTATTATAGATTGGTTTTACTCAAAGATTTTTATATGGAGAGCATTTACCACGGAGAATGTTTAGAAGAGTTGTTCGGATTAATACCTGCATCTGAGTTTCATCATCGGACGTCAAGGCAAAATACGAAATACCACCCGTATCACCTTGACGTCCGTCGTTCCACAACTAAGCGTTTTTAAGGCAGTTTTTGAGCGCCACCGCTATGCGGAAGCTGCCCACTGAAGTATTTCCGAACCAATTCGACTTAGGGTCCTTCAAGAAAAGAGCGTACCAATTCTTAAAAGGCCGGCACTTGCGAGTCTTCTGGCCGTGAGTGTCCATGGGCGATATCACTTAAATTAGTTGAGCTTCCTGCCATTCGGCCCACTGTTGTATAAAAAAAGAAGATTATTACGTCATGCGATCAAGATAATAATTCTGTCCACACATTAAAGAGCGTTCAAGTATTACGTCACGCAATTATTGAAGATTATTGACACCCCCCGCATGTAACGCGCCGTAACGTTTTTCTGTACCCAATAGTAAAACGTTCCGTGACCACCTAGTGACTCTTTATACCTAAAACTTACCATTATGTGGTGTAAAGTACTGGAAAGTTAAAAATAACTGCTTAATTCAATCTCCGCCCCGCATAGTAACGTATTATAAAAGGACCCCCCCCAAAATTCGTTACGTAATACCCGAACGCTCCTCTATTTATAGAAAATAATTGTTCAATCGGTTTTGAAATGACTACTATTTTTCTTTTACATTATCCCAAGTCATTCTACCAGGTCAACAACTGATAAATTCTCCAGTAGAGTTAAATATTTTTATCAAAAATTTAAATTCACAGAATACATAGAATGTGTTACAAGTATTTAGTTTTAAACAAACCTTTTCTGAATCTAAATACACCTTTTTTTAAAGTTTAAGAAGCGTTCTTTGCTTTTGGTTTGAGAACAGTACTTTGAGGCAATTTAATAAAAAAAACCTTTTTTAATATTCATATGTGTACATTGCGTAAACTATATAAATAAATTATATCATAAAAACGATAAAACTATCAATTTCGGGTTTGTCCTTTAGGCATTCATTGCCCTATCATCATCATCCACAATTCTACACACAATATTATAAAGAGGAAAGATTTTTATCTGTAACATATAATCTGGAAAACCACTAGACCAATTTCAATTCTTTCACCATCAGTGCTGTGTGAAGTTATTTTTTTTCTAAGATATAAAAAAAAGTCCTGCCCCGCGAAGCCGTAGTTTGATTTTTTTTAATTCTTTCAGGTGATAATAATAGATCCAACATCACCATCTTCATTACCCCCACTGAAACTGGGTGAGACGTTGCTCAAACATTCGACACCGGTTCGTGTGGGCGTGGTACTGGCCCCAAATAACACCCCACTGGGAATTGCTATACGCAGCGCTTTTAATTATGTAGCACAAGACAGGAATTCTAATAAGGAAGCATTCTTTTTCTTGACTCAGGTATGTAAATAACGTTATTTTGTAATTAACGAGGTTATAACTGTCGTCCACGTTGGTGCGTACAACCAGCGCAGGCGCCGATCAGAGAGCAATTCGACAAACTACCCAACGAACTATTGACAGATTGACAATTTGTAATGTCTATGATATTCCGTGGTGTTGCTATAAAATAAATGACATCGTGTTTCCCTTTAACATAATCTACATCTATAATATATTCCAATTCTTAAAAGGCCGGTAACGCACTTGCGACCATTCGGGTAATGTGATTATCACTTAACACAGATGAGCCTTTTGCCCGTTTGCCTCCTGTTTTTTTAATTGGAAGTCCAAAAACGAGTCATATTCCGACCCATACGTTAGATTATCCTTTCTGTAATACACAAAGGTAACATTGTAAAATCAGTAGGTATGTCAAAAACGTGTTGAATTTTGACATTGGACTCTTTGTTCTTAGTAAGTCTCGACTTTGAATCTTAAGATGAGACCCAGACGGTGTGTCAGACACTTATTGATCACCCTTTCGATTAAAATATTACCAATGAACCATGTTGTCTGAGGCCAAGTCTCAGAGTCGAGACTTCGATGTACGCAATTTGACATACAGTATTTTGAATCAGGCGCAGAAGGCAACTTTTATTTATTTTCCACATTATTCTATATTTACAGTTATTACTAATACGATAGAACTACACGATAATACCTATACCGATAATTCTACGATTAAAGTGATATAAGAGATATTTGAATAATTGAGAGTCCACTGTATATAACAGCGGACTCTTGGTAACTGTTATATACAGTATTGGCCTAGTGGCTTCAGCGTGCGACTCTTATACCTGAGGTCGTAGGTTCGATCCCCTGCTGTGCACCAATGGACTTTCTTTTTAAGTGCGCATTAACATTTGTTCGAACGGTGAAAAAAAACGTGAGGAAACCGACAGGTCTTAGACCTAAAAAGTCGACGGCGTGTGTCAGGCACTGGAGGCTGATCACCTACTTGCCTATTAGATTTAAAAATTATCATGAAACAGATTCAGAAATCTGAGGCCAAGACCTAAAGAGTTTGTAGCGGCACTGATTTATTTAATTTTTTAATGAGAATAACTGATTTGACTTTTGACTTAGAGTTCATAAAAATAGGAATAATAAATGACGAATTTTGATCAAACTCTTGTTTACATACATGTATTTTAATTGTCTACATATATAAAGTAAGGGTAATTTCGCATTCCGCTCTACTTTCAAACGTTAATTAGTCATGTTAATGTTGGATGACGATTGAGTGAATAATTGTATTTAATTATTGATACAAAAAAAATAATTAGCATTTAGTTCTGGTCCTTTGAGTTTAAAATTGTCGAGAATAAACTGTAGGATGTACTGTCGGCTACTTGTGATATTATTATGAATCCAGCCAGAAAAATTATGATTGCAGACATGTTAAGGTAACGTCTGTTTAATTATTCAACTATGTATTTTGCAGCTTTTAAGCTCATCAGAAGAGGAAGAGCTTAACTTCGATCTTCTGAAACGTCTTCTGAAGAAGTTTACCAACTCTGGTGCAAATGTGGATGAGATCATTTCTGAAGATTCTGAATATAATTTTGGACATCAGCTGGCTGAGGAGTTTGTTGGGAAACTTGGTGCTGATAAATATCCCCAGGTAAGGTATAAAGCACCAGTGGTGGTGCCAGATGTATGGACCCTTTCAGGTTAAGGCCTCCTCCTGAACTTTCCATTTGGATCTGTTCTTTGCTTCGTTCACCCTTCAACCTATGTTAATTCAATTACATTTTGATTTGACATGAGATGAGTATGATACAAATTCGTTGTTTTAAATCTTGGCGATTTAAGTGACGTATATGAAAAGAGTGACGGAGAATTTATTGCCCTTTAGAGAACTGGCAGTGAATGTAAATTTAGAGGAATTTTTTTCCGGAAGTTCATAAGTGTACATTATTTTATGAATGGATAATATTTTGATTTACAAACAATCATCAACATTGGTTTTAGCATTAGATGTAAAATTCAATTTATGTATCTCACGGAATCGTAATTTAATTAAATATTTGAATAATATAGTTTATGTATAGGTCCCGGTACGAATCAATGGTGATGAACGTTATTGCGCATGAATACAAAATACGGTATCAGAGGAACGAAAGCGGGACGCGGGGCGGGACCTTTAATAATGCAAACCGTACTCTTTGAACTACTTTCGTCTCTCTTTGTTAAATTGTGCTTACGCAGTATTTAATAGAGACAAATGATTTTAATTAACAACGTTTTTTTAAACTACGCAATAATAAATCGTATATTTGCAAAGAAAGTGCATTCAAATTGATTAATATAGCCGCACATTAATAATAAGATTAACATATCTATAATTGTTGACAAAACTTATGATCTAATAGAGTCTGGCTAATGACAGAAGATAATTGAATTATTTGAAAACTTTCGGTTGGCAACACAGAATGTCATTGAATTTCTTAGGTTAGTATGATTTATTGTCTTGATACTTCATGCAATTAATTTTTTTTATTTCTATTATATATTTTTTCCGAATAGTTAACAGGTATAATAGATTTTGATTATTCCGAATTAAGTTGTGTTTTATAATAAATATAGTTTTAGTTTTCCATGCAATGCTAGTCATTTTAAGTATCAATAGTAAAAAACTACGTATAGTATTTAATTTCATAGTAAAAAATAATAAAATAAAATCAAGTAAGTTTAATCCACAAAATATATCAAACTTTTAGGGATACCATACTATTTTTTTTTTAATTTGCCGCGCTTTTTCGTTATCTTCTTTCATTAGCCAGACTATAGTCTCCCACGTATAAAGGCACCTTGCTTTTAAAGCAAGTAAAAGTTTTTATATAATTTGATTGCAGGTCTTAGTAAATGGAGTACCATTATGGGACGAAGGTCCCATATCTTTATCGGCATCAGTTGATAGTTTGGAGGAGGCGCTAGTGACGTCTCTGTCTCGGCATACGGGACGATTGCAAAGGGCGGTATTTCGAGGTGATCTGTCAGATTCAGATGATGCCACAGACTATATTATGAAGCAACCGCATATTATGCCCAGGTAACGTATCGTTTACCGTAAAGAACTGTCGATACATAGTTTTTTTATTATGCCCAGGTAACGTATCGTTTATCGTAAAGAACTGTCGATACATAGTTTTTTATTATGCCCAGGTAACGTATCGTTTACCGTAAAGAACTGTCGATACATAGTTTTTAACAATAAATACCCTAAGTATCCCTCTCTTTAAATAAGAAAAAGTAGATTAACTTGTGTGTGGTGCGTCATGCCGTACGTTGGGATTTCGTACAGTCATACACAGTCTAGCCTTTCTCATTGTTCCTTATCCCTACGACTGACAATTGTGGCCCTTTCGTCATTCCGTATGAATGAAGGTTACGAGGTATGTACCCAGGCCGAAGTATTATTAGTATTTTTTTATTTATTCCTTGAACGCTTGAGAGAAAATTTTGTATTTAGGTTTTTATACCGGAAAAGCTAGAAGTTTCTATGGGGTAGCATAGCAAAATGTTCCATATATTGGTATGTAGCTACTAAAAAAGTAGTCTAAGTAAAGAAAATAAATATAGTTAAAAAAAACTGAAAAACACGCTTTTAAAGCACATCAAACTAAAAAGTGAAAAATAATTCCTAATTTAGCTCTGTGTCATATTTTTCGTCTATCGAGCAACCCTTTCACAATAATACCAGTATTTTTTGTTCATTACCATTTTCAGCCTAAATTAGGAATTATTTTTCACTTTTTAGTTTGATGTGCTTTAAAAGTGTGTTTTTTAGTTTTTTTAAACTATATTTATTTTCCACTTTTTAGTCCTAGCAGCAATACGTGTTGTCTCAATTTAATCGTATTGCTTTGTGGACTTAAAAAAATTTCATTGTTTTTTCGAGATAAACCTATGAAATTATTATATTGTCGCTGATTCTTTATAAGTGTACAAAGTTTGAATTAAATATGTCCGTTTAAAGTGGGTTAAAATCGAGTCCGAAGGAGTCGGTTACATACATACATACATACATACATACATACATACAGGTGAAGCTAATATAAAGCGTGTAAAAAATCATATTAAAGCGAAAGGAAGTTCGCGGTAGCATTATAAAGAAGATATTAAAGATGTCGGAAGAAGCAAAGGTTGTAGAAATTAGATTTTTTACGTATTTTAACATTTGCTCCTATTTATAAATTTTGCACGAAAATATAGTTTAGAGTAAATGAAACTGATTGCGTGATCTTTGTCCAATTTTATTTTTAAAGAGGTTACAAAGCAATAAATTACTTCCTTCTGCCACTTCCTTCATCACAACCGTCCCAGCTTCTAATGCTGTGACTAGGGTGTGACTAGCTTATACATTTTCTCCTCTCTTCTTCCACCTCTCTTACTAACAGTTTCAAAATTTTGCAGTAATTTTTATATCTCGTTTTTTAGATTACATATTTATAGTTTGTAAGAATTCACTTAGTAATAGTTATCAAGTATAAAGTATCCTGTGTTTGTCATTTAAAGAGTGTACAATTAATTTATTATTATTTTTGTGTGCTCCTAGATCTGAGCTTTTGCCTTTTTTTAAATAAATAAGTTACGTGCGTTACAACAGTTAAAACTTTTTTTTAGACTGAACCGTCGCATTTTGGCCACGGATCCATCGCAATATTTAGACTTGTCTGGTGTACCCTCATCGCCCGAATTGTTTACTGAAGACAAAATACACAAGTTGATGCATTTGACAGGTATATTGATTGCTACTTTTTACATTTACATTGTTTCGATTACTATTCGTCTCTGTCAAAGTGTGTTAAGGCAGTCAACATTCATCACCCATTCATTCATTATTCATCCATCGGTCATCATTCATTATTAATAAGTTTATCTGTAATTTGTTCACCATTCATTAGTTTACCACGTTATTCTTTAATTAATTTATTTGCACTAATGTTTACTCAGATTTTTAATTCTGTAGAATTCTGACAGTTATCATTTTTTGACATGTCATGTCAGATTACAAACATTTTTGGCCGGGTACATTGTTAAATTTCAATATGAGTCAACATCTGACTCTATACAAACACCTTATTTGTTAATGAATGTATTAATTTTATTAAGTGCGGTGCTCCACATTAAAAGTAGTTTTACGGCGAGTGATAATTACGCCCCTTTTCATCACAAACAGTAAAAAACGTACAAGTAAAGATAACATTTTTTTTTAAAGGTTAACTAAATCTGGAATTGGTAGGCAGTGATGCCAGCTAAAGAATAAAATAAAGTAATTTAAGTTAATTCGATATATTGTTCGTGATATTGAAACATTTGTTATTTTTGTATTAGGTCACTTGAGGAAATATTAAGATTTACCTTTTTGTAGGTAAAACATAAAAAATACGAAGCATTTTTTTATTGCCCACAATAAGTCAAATTTGGAGAACTTTTTTAGTAGCAATATTTATGAAATGTCAGTATTCTACGGAATTAAAAATCAGAGGATAATCTAAGAGCATTTTTGTATAATCATAAACGTAAAAGTTACATGAATGTATGGTGGTCTGATTTAAATTATAATTATTACTTAACTATAAGTGGACGGCCCGTTATTAGTTAAAACTGGGTTAGACTTGATATATTCCTGTTCATAGATAACGGACAAGAGGTACAGTTTTATGACAAAAGTTTTTTTTTTTTTTAAAGATTATTCACACCAATTGACCTAGTCCCATGCTAAGCTGCTTAAGCTTGTGTTATGGGTACTAGGCAACGGATATACATACATATTATAGTTAGATAGACATATAAATACATATTTAAACACCCAAGACCTAAGCACAACACCAAATGCTCATGTTCGTCTCAGCCGGGGATCGAACCCGGGACCCATGGATTCGCAGTCAGTGGTACTAACCACTAGACCAATAAGTCGTCCAAGTTGGATTTAAATATCTATAAAAAACGTAACAATGGTTTTTACCATAAATCTTTGCGATCATCCTCCACTCCAATCGACTTCTAATCTCACGTCGGTTCTAATTACAGGCAGAGACGCACTAGCTACCGCCCTACCATTACTCAAGTATTTCGTCAAGTCAGCAAAGACGGAGAAAATAACTCAAACTATTTGGGTCATTGGTGATTTGAATGATAAAAGGACGCGAGACTTTTTGAAGAATGCATTGAACTTTATGGTAAGGATAAATGTATAGTCCAGGATAGATTACTGTCGTTAAATGAATGCCTATGTATAGTGCGTGTAGTCAATTACCACGCCCTTTTTATATATAAAGATTGTATAACTTAAGAACGGCTGGACCAATATAATGATTCCCATTTTAGATTGGTCTTCCAAAATTGGATGTGATAAAATAAATAAATCAGTTATTTCCAAAGAAACATTTAGATCGATTTATTATAAAAATCCGCACAATCAGCAATATAAATATAGGCAATCAAATGACATATTAACTTTCTTAATGGCAATAATAAGTTATTTATAATTATTTCCAAACTTATGGTCTTAATATTCGCCCACGCTATAAAGGCACCTTGTCTTTCAAACATTTATAGCATTACACGGCAGTGGATTTTTTCCTTCACGAGTGAGTGTAATGCACACAATAGGAAGTCAAGCGCACATTGACTGAAGCCACTAGGTCAATACTGCTTTGAAAAATATGAAAAAAAAAGCCAAAACTCATTAGTAAGCATAAACTAAAGACGGTATTATATTTTAGAGAGAATCTGGAGGAGTACGAGTTGCCTTCATACCTAATGTTGATGGAGAATCCAAAGTTGATCAATCGTTGAATAAAGTTGTCATAGCGGCGTTAACAACACTCGAGCCGGCGAAAGCAACAAAATATGTTGCCCAATTGCTTGATGATGAAGGATGCCATGAGAGACAGGATTGCGATATACTGGTGAGTACATATCTATAAAATACGAATTGTAATTGCAACGAGTCGTCAATTGTTTTTTTGCAGCATTTACCATATAATACAGTTCAAACTCTTTATAACGAATTTCAAGGTACCGAGCATTTTTTTCGTTATAGAGATTATCGTTATATGAAAGGTAACCAATTACAGTAATTTCTAATTGTATAACTATCAATAGGTAAATTATTCTACACACACATATTCTGTTTTCTTTGCCTGTTAATGCAATTAACAATAACAAAGGCGAGACGGCTGTTTATGACCTCAGGTGTCTCGGCACCTCAAATGGTTAGTTTTGTAAGCTGATTATAAAAACAATTACATTTAAGTATGTTGTTGATGTCTAAATATGAAAATGATTTTTTCGTAATATAGAATTGTTTGTGCGTTATAAAGAGTGTATTAATTTATGGGTGTAGTTCTTGTTACGTTATATAGAGTTATTTCGAATGACGTTATAAAGAGTTTACATTGTAATTCCAAATATGTATGTTTGTTTAGCCCGAGCTAGTGAGCGCGTTAAACAAGCACGCATGGGTGCTGAAAGCTGCACGTATACTTTGCGTACGCGGTATGAAGCTACGAGCGAGTGAACGTGCACTGGTGTACAATGCGAGGTATATTGGACCGTTGGCTGAAAATGAAACCTTTTCGTCGGACGATTTTGTGCTATTGGAGAGGTATGTTAAATTTTGCTTCTACCCGCATTTCTTGAAAATTAATTTTTGAATAAACGATACGAATGAGTGGCGTAGAGTTCTTCTCGCCCTCAGTTACAGTCCATAACATTCTCCTTTTTTCTTCTTTGTTAGTTCTGCTTTTCTCTATATTTTTTTTTTAAATATTGACGTTCTTTAGTGTGCGTATTACTTTATGTAACAATATGATTAAATGAATTTGGATTTGATCTGACATTTTATAAGAAATACCCTATTATAACTTGTTATTTAGCTATTATGTAGTTTTTGATGCCCCGAACTCAATAAACTCGTGCCTATATTAGGAATATTTTTTTTATTAAATACGAGTCAAAGGAATATAGTTTATGTATGCCCATAGATACAGCAATCAAGTGTACGGCGAAAAGTTAGCTGATGTTTTCAAAAAGAAGAGAACGTTAACAAATATCGAAGATGATGATGATGGTAAAAGACTCTTTTATTTTTTGTTCTGTTTCTAAATTTTTAAGCGATTAGTTTCTTTTTAATTTATTAAACATTTTTAGTAGCTACATAATGTGGTAGGTATTTAAAAATTTTAGAATTAAAAAAAAAAAACATTTTTTTTTAAATATTTCCCTCCATACTTTTTGATGGAGCTTTTTGAGTTTTTGAAGCGTACACAAACCAACATACCATTTATATATATATATATATATATATATATATATAAATTATAATAATTCGTAGACAAGGGTATGTCATAATGATTGTATGAACAAAGTAAATCCGGAACTAAACGACAAAGTAAACTTTAATTTGAGCAAACATTTTTGTGACACACAGTATTAATATAAACTTATTTTAATTTAAAAGCAAATCGATATTTCAGATGACACAATATCCGATATAGATACGGAAAAATATTTCAAAGTTATATCGATATTGGCGTCGCGTAGTCCTCGAACAAGAACACCTTTACCCACCGGTCTGAAGACTGAACATTCACTGGTTGAACTTGCACCTTTATACTCTGATGAGGCAGCTATAGAGGTAAATTAAAATAATATAAAATAAATATATATAAATAATTTTAGTAGTAGTAGTACTAAAGTAGTATTACTAAATTAGTAGTACTAAATTAGTAGTACTAAAGTAGTAGTACTAAATTAGTAGTACTAAAGTAGTAGTACTAAATTAGTAGTACTAAAGTAGTAGTACTAAATTAGTGGTACTAAAGTAGTAGTACTAAAGTAGTAGTACTAGTTCTCCTAGGACCAACTGCCCCTCAATATCGATTTAAAACCCCTAAAGTTTTTGTTAGAAGACAAAATCGCGTGGCAATAGTTCTAGTTATATTGTTATAATTTGTTTTGTTATCTTTGAAGTGTTGTGAATATGTGTGTTATGGTAAATGTGGTAAATCACAGAACAGATTTTTATTTATTTTTACTTATACAGGGTGTCCTAAAAGTCGACGTCAAGTCGAAATTTTCTCATAGGTAATGCCACACCAGCTATCAGAAAAATTAAAAAAAAAAAAATAAGTCATGTATTTTTGAAGTTATGGATATTTTTTTGTTATTCCAGAAAATGCACACCATGTGACAGTTTTTTCATTCCTGTTGTTACAAATATTTACTTTTTGCCAATTTTTTTTCTCTTACGTCATCCCGATAACTTTAATGACCTTGTGGTTTATGACATTTTCCTTTGAACAATTGTAATGTAGAGGGAGGATAAAACTTAGAGTTTCTTGCCTTTCTTTGATTTTCTTATTACGTTAACAGTATTTTTTTTTTACACATATTACCCACACATAGTCTATGCTTGAAAACGAAATACATTTTCGAGGATTTCTACAAAAAATTAATACATTTATGTACTATTCTTTTTTGAGAGTTTTGCTTACTTTCGCTGACAAGAGGAAGGGGGGGATAAATTGCTGTAAATGCTTACATTATACATGAATGGTCCCTAAGATACAGAAGATGCAGAAATTCCTCTAAAGAATTTAAAGATAGAAGATAGAATTTTAAATATTATTTTATAGATTGTAGCTGTGGCAGATCCAGCATCGACTGCAGCTCAAAGATTGGCCCCATTGCTCCTGGTCTTGCGACGTGTTATAAACTGCCGTATAAAGTTGTTCCTTAATCCTCAAGATAAGAACTCGGACATGCCCCTAAAAAGGTAATAATTTACAGAAGAAGACATTACTGTGAGAATTAAATATAAAGTACTCAATACTTGGCGATTAAAAAGAGTGGCGGAATGTTTCTTGCCAGTTCTTCTTACCCGCTCTACGCCCTTGACTTGCGAACTGGTAGTAAATGTAAATTTACAATTAATTTAACTTCTTTTGACGTTCATAAGTGTACTTGTTTACCTATATGAACAAAGATATTTTGAGTTTGAAAGAAGCAATATGTAAAACTTTTTAATACAATTATTTTTTGGTCCTTCGAGCCGGATTTAAATATTTATCTCAAAACCATGCAAATCTTTAAATAACCAACAGATTAATAAAATCATGTTTCAATAATAGTTTAAAATATAACAGGAACTATAGTTTAATTGAAATTCCATATTGTATGGAACAATAGAATGTGTCTAACAAATATTAAAGTTTTTTTGCTTGAATTAAATAATAAAATCCAGTGGTGCTATAAATAAATGTAAGCCACAGATGACAAGATTTTTTGATAAATTCACAAAAGTCCTGTCGCAGCTGATCAGCCTTCTGTGACAGACACATGTCGTAATTGGACAGTCAGTTCTGAGTGGCACATTCTGCTCCTCAGCATAATGCTGAGCCAGGGCCAATTACAGCAACAGCACACACGCATTACACACTTGAAACGAACCGAATGAGAAAAGGGATTTAATTTTTTTTCTTATTGTTTTTGATATCGCTAATTTTATTTTTTCTTTGATTATTGTTAATTTGTGTGTTTATGTGTGTGTTTTCGTTTGTAATAAATGGTATGTCTATGTCTAATTTTACAGCGTACACAATTTATTCCTATACATAGAAACTTCAGTAATGCACAGCTGTGATTCGAACAGATTGCTGAATTAAAAAAAAGTGGCACTATTAGGTCTGTGCCTTATATTTCCATCTGTTTCGTGATCATTTGCTTTTTTGATAGGCAAACTGGTGATTATGTACCTGACACACGCCGTTGACTTGCTGGGGTCTAGGTTTAAAGAAATTTATTCTTATAACAGACAATAGTCACTTAGAGAACTTATATACCAAAGATACAATTTATCACGTCGTGGGTCATTGAAGAGCTTCAAGGAATTAGCGAAGTAGCACTTGGTTGAACTTTCATTTACGTAGAGAACTGGGATCACTCAATTTAAATATTGTAACTTTTTTATATTTTTTTTAGTCTAACACAGGTTTCCTAACGTTTTTAAAAAAAAAGTTAAAAGATATGCATATTTATTGCTTCTATGGGTGTTTGTTCAATTAACTTTGTTTTTAATTTTTTTTAAATTGGTTTTTTATATTAACAGTTTCTACCGATACGTTTTGGAAGCGGAACTACAATTCACACCTTCGGGATCCCTCACCGGTGGAGCAATAGCTCGTTTCAACCGCTTGCCCCATGCCCCATTATTGTCTATGGAGATGCGGACGCCGCCCAATTGGCTTGTCGAATGTGTCAAGTCTGTGTACGATCTTGACAATATACGTCTAGCGGATGTCGAATCTCTGGTTCACAGGTATATTAAAAAAAATATAAATAGTGAAATAGGGGCCTCATAGCCTAGCGGTCTTATTAAGTGGCAGCTAGGTGAGGGGTACCGGGTTCGAATCCCGGTTCGAGGGCAAGTTTTAATTTCATTTAAAACTTGTTCTCGGCCTTTGGGAGGGTTGTGCGGTACCGGGCTTAAACCGTACTTGGAGGACACGGTCGAATTTCTAAAGACAAGCACGAATTATAAAAAAATCCTATACTTGACGCTGGCTAATGCACAAATCGTGCCAGAGCCATTAAAAAAAATGGTGAAATAAAAACACAATACTTTCGAAATCCTTCTATATTTTTTTATGAAACTCTAAATTAAAAACAGTTTACTTTTTTTTTGTAACTGCGAAAGAAGCTGCAGTGGGAAAGCTTTTTGTACCGTGTAACTAGGTAATCACACAGAGCAACCATATTCCAGAATATTTCTTACATATTTATAGTTATAATAAATTCCTATTTATATTAAAGAAGTAGAGTTTCATAGATATCGGGATAAGGCCGGTCGTCGCACTATATTTTTAAATTATTAATAATAATTAATTGTGTACAAAAATTTTAAATAAATAAAAATAAGTTATACGTACATGCGTAAGTACTCGCAAGCAGAGACAATATTAACAAGAAGACACGGTATTTTTTGTTTTATACAAGATTTTTAAAAATTAAGTATATATACTGTTCACTCTTTATAACGTCATGTTTTATAAGAAACCCCCTCTATAACGTGAAAATGAATTCTGTTTGGTTTAACACAAAAAGTTTTAATATTCGCTCTCTATAACGAAAACTCCCTTTAACGTATAAAAATGCTCGGTCCCTTGAAATTCGTTATAAAGAGTTTATACTGTATATATGATAAGGCAATCAATATATGACATATGACAATAGATTCAACAAGGATACTTTTGTATAAATAAAAAGCCTTCATTAACGTATTAAAAAATATGTCTTGGAGAATCTCTTTGGTTATAAATGAATTCATTTTTGACAGCGAATTCGAGTTGGAGTACCTTCTACTGGAAGGCCATGCGTGGGACACGGCTCTGGGTACGCCACCAAGAGGCCTCCAACTTATCCTCGGATCCAGAGACAATCCAGAAATAATGGATACTATCGTGATGGCAAATCTTGGGTACTTCCAACTAAAGGCGAATCCTGGAGCGTGGATTCTTAGACTTAGACCTGGCCGCTCTGAAGAGATTTACGAAATTGTTGGGTATGTTTATTTTTTTATAATTATAAATGTTGACCCATTTTTACTGAATCGTCGGTCAATAAATGTCACTGACAGTAGGAATGTGCACGCAATGCAACCCGTTATCAATACTTAGGTACCTGCGCACGCGCTCTGACTCCTGATTGGTCGTTACGAGTAAGGGTTGTTGTTTTTATATAAATACAGCAACCGGCAAACATTTGGAAACATTTTTTTAGCTCAATAAAATTTTAAATTAATAAAAAATAAAGGGTGATCGTAGAGGGGTGAAAATTAGGGGTTGTATGTATTTTTGTTTGTTGTATCATAAAAAAATAAAAACAAAAAAATAAATCTAAAAAATTTTTTTTGGGGTGGACACCCCTTATCACTTAGGGGATTGCATCATAGATACTCGTAGTAGCCGATTCTCAGACTTACTGAATATGCATAAAAAAATTCATAAGAATCGGTCGAGCTGTTTCGTAGGAGTATGGGAACGAACATTGTTACACGAGAATTTTATATATTAGATAAGATTGTTTGTTATGACACTCATTACATTACTTACCCTTCCTTACGCAGCACGTACAATGAAGAATTTATTTTCTAACGTGCTTTTGAAGAAATTCACGCACGTCACTACACCTCTCCATAATTAAGACTTGTAAGTGCGAGCGAGACAAAAAGATAAAAATGATTTATGCCCCGAAGCTTCAGTTTTTAATGCGTCGACTATAGTTAGAAATATATGTGATATTGACATTACTAAGATTTCCAAAATTCTTTATAATCCCGTACTAGGAAGATTCATAGTCGACCCTAAGTGTAACTCTGGTATGTCAAAACCCTATTAATATATGGACATGCAGGAATTTAGAGGGCCACGATTCTGTGGTCCGTATTGTCAAAGTCAAAGTCAAAGTCAAATCGTTTATTTCAATTAGACCATCTAAAATGGCACTTTTGAACGTCAAAAAAAAAAAATATAAAGATGATTCTAGTTGCCCCTTCCAAAAGGTAGTTTCGTGTGGAGAAGAATGGGCAAGAAACTCCACACTTACTCTTTTAAAATAGGTTTACAATATTTTGTTACATTTGTTAAATAATTATATGTGAAGACAATGTACTCTTAGAATAAACTACTATACTAAAAAAGTTAGTATACATGTTCCTCACATATTTACAAATATCGAAACCTTAGAATATTAACATTAAAGAGTAATAAAAATATTAAAAAAACACAACAAAACAGTGTGTGAGATACAAAAAAAATAATTACATTTGTAGCATTATATAAATTAAAAAAAAAATAATAATAATAATAATAATAATAATAACAAAAATTAACATATTTTTTTTTAGCAAAAAATCAGCAACCAATTTGATTTTGTCCAGGCTATAGAGCCAATCATAGGATTGTCCTATGGAGCAGGACCAGCATGTTTCCAAGCATTCTTATCTTGAATATAATCATCTAATTTGTAATATGCTTGTTTACAAAGTGTACTTTTAATAAAACATTTAAATTTTCGTTCATTTAGTTTTAAAATGTCACAAGGTATTTTATTGTAACATTTCACACAGTACCCCATAAATGAATTTTGAACTTTGGCTAATCTGAAAGATGGTTGAGCTATTTTATCTTTATTTCTAGTACTAAAATTATGTCTTTCATTTATTTGTTATTGTAATTTGTATCTCAAGACACAGTCTCAACTTAAGTGCTGTCAAATATGTCAAACTTCATACCGAAAAATTGACAGCTCCTGGAACTAGATTTCGTTTGATTGTGTAGCTTTTTAATGTTCCAGTACAAAATTGTCAAAAGGCATTTTTTAATTTTCTTTAAGCATTTTTTTGTCTTTGCCTGTATGTCTCGACTTCAAAAAGTATCTGTCTAGGTATCTTTCTGACCTATTTATATTATGTATTACCAACTACCAATTATTAATAAAAAAACGATAAAAAGTAATAAAAACAGCCAGTGGCGCTACATTCTTTTAGGCTTCAGATTTCTTTTCTGTTCATCTTATGTCTATGTCTACTTAGGGAGCGTTCAAGTATTACGTCACGCAATTTTTTGTAGATTATTGACCCCCCCCCGTGTAACGCGTCGTAACGTTTTTCTTCACACAATAGTAAAACGTTTCGTGACGACCTAGTGACTCTTTATACGTAAAAGTTACCATTATGTTCTGCAAAGTACTGGAAAGTCGAAAAAAATATTAACAATAACGCGTAATTCAATCCCCGCCCTGCATACATATAATATTTTTTTACATTACATTTAATACATTTTACATACATATAACAGTTTATATTTCACAGACACGAAAACACGGACACGCCCCTGGGTAGCTCCGATATACAGGTGTTGATGAGTTCGTTGCGCAGTCACGTGATCAAGTTGCGCGTGAGCAAGAAGCCTGAGAAGCAGCATCTCGATCTTCTAGCTGAGAATGATGAGAAAAATACAGGAGGAATATGGAATTCAATTGCGAGGTAATTTATTTATTTATTTGCTGAACAGTATTCCTACAGCTACTCACTAAACAATATTCAAACAATTACATTATACACAAAAGCCAGAAACGGAATACACATTCACACATAAACATAAAGCACAGTTTTACCTATTTATACAAAAAATATAACAAAGTATACATTTATAATAAATTTTAAGTTCTAACATTCATTGATCGTTTTAATATATATTTAATATAAAGGAAGAATAACAAAGCCATTATTAATAAATGATACCAGAGTTTTTAAATTATTTTTTTAATAGTTTTTTTTTGACAATTCACACCAATTGATCTAGTCCCATGCTAAGCTGGTGAAGCTTGTGTTATGGGTACTAGGCAACGGATATACATACATATTATAGATAGATAGACATATAAATACATATTTAAACGCCCAAGACCTAAGCACAACACCAAATGCTCATCACATCGATGTTCGTCTCAGCCGGGGATCGAACCCGGGACCCATGGATTCGCAGTCAGAGGTACTAACCAGTAGACCAATGAGTCGTCGTTACATTAAATATATCTATAGAAAGTATACGATACATACACTGTATACACGAGGAATTTGAAATAGTTGGGTGTGCCTTGTTATTGTATGAAGAAGGGCTGTGAAATAGTAAAAGCGACAATAAGTCAGGGCAGTCAATCAAACAGTTAATTAATAATAATGACAATTGCTTATTGGTGTAGTAATAAAATACTCTTTAATAATATTTCATTTTTGTTAGTATTCTGGTTTCTATTTTGTATCTGTAATTTATATTTCTAATTCTTTTTTTTTTTAAATACTTATTCTGCTATTCGGGACACCGGTCTAGCTAGTAAGATAAAAAAAGAAAGTTGATAAGACAACCAATACATTATGTCAAAAAATAAAAATTTACCTTCCTTTTATGTAATGGTATTAAAGTTCAAATTTATTTTTAAGTAATATTACGAATATTTTGTATGGGAATATAGAAAAGTGTTGTTTTTAGACTTTTTCACTCAATTTTTTTTTAATTTTTTTCTCCGTAAGAACCATCCTATTACTTCAAGGAATATTATAAAAAAAAAAATTGGCCAAATTGGTCCAGGCGTTGTTGAGTTATGCGCTTACCAATACATTTTGCGATTCATTTTTATATTAAATTTATTAAAAACCATTATAGTTTGGTCCCTGTGTAGTACTAGTGTACTTTAACGCAGAATTTGCTCGCTGTATTGCGATACTTATTCGTTGAGCGAGGAAAGCACCAGCTCTGGGGTCACCGGTGCTACTAGGCGCTTACTTAAATCTTTGATTAGCGCCTGCGCACTTGAACCCAAGAGTAATTTATGTGAAAAAAACTTAAGTAATGTTCTGTTTGACACTATGTCCATTTCCAAAACAGCTCGGGAGTTTTCTTCACCATAAAATAAATTATTAGATAAATTTATGCATATTTGAGATTTAAACACAAAAAGTTTACTTTGAGCATTTTTTACCAGTGGTTTCTTAGATTATATAAATTTAATTGTTGATCGCCATAAGGTCGTCTGTTCTTAAATCAGTAGCAACACAAAATATTTTTTTGAAGTTATACTTCTTTAGGCGCGTTATGAAAAATTGATGAGAGTGAAATTTTACGATGCGCGCGCACCGTGACACAAAATTAACAGAATGAAGTTGCTCACGGAAGATGCTATGGCATTGGACATAATTTAAAAATAACATTCGAATAATAATAGAATTTATGTTACACTTAATGTAAGAGAATAATAATAAATAATTATTTATTTAATTTTTCAAATGTAAACTGAACTTTATTGACTATAATGACTCCTTTTCCAGTCTTTGATTATTTAATTGTAATTAATTATTTGCGAGCAATCAAAAACTATTTTTAATAATGCCAAAGAAGTATAACTTCTTACGCGCGTACATAAGTACACGCACCCTTTTTTTGTATTAATTTTACGTTCCGAAACTAGTTAAGTTACAAATTCAGACCACTATTTATTTATACGTTCTAAAACAATGTGTATGCCTAAAAATACAAGAAAATGCACAATTTTCAACACAAATATTGACATTTGACATCACAAATTGACACACACATCAATTACATTAGAACGAAACTTAACGAATGATAACCTCGTATGTCAAAAAACCATTTATTTTTTATTTAGACTCTTATGTCATTTAACTGGTATAATCATGAAGTAAGGACTTTTTTATGTTATTAATAAGTTCTTTTTACCATCTAAAACTATGGACACATAATAAAATTTTAAAGAACATTGACGAAATGAAACATTTTTCGTTTCCTGTAACGTTCTCTGGACATACGAGGTTATCATTCTCGAGGTAGCGATCTATCAAAGGAAAAAATTAAACAAAGACTAAAGCTTAGGTTTCCTAGAAAAGCGGTGCCGTTAACTAACGGCCGTCATTTTATAGTCGTTAATAACAGCCGTCTTTACTTTTTAACATAATGCAAAAAAACTATCATTTTCGCTCGTCCAAGTCACGTTTCCACTCATTGTATTAATTAAATATGGGCACCGCTACACGCGAAAAACCTTGAACTAATGTTTATCACCGCTATGACGGCCGTCATGCAAATGACAGCACCGCTATTTGACGTTACGGTGACAACGTTCTCTAGGGAACCTACTCCGATGTTATTTATAGACAACGTAGGGGTGACGTCACCCAACGTTACATTACGGCCGTTGGATAACGGCACCGCTTTTCTATGAAACCTAAGCTTAACGATGTTACTACAAATATTTTCAGCTCATTCGTGGGTGGCGAGGAACCGGAAGGCAAAGATGAAACGATCAATGTGTTTTCGGTAGCGTCAGGACATTTATATGAACGGTTTTTGAGGATTATGATGCTGTCCGTACTTAAGAATACGAAGTCGCCAGTTAAATTCTGGTTTTTGAAGAACTACCTCAGTCCGTCACTCAAGGTATGACATTTTTGTCAAACAAATGTAGAGTATTACTTTTTAGTTTAAAAGATTGCAGTGGCATTATAGTTTCAACTATTACAAATTTTTCTAAAAAAAAGGTAAATTAGTGTACACAAATATTTTGTTATTAAGGCTAATTTAATAGAAATAAAATCAAAAAAATATAATAAAAATTAAAAAAATACGATTTATTTACACAAAAAAAAACTTGAGCTCTGGGCCTCAGATATCTGTTTAGTGATTAAATAGGTGATCAGCCAGATCTTTATATAGACTAACTAGCAGACCCGGCAAACGTTGTTTTGCCATGTATATTATTTTTAGGAATTTTTGTTTTAGTTCCATAAAATGTATCTACTATAATAAAAATAAGGGTTGATCGTAGAGGGGTGAAAGTTAAGGGTTGTATGTATTTCTGTATGTTATATCTTATAAAAAAATGGTCTAAAAAATAAAAATTTAGGGGTGGACCCTTAACATTTAGGGGGATGACAAATAGATGTTGTCCGATTCGCAGACCAAATCGATATTTTCACGAAAATCGGTCGAGCCATTTCGAAAAGGGTTTATTTTCAATCACCGTGATACGAGAATTTTATATATTAGACAACCTGTTTTAAAAAAAATGTTTACCTTTTGAAATTTTGAAAAATAAACTTTTAGCTGAGAAAGGCCGCTAGTATGAAATCAAATATAATAGGATTTATAATATTTCAGGACATTTTACCGTACATGGCAGAAGAGTACGGTTTCTCCTACGAATTGGTTCAGTACGTTTGGCCTCGTTGGCTGCAAAGGCAAAGAGACAGGCAAAGAACGATATGGGGATACAAAATACTCTTTTTAGATGTGCTCTTCCCTCTGCACGTTAAGAAAATCATTTTTGTTGATGCTGACCAGGTAAGATATAGGGGGAATTCTATATCAACTGTCACCTATGTCCTACTGTCACCTATGTCAACTGTCACCTGTGTCTACTGTCATCTGTCACCTGTCACCTGTGTCAACTGTCACCTGTGTCAACTGTCACCTGTGTCAACTGTCACCTGTGTCAAAAGTCTCCTATATCAACTGTCGAATAACTGCAGTGCACTGCAAGAGCTGAACTATAACCCTGGGTATTTATAGAATGTGTTTGATTATAGTTCAAAAATATGTACTGACTTTTAGATTGTACGCGCTGATCTCAAAGAGCTAGTCGATTTAGACTTAGGCGGTGCTCCTTACGGGTACACACCATTCTGTGACAGTAGACGGGAAATGGAAGGATTCAGGTATGAAGAAGAATTATTAAGAAATTTACTTTAGGGAGAATTCAAGTTTTTTGGAGATTTTTGACCCCCCCCCATGCAACGCGCCGTAACGTTTTTCTGTACCTAAGTATAGTAAAACGTTTCGTGACCACCTAGTAACTCGTTATACCTAAAAGTAAAGTACTGGAAAGTCGAAAATAATATTAACAATAACGCCTAATTCAATCCCCGACTCGTATCGTAACGTTTTACTAAAGGACAAACAATTCGTTACGTAATCCTTGAACGCTCCCTTATAATAAAGTTACTAAACTTAGAAAAATTTATAATATCAATATAAACGATAATCCTATAATCTTTAGACTTTGGATCTTACGCTTAACCAAAAGTCGGACACAGAAGCCTGACCACTTCATTTAAAATAAATAAATTGTGCGTGTACTAGGTGTACACACGTAAGAAGTGAAACTTCTTTATGATCTTATTTTTCGAAAAATGATCTACTATATGCAACTTTACAGAAATTCGTTAAATTAGATAAAGTTTAACAAAAGGCTTTTATTATCATAGACATGAATACAAATATTTCATTTTACCTTATTACTACGAAGATTATTATAGAATTTCATTAATTGTAATAGAATTATTACTATCATTGAAAAACGTGACGATTTGCTACAAAATTTCTCCCATACGTCGATAAAGAAGTTTCATTCCAACGCCGATGAAGAAGTTTGACTTCAAAAAGCAACATGGCGCGTAACCGAAAAATGTGACGCGTAACGAAAAAATGTTACACTAAATTTTTTTCCAACCTCGATAAAGAAGTTTCACTTCAAAAAATAAATCAGTGGCGCTACATGATCATTTGTCAATCTAATAGGCAAGTAGGTGATCAGCCTCCTGTGCCCGACACGTCGTCGCTTTTTCGGGACTAAAGCATGTCGGTTTCCTCACGATGTTTTCCATCACCGTTCGTGCGAAAGTTAAATGCGCACATAGAAAGTCCGTGGGTGCACAGCTGGGGATCGAATCTATGACCTCTGGACAACTTAACAAAAGGTTCATCTGCTTATAAAGAAAATAATGACGCAAGTGCCTCATTATGGGATTGCATTTAAAGAAAATACTTTTTAACCGGATTAATGTTATGTTTTATTATAAATTTACAATTATTTAACGTAATTTTAAATTTAACCGACGTTTCGCGTGCTTTACAGCGTGCGTGTTCACGGTGACTGAAGACAAAAGGTGTTGAATGTCAAAAAGTATCACAGCTGTAGAAAAAGTTGTATTATCTGTATTTATTTCCCCGGAGTTGGTATCGACTAAAAGATGGAGGGTTTTGGCAGAAATGGCTAACGGTGTCCTCTATTTTCGCGGATTGTTTATCTTGAGATTATAATTTGGATATTATTGTATCCCAGGTGGTTGACACTTTTTCGGTTTTTTCTACAGCTGTGATACTTTTTGACATCCAACACCTTTTGTCTTCAGTCACCGTGAACACGCACGCTGTAAAGCACGCGAAACGTCGGATAAATTTAAAATTATGTTAAATAATTGTAAATTTATAATAATACATAACTTTAATCCGGTTAAAAGTGTTTTCTTTAAATGTGTAAAGGTTAATAAAAGACAATACTATATGGGTATTCAAATTACAGGTTCTGGAAACAGGGCTACTGGCGTAACCATCTTCAAGGTAGAAGTTACCACATCAGTGCCTTATATGTGGTGGATCTGAAGCGGTTCAGACGTATTGCTGCTGGCGACAGACTACGTGGACAGTACCAGGCTTTGAGTCAGGATCCCAACAGTCTCTCCAATTTGGGTATGTTTTTTGAAGTGAAACTTCTTTAGGCGCATGAGGGTAGAATTTTTACGGAACGTCACGAAGATGTGCAGCGTTTTTGTCGAAGAAAAGGGAGAGAGCGATTGAGACCGATTGAATAGGGAGTGAGTAGGGTGAATTAATAGAAATTCTATTTTTTAAATTAAAGTTTAGTATAGAGAATTTATTAATTTATTTAAATATCAAATGACGAATTGTCAATTAAAATGCCACGTGTTTTTATTATCGAAGATATAATTTAAAAAATTACATTTATTATTTGTATTAATTTTAACCATAGTTCCATCCATTAAAATAAGTTTTGTTATTATTATTTGTGTACAAATTTTTTACATATTTTAATATTATTTTATAATATGTAAAAATTTAAAATATGTATGTAAAAATTAGTACTAAGTTCAGAAACTAATCTTCAATCGTTTTTATATTACCGAAATGTTTAGATTTAAATTGACACTTTTTTAATAAATTTTTGATTTTGTATTTTTTACTTATTAAAAAAAAAAGCTAAAAGTATGACAACAGAATACATCGAATGACCAATAACCCTGTCTTTTTCGAGTAATTTCCGATTTTATAAAGTCTTATATTGTTGACCTTTCATCATTAACAATAATTATTGCAATCTCAAAATTCGTATTAATAAAACTTTTTTTTTTAAAAGAATATTGTGAAGTCCACGATGGCCTAAACAATTTAAATGTGTCACCATTATATATTTTGTTTTAATTTTTACAAAAAAATCATTCCCCAGATCAAGACCTGCCGAACAATATGATCCACCAGGTAGCGATTAAGTCTTTGCCCCAGGAGTGGCTCTGGTGTGAAACGTGGTGTGACAATAAATCTAAAACATATGCGAAAACGATTGATCTTGTAAGTACTATATATAGTTGATATTTTACCTATTTTAATATTATTTATTAATAATTACAAATACAGTACTATAATCAAAATTAAATATATTTATAAGGTGACGGTCCTCCCTCCGTAATGGTTTAAAAAAAACTGTAGAAAGGCCTATAGGTGCCAACAAACCACTATATTATTTTAACAATACAAAGTAACATAAGTAAAAAGCTACAGACAAGAAAGAATTTGGTGTAAATAAAGAAAACGTGTGTTTCCTTATGTACACGCGTTACAAGTAACAAAAAATTTATTCTACGTTTGTAGAAAAAACGACACTAAAAAAAGAACAAAAGTATTAAGTACATTGAAAGTTTTATTATAACGCATTTGTAGTTAAATAAAGTTCAGTTAAATAACACAAAAAAACTAAAATGTTGACTATAGCTGACTTTCGGGTGTCGGTTTTTTGTGACGGTGTGCGCGCGCATCGTAAAAATTTACTCTCATCATTTTTCCCTAACGCGCCAAAAGAAGTATGACTTCAAAAAATCCTAAATTTAATGTTATTCTATTAAATTAAGGATTTAGTTAGTTTGAGAAGTTCACGAGATCACCCCAACAGTAATATAATGCAGTCGTAAATATATATCTTTATATATATATATAATTAATGAAACTGAAATGTGTTGCAAAAATATGTATTTTAAGAAACAATTTTTTTTTTAATTTTATAATCTATCCAAAATGTACTAACAAAAAAATCTTCATATTCAAATTAAAATGACTAACACATACATAGACAATAGACAAACAAAACTAGCGTCTTTTCCACAGACTAACAAACAAAATAAAATCTATTACCACAAAATAGATAATTAATAATCTAAAGAATCAAATCTATGAAAAATCAAATTTAAGAAATATAATAATTTCTTTACACATCTTTATATATATAATTCTTCTGTGAGTGTGTATGTCACTTAACTTCTCTCAAACGACTGGACCGATTTTGATGAAATTTTTTGTGTGTGTTCAAGGGGATCTGGGAATGGTTTAGATTTACAAATCAGCCCGGCAGATGGCACTGCAGTCGGTACTTTCATACTTTGCTTAATATCCTAATCGCTTTAAATATCATGCAGGACAACGTCTGTGGGGTCCACTAGTACATATATATGTCTACTGTACATGTGTATGTCGCTGATCTCCTCTTAAACGGCTGGACCGATTTGATTGAATTTTTTTGTATGCGTTTGGGTGGCGCCCTGGATGGTTTAGATTCACAAATCAGCCCGGCAGATGGCGCTGCAGTCGGTTATTTATCTATACAGCAAATAAACAGCTGGTATATATATAAATCTTCTGTTCGTAATTAAACTCATAAATGGTTGGACAGATTTTGATGAAATTTTTTGTGTGTTTAAGTGGAGTCTGAAATGATTTACATTATTAGATATTTTTTTGTTTCTAAGACGTATACACAGGACAGTTTATTTATTTGTTTTTTTATAGTGCAACAACCCATTGACGAAGGAGGCTAAATTATCGGCCGCAATGCGTATAGTACCCGAATGGAAGGAATACGACGCTGAAGTTAAGGGCCTGCAGGCGCGGGTACGTCGCGGCCTTTATCAGAGGAATGACTCTGATCAGGTTAGTTTTTTATATTTTGTAAATCTAAAAATATAACATATAATAAATGTTTAGAACTTGTGTTTTGATAATTTTAAAATTTATTTATTTTATCAGGAAATCGAACACACCGTAGAAGATACACCCATTACGGAAAAGAATTCCGGTAAGTATTTAAAAAAAATGAAATATTTTTAGTCTTTATTTAAAACAGTTTAAATCAATTTCATCGAGTTTGTAACACCAAAATGTTTTTCTAGTAATAAGTATTACGTAACGAATTTGGGGGGGTATCCTTTTGTAAAACGTTATGCGGGGCGGGGATTGAATGTTATTGTTAGTATTATTTTTTACTTTTTAGTAATTTACACCACATAATGGTAACTTTTAGAGTCACTAGGTGGTCACGAAACGTTTTACTATACTTGGGTACAGAAAAACGTTACGACGCGTTACATGGGGGGGTCATTTATCTCCAAGGGTTTTTTTTGTAAGGGTAGCCGCTTTTACTTAAACATTTGTTTTTTTGTTTCAGGTGAACATGAACACACAGAATTATGATGAATCACTGGTATATTTGTTTTTTTTGGTTATTTGTGACAAAGGACTGTATGGTTTTAGTCAATTTTGTAAGTTTTGCCATAGAGATAGATGTGAATCATCAAAGAGAATAGAATATGTCAAAAGTTTTATGTTATACATTTTGACGTAAACAATTTGGAAATATATTTTGCGATCTTTTCAACAATTGTATATTTTTGTTAACATTATCGAACCAGGGACTTCATTTTAGAAGTAAAGAAATTACTATAATGAAAACTCAGTATTTTTCTCAGTTTTCTTATACCTGAATTTATTTTTTTATGGAAAACCCGTGACACAATGACAAAATATGATAACGAAATTTATAGATTTTGAAGTGGTTTGGAAGGAATTTTCAAATTTATCAGCGCATATGGTCCATTAATCGATGTAGTGATCAGATTTCCAAGTTGTAACTATTTTGTATAAAAAAATAATTTAGCGTTGCTAGTTGTGTTGAGATAAATTGAAAAAATAAACAAGAAAATTTACAATTTTAAATAATTTTCAAATAACCAATTTTAATACTAGAACTAATTATGTTAATTAAAAAGGTGATTTATTCTTATTACTATTACATATTAACGCTTTCTGTCTCTTTCCGTCATAACATTAAAGTTGTTTTATCTTCAGTAGTAATTTGAGAGCCCAAATTGTCAAAAACATAACGATTCCGTCATCCAGATACACCAAATTCTTTTAGAAATAGTAGTAGTGACATTAAATATGGAAATTGCAAACCAAACGAATAACAATTTCTATTAATTATTCGATTTATCATTTACCAGACTTTCAATTTAGAACTTTACCGATTAACAAGGGTGGTGTGACAGAACCGACTATTTGATGGCATATTTAACCGGTTTTTAAAGGTGTACTATTTACCGCCGGTGACTGTCAAAAAGATCGAAATAAGTTGATATCCAATTCTTGAATATAGCTTTATTAAATGTCTATGACTAGACTTGATTAGAGGTTTAAATATCGTTTATGATCAGGCATTGCGTTACATTATAGTGGAAATAATTTGTTCCATAGAAAAAAGGGTCTGCTTCCGTAAACACTCTTCGAACCTCGTTCGTTTGTTTTATGACGGGTGCGTGTGCGTCTAATGTTTGACAGTTTTGTTCCTTAAGTAATTATTTTTTTGTTCTTGATTGTTCCTTTAATTAACGATTAAAATAAAAATACAGTACCTATAGTTTTTTATAATAACAGAATTCGATTCACATGTTTGAAGTATCGATTTAATAATTTTAAATGTTTAACGGCTCATGTAGCTGATAATGACAGCTGTCAATTGTCATTTGTCAAATTGGCTCTACTAACTTTGTGACAGAAAAATGGTAACCAATCTTTTCCACAGTCAAATAAAATTCTTGTTTTTTTTTAAATTGTATAATATGTGTTTGGCAAATTTTCGTGAATATTTTTGTAGCTATTATTTTAATCAGCTATCGAGGGCGACACCAGTGAAGATAACCTTGATCTCTTTGCTGAAGATTCTCGAACAATTCAAATCTCTATGGTTAAAAAACATTTGCTTACCTTGAAAAAGGATCAACTATTCCATTTTTAATCATTTTGTACGTGTTTAAGGAAAATGTGATTGCGTAGATATAAGATTATTTGTAAAAATGTTATTTTGCAAGATTCCCACTTCTATTCCCAGTCACGAACACCACAGATTGCAATAAAGTTTTTGATAATATTTTGGTTTTATTTCAACCCGAGATGTCAAAGTCAAAACATATTTATTTATTTAGGAAATTTCTGTCATAGAACGTCAAAAAATTACCATAAAAAGTTACTAAATGAAGGGCGTAGAAACTGCACCACTCTAATCGCCAACTATTTTATTTTACAAGATAAGGGGCTGTAATCATTATACCTTGTTCCACATGGAATACACTAGCTCCAAAATGAAACATAATTATAAAGCCAAATTAAAAATATATCAGTTTATTTTATATCTGTCCTATCGTTATATGATGTCGAGATTGGAGTATCGTGACATCGGATCTACATTTTGATTTATTCATGAAGGTAAGGAGTTATTCACCGCCAACTTCCTAATATTTTTTCATGTTGACGAACCTGAAACAATGATTATTGCACCGGAATTCAAACTCAGGACTTCGAGGTTATGCGCCACGTGTGATAACCAGATGAATGGCTCTCCCGGTTCCTATATTTAATATACTAATCGCCATTGCTACTTTTAAATTCTTACACTACTAGTATTGTCTTCGTAAAGAATCACTTTGTCTACAGAAAATCTACGCTTCGTAGCAAGGACGTCTAGTAATTTATATAATATATATACTTTTATATATATATAGATACTGGGAGTAAGGTACCAAATAGGTGGATTTTAAATGAATACAATCTTTGCGCTAAGTACGAATTTATTTACAGTCTATTTAGATACGAAAAAGTGTTTATATATAATTACTATCACCTATATTTTAAAATAATATCTTTATTTGTCAAAATATACATCAGTAGCCTTCAAAAAGTTTATGCGATTGAAGAAGTTTGTATGAAAGGTTTTGGCAATTTAAAAGCTTCGACTACAGTGCCACCAACAACCGTTAACGACAAGTCTTATTATTTGAATTATTATTGTTATCGCAAGGGGTTTCCAGTAATATAAAAAAATATTTTAATTTTTATAGCAGTTGGCTTGTAACATGCTTTTCATCCCGGTGTAACAAACCCCGTCATCGTGCATCAATAGACTTCTGTTCGCATTTCGTGAAGGAAAACATCGTGAGGAAACTTGCCTTAGACCCAAAATGGCTTTTGCTAGGCACAGAACGCGGATCACGTACTGTAAAAACAAATTATCACTGAACAAATACAGGAATCTGAGGGCATGGGTTGCAGCGACATCTATTGGACAATAGGTATTATGATTTTAGGTAGAGATAAATAAAGACAGGCTTTATTCTTTTACATAAACGAAACCAACCTTCAAAATATATTGTTATTAAAATACATATCGACTTAAAATATATTATCATGTCATAAAAATATAATAACTAGTATTGATTCAGTCCAGTACACGACCGCATTTCGCGTTGAATAAAATATGTACGGGAATTCGTACTCGGTCTTATCATACACATTCTATACTCTATAGGCTTTAGGTATTCTACGCCTGTCATAAGGTATCGTTTGCTATGGAAGTGGAAACGCTTGATTCGCTGACATTCCCATACATTTCGTCACGATCGTAGAACAATGTCGGATTTGAAAAAAACCAAAATCCACTATTTATAATATTTGGATGCTACATTTACTAAATATTACGGCTACATAAAAAAAATCCGTGTTTTAAATTTCAAATTAATAATATACAATCGGTAAAGTGACGGATTTGATAGACGCTCATAGAAGCATTTTTCTAGAAAACTATGTAATTTAATGTTATTATTTTTATTTTGTTATAAACAAACCCTTTTGTTTGCGTGTATGCCAATTTTCATAATAACAGAATATGAATTAAAAAAAGTTATGACAAAAAAACTAACATGATTATTTTATTTTGAAATGGCCTGTAAAGTCAGATCCGTCACTATTCTACGACTATGACGACTTTATCATTACTATAAGTGTTGTATTTCAAGCCAGAAACATACATATTATGACAATTGACAACTATTTTTAACATACATTTTAAAATACGATTACACAACTATTTACACCATTCTAAGACTGTGCATGATAAAATCTACCGCACCTACAACTACTCACATTTATTGTCATTAATTCTATTCTAAATAAATAATTTAATTCTAAGTACGTTAATATTACATTTCTACAAGCCTATCAGCCGTACAGAGTCTTTCATTATGAGATAACGGTTAGTAATAAGTCAATTTGAATAAAACTACAAAAGTTTTACTGCTGTTTTTAATAATAGTGCAGCCCTGCGATTCTGTAACTCACTTTTCGAACTCACAGAGCGGTTTTCGCATCGGCGGTCGCTCTCAAATCAGTCGTGAAAAGGTGGGAGCTTGTAGTTTATTGTTTATCAGAATGCCAAATCATAAAATGACTGCTTCACGACTGATTTGAGAGCGACCGCCGATGCGAAAACCGCTCTGTGAGTTCGAAAAGTGAGTTACAGAATCGCAGGGCAGTATTGGCATAGTGGCTTATGCGTGATTTTGAACTTTGCGATTGGGCATTTAAATCACGGCGGTAATGGAGTGGAGTTTTGCTTGTATGCGCGCAATTAATACTAGCTCCTATTATTATTAACGCAAAAAGCGACACCACATCAGACACAGGAGATCACATGATGCCAAAACCCATAATAGGGTTGCATCGCTTATTTTTATGCTTCCTTAACTAAAGTAAATCATTTACAAAAATTATAACAGGCATTAAATTTTGTAGTGGGGTTGCAAAGTTCTAATGTAATCATTGATCTACCGTTAGACTTAATGAATGACTCTGAGTACGATACATTTTTAACCCCAGAAGGATAAGATAATGTGGCAGCGATACTCTATTTATTATCTTCAATTACTCAAATATAGGATATGGAGTTAAAATTTCCTATTAAAGACATTGTTTGAATCATAAACGAAATTACAATTTATATGTGAGGGGTACATAATATATGACTAGTACTGAACGGGAAAATTCTTTGGTTAATTATTTAAATCAAATACAGAACATACAAGTTTTCAAAACATAGTTCGGAAATAATACAGCGAGGAATTTGGCACTAACTTCTCGATAGTCTTAAGAATACATCAATTAGTTAATTAAAATTTTTGATAGCTTAAAGTAACGAAAAGTCATTACTGTTGAGATGGTAACCAAAAAGTAATACAAATTGTATTTTCCGTACATGTTACTATTCAATTGTACGTCTTGTTATACGCCTGATAATCCTATACGAAAAACGTGTACCTACTGTAGGTAACTTTATTATTATTAATTGTGCATTATTTTTACGCGTTACAGTATTATCAGATTTAGGGTCTGTTTCACAATGCACGGATAAGTTCTACATAAGTTCCAATTTCCAAATTAGCTATTTATTACTTAATGTTTATCCTACAAACATTATTGTGGCGTTTCACGACTGTCAGATAGCGCTATTCGTCACATAAAGTCCATCATAAGTTATGAGTCCGATGAATGTCAAATAGCACAATTTATCTTCCAAATAATTTGTGTTGCATAGCTATTTGGTTCTTCATCCATACATTGTGAAACAGACCCTTAAAATAAGAAATTCTTGCTAAGAATTTATGAAGAATAAGAAGAGAAATATTTGACATATAGCATGTAGCGGAGATATGTTTAAGATAGGAAATGTTGACTAGCATTTCAAAATGGCTTTCATATAAAGAGATCCTCGCTGTATTTTGATTGGAATGTCTTAGTTACAATAATGTTCTTCGCTGGTAACTCGACATAGTTGACAGTCAACTCGACAGCACCAATGGTATCGGCAATGACAGCGTTCAAGTCGACTGTGACGTAGCGCCTTTCTTCCACGACCACAACACAACCTTCCACAGCCACCAGGCCCGGTGCCGAGGCTCACATTGCATTGCCTGTAAATTGTATTGTAAATTATTCAACGACTTGCTTCGAAATGACTGTGTACAGATACCGGCAAACATCGTGAACAAATGTCCTCGCCTGCGATTTTTAGGTATCACTTGCGGTGAGACGCGGTGGCGGGAGAGTGACGTGTCGATCGCGTAATTGGAAAATCAGTTGACGTTTGTGTTCCGCGTACATGTGTACGATGCGCAAACTTTCCCCCACTCCCTTGTTTAATGCTCAAGAAGTTTGCCAGTATCTATAGATTGTGTTTAAGAAATTAAAACGCTTTGCTTTAACTCCTTGAGGTGGGTAAAATTAGTATTTACGTAAAAAATGATTGCTGATAAAAGCTTACACAACACACAAAATTATATTAAACACTAATTGTAGTAACCTTTATGCTGTGGACTGTCCACAGCATGTTTTCTACTTTATAATTGTTAACAGAATACTTACAAACTATAAATATGTGATCTTAAATGCGAGAGATAAATGAAAAGCATAATTTTGGAAAATATAGCTCTGCAAAGAGAGAGGTAGAGAGGAGAGGTCTCTGTAAGAGAGAGGGTAAATTTCAGGGAAAAAGCAAGCATTTAACAACCAGCTAACACAATCTCAGGATTACCATTATATAATAAACTACTACGCATATTATTTATTAACCTTTATTGTATTACATTTTTGGTACATATACATTCAGATAACATATATAAAGGAGGCGGAATGCGGAAAAAATACTATGGGTAAAGTGAAAATTAAATTTTTTTTTTAATTTAATATGAAGCGAAACCATTCAATACTACAAATCTATTATCACTTTCTAAGGTATTTTTCGCTTTTAAATTTTAAACTCTGTTTTTGTAATCCTTTAGTACTATTTATCTTTGTAAACTTAATAATTATACTCATTGGTCTAGTGGTTAGTGCAGTCAGGGCTGCGAATCCATGGGTCCCGGATTCGATCCCCGGCGGAGACGAACATCGATGTGATGAGTATTTGGTGTGGTGCTTAGGTCTCGGGTGTTTAAATATGTATTAATATGTCTATCTATAATATGTATGTATATCCGTTTCCTAATACCCATAACACTAGCTTCACCAGCTTAGCATGGGACTAGGTCAATTGGTGTGAATTGTCTTAAAAAAAAAATGCATCATGTTTGTGCCATTCGCACCTATTATCGACGCCACACATCGGTATACATTTTATAACTGTTTTCTTTCTTCGTTTTTGTGTTTGTTGGCCTGGCTATTAAATACTTATCAGAAATAAGAGCCCTTTTGGTCTAATTCGTAAGACATATAAGTTAGGTTTGATGGTTTGATTTTGTCCAGAGGCTGTCCGTTCAAATCTCTGTGTACTCATCGATTTGTGTCATTCACAGAAGAGTAGGTGGTCATGGGATATATGGGAGTGGTACACTTACATAATTATACTTGTCAGAATCAATCAAAACTGACGGTTAACTGAATAGGCTAAAGTCGGCTGGTGTATCTTACCTGCCATGGGTTCCCAAAGATCCAGCAGCGGTATCCGGTTCGCAATAGTCTGGACTTGGTGTGACATATCGCAGCCGGGGCTTCGCCCTAGCAGCGCGTCTTGTGGCCCTTAGAGGCCCAGCTCTTGCTGCCTCCCTCGCCAATTCGGAGGCTGTTCTTTGTAATGGTGCTAAAGATCGCCAACATGTTCGCACCGAGCACGACCCCGACACGCCATGGCAGGTGCATTTCGTCCGCATACTATTTGATACTGTCTGGATAAATAATTTCATTAATAATTATGTATTTATTAATTAAGTAGAGGCAAGAAGTCAATAACACAAGAGTGCCTTGCCCGTTAAGGCCCTATCCCAGCACGAATTGCTGTTTCAGTGTTTAGGGGTTGAATGCGCGGCGCAGTGCAGTGGAGAGCTGTAGCACTGAGGCGCGGCAGCCCGTAATAACAATTAGTTAGGTAAAACATTAAATTAAAGTGTAATTTATTTTATTTTTTCTGAAATGGATTACTTGGCTTGCGATAAAATATATCGTGTAAATTTTAAAATCATGTTCTATATTCGTCATAAAATGAGTTCAAAGTTTCAAAAATTTGCTATGTGTTTATTTTTCTATCGATCGAAGTTATTTAAATCGTGTATCTGTTACTGTAAAAGCTCGAACTGCAGTAAATCCTAAGATATTCCAGTAAAACCTAAGATCTACCAATTGCTAATGGTAAATGTCCCAAAAGGTTTGCGATTCGAACTCTTACCACCATTCCGTTGGTAAATCTTAGGATTTACATTAATGGCACGGTAAATGTTGAAAAACAAAAAAATGCACCTGCAGATCATCAGGATTACTTTGTAATTCTGAATGCCACAATAGCAATCCGTGTTGTAACAAGTGAAATATTTTTTTTAGGTACCTTATGTAGGTGAGATATTCAGAGATAAACGTTATGTGTTTTTTTCAAAATAATTTAAGTAAGTTGGTATTCGTTTGTACTTATTACTATCATATGATACCTTTATAATACTATGTACCTGTTTTGTCTAATAGTTCATTAAAGTAAATAATTAAGAATTACTCATTGTTTTATTCCTAAAACCAACATCTACCAGCTGACAGTGGTAAAACCTAGCATATACTGAATTCGAATGGTAAAAGCTCGAAAAAATCGTCGTATTTTCAGAAATACTTACATTTACCAACTCATGTCGGTAAATCCTAAGACTTACACTTAAATCTTAAGATTAACCGTAGTTCGAGCTTTTACAGTAACATATCGGATCTTTCAAAACGGATACATAAACTACTCAACTCCACCATATATTTTTTCTATTCGCCCTAGTTCAAGAAACGATGACAAAAAATGGAAAGAAACAATTTACTTTTTTGGAGTTTTGCGACCGGATAGGTCCTTAATTTAAAAACCGCGCACGTGCGTAGCGGCCATTAATTTGTTGCGGAATTATATTAAAACTATCGCATTAGTAATTAATAAAAATCAAATGATGGCTTGAGTTCTTTAAAATACGTGTGATAAATCTTTATTTGTTTAATTAATATAATGTTTGTGAAAAACCATTGCTAATAGGTATTATTTAATTATTAAAAAATATATATATTTGCTGCGTTTTTTATTTAAATAAATAAACGTATTAATATATTTGGAATAGCGAATATTTTGTAAATCAGTTGTAGGAAGTCGTAACGGAGTAGGTATACACATGCATATTATTTTATCTCTGGATCACGTCATCAGAATTGTACGAAGAGTGGTCGGCGGGAAATGTCATAATTTAGCTTCAAAAAGTAGCTACTGCTAGTACCTACAGGAAGGTTGCTGCTCTTGCTCCGACCTAAAGGTCCGACCTTAACGCGTTTCAGGGTATTCAGAAATTGTAGGTGTCGCTACAAGATTTATATAAAATTTTATCCAAAAACTATGATATCTACCACTTCTGGAGGAAAAATGATACTGCAACCTCCAACCTAAAGGGAGGGTCATTGTCCAGTGTATGACCACTGAATGGCTATATGATAGGGTGGACTAGCGGCTATAGCAAATTAAAAAGTAAGTAATACTTGAAAACATTGTGTTTACTTGTATATGAGAAAATATAATAGGTACATAATGACACCGCACATCAAAAGTAAAAGAACATAATACATATTCAAATGCAGTGCATTATAGACAGCATCACGACCTTCCAACAGTATATATCCTTAATTGATAACACGTTTCAGGGTATTTAAGGATTTTAGTTGTCGCTGCGAGATTTATTTGAAATTTCATCCAAAAACGTGGGCATATCTACCAGTTCTGGAAGAAGGATGATGTATCCAATGGTTTAAGTCGGGAAGTTGTATATTCGTATATATACTATGCAATATTTGGTTAGCACGATTCAGGGTTTGATGTCATATAATTTATTGTTGACACAGACTAATTACCCCGTAAATGCTACACGCGTGTAAACATCGCGAATTCTAGACTCAAAACCCTTCACAGATACAACACCAATAAAACAGACGCAAAACCCGACTGGAACTTAACCAAAATATAATAAACTATTACCTATATTAAATGACCATGCAATTTCTAGTGTAAATAACGTTCATGAAGTACGTACTTTCCTGCCAAAGCGTACGTTCATCAAATTTGCAGAAGCTATAAGCGGTCGTAAACGTTCGAGCCGAGTTTGCAAATCCACTTGAGGGTCGAAGCGAGGGTCGTCTGCAGCCATACGATATTCTATATTGCGATGTCTGAAGCCTCTATCGTCATATTCATATCTGAAATGTATCATAATGTAATAATAGGAAATATCCCAGAAATTCTTTTCCCAGACTTTAAGTCATTCTCATAAGTTCTACTTTGTTTTACACACTTATCGATAAAGTCAATAAAATAGCACATTCTAGCGATACCCAACCTTCACCATGCCTCCTGCTGATAGAGGACAAATCTTTGTTTTTAATTTATTATATTACTAGCGACCCGCCCCGGCTTCGCACGGGTATAAAATATATAGCCTATGTCACTCACTGAAAAAATTATTAAAATCGATCCAGTAGTTTTGATTTATTCAATACTGCCCGTGGCCCGCACGCGTTAAATTTGGATATTTTGATAAATCTCGTCACACATTACATTAGAAACCTCAAAAATAGCAGTATTTCTCCACTATTTAATGGATGTTATTATACATATAAACCTTCCTCTTCATTCACTCTATCTATTATAAAAAACCGCTACAAAATCCGTTGCGTAGTTTTAAAGAATTAAGCATACATAAGGATATAGGGACCAAGAAAGCGACTTTGTTTTATACTATGTAGTGATTATTAATTACTTAAGGAGTTATGTGGAAAATGGTGTAATGGTTGCAGCTCCTTACAAACATTGTGTAATAATATAGCTTTATCCATAAAAATTCAAACACATATACGCCACAAGATATTTACTAAGTAAAGTAATATAATTTTAATATTGTATTTATATTTATATGTAAAAACGGGTAAAAGGACGGAGGCGGATAGCCAAGGCATTCCTTTTCATAATGTTATCTATACCAATATTAGGAAGAAAGGTGCTGTTTGTTAGAATAACTTAAATAACTTACTTGGAGTTACAAAAAAATACTTACCACTAGAATGCAATACTCCTGAGTAATATAGGTAAACTATTTAGAAATTAAACGTTAAAGTAAACTGTAATTTAATTTGATAGAAAAATATAATATTAGCAAGGAATAGATGGTATATTAAATACATTTTTAAAAAATGTGAGCCGTCACGGGACGCCTGGCAGATGTGAAACATCGACATTATTTTGTAACAGTAATATGCAGAAAAGAGCAGATTGTGATAGTAAATAAATATGTCATAATGATAAAATAAAATATTACGATTTTTTTCCAGATAACGATGACTATTTATAGAATAAACATTTATTTTCATTAAATACAAAAAATTACGAATTTATTTCAAATCGTGACTACTTAATTCGTTTAATCAGTGACTTCCAAATACACACACCGTACACACTACTGCATATAGACTGTATATAAATATACCAACATATAGCGTGGCGTCGCCACGGCATGCGTCGCCACGCTAGAAATCGGTTTTACGTACGGCTATAGATGTTTCACATCAAAACAGGCAAATACATATAGTATAGCCAAAGAGATTTTATTACAAGTTCATACATAGTATAATGCGAAAAGACTTTTTCCCCAACCTAATATGTATACCTCAGTATAGCGTGGCGACCCGTCGCCACGGCAAGCGTCGCCACGACAACAATTCGGTTTACAAGTGAGCCTATAGATGTTTCACATCAAAAGAACATAGATTTTATTTTAAATATTAAAAACGGGGCGAGAAGCTGCTAAACTAAAAAGTCTATAATAAAATAAAAAATATTTCTTTACAATTTCACTATTTTATATTTTTTAAATAAAACAGGGCAGTAAACAAACTGCCTGTGACTCTAAACAACGCTGAACTCGTATTCAGATTCCGAATAAGGAATCTGTCGAGTCAGTTTGACAATAAATATTGCCGTTCATAAAAGTGAAATCAAGAAGGTAAAGACATCTGTTAATGTCGGGGCCTGGGATTTTATGTTTATCTGTTTCGTGTTAATTGGTTTCTATATCATAGCACCTTACAGGGCAAGGCAAGCCTTCTGTCTGACACGGTGTCACGGTTTTGAGTCTAAGGCCGGTTTCCTCACGATGTTTTCCTTCACCGTTCGAGCGAGTCTTAAATGCGCAACAAAGTTCATGCGGTGTTCTGCGGAGTTCTGCGGTGATCAGCCGGGGCTCCAGCCTACCCTAAGGATGAGAATCGCACGCGCGGCTCGGTGAGCGTAAGCTGGCTGTGTGTGGTGCACGGCCTAATAGCGACTGATTTCACTTGCCCCACGCCGCCCGCGCCTCACACTTCACCACGCTTTTCCATTTCCCAACACGAACTACGCGGCTAGTTAAGCTTTACCAAAAGGTGAAAAGAATGGTTCTTTGCAATAAATAAACTAATACCTGTGACAGACTGCCGAGATAATTATAATGATGGCAAGTTAATTATGAGATAGTAAAAGCTCAAAACACCCCTGATGAATTGGAGCTTTCATTAAAAATTCGAAGATTTTCAATTATAAACGTCAGATTTTATTTTACGTGCCAAAATGCTGAATAGAATATTTAGGATGGATGGACTCTCGTCGGGCCGGAGTTGCACCGCGGGTCGTTTTTTTTGTTGTTTTTTATACAATGGGGGTAAACGCTCCTGCCCGTTTCACCTGATGTTAAGTGATACCGCCGCCCATGGACACTCTCAATGCCAGAGGGCTCGCGAGTGCGTTGCAGGCCTTTTAAGAATTGGTACGCTCTTTTCTTGAAGGACCCTAAGTCGAATTGGTTCGGAAATACTTCAGAAATACTTCACAAAGTGGTGGTGCGCGGCAAAAACTGCCTTGAAAAACGCTCAGTTATGGAATTGCGGACATCAAGGTGATACGGGTGGAATTTCGTATTCTGTCTCTACGTCCGATGATGAAACTCAGTACTTTGCCAATCACTGGTCTAGACAAACATGTGTTACTAAAATAATATTTACCGTTCTCTGAATCGTTTCCGCGTAGGTCTGCCCCTCCGGGGTGACCTAGGGAGACGCTTTCGTCCCCGCCGTCCTTTCCTTTTTGGGGTCATAGTCGTGAAATTTGGCGGTGCGGGTTGATCATCAACCAATATGACAATTGGTGGGGCAGTTGTGGGTTCCAGCGTTGTTAGTTCAGTCGTGGTTGGTTCATCAAATTCCTCATAGTTTCCATCTCGTATATCTATCTCGTGTGTATCTAGGAACTGCCTGGCGAATCTACGGAAGTTAAGAGAAGTTGTGCTTAAATTATATTACTTTATATTATAATACAACATCCGTATAGGTTTCTCTACATGTGAATACTAAATTTACTAACTTTTGTGCCTGACACATACCCTCTCCCACTATCACACATACACAACACTCACATACACACACACTCACACACACACACCGTCACACACACACACACTCACATACACAAACTCACACACACACTCTCACACACACACTCACATACACTCACACACATACACACACACACACACACTCACATACACTCACACATACACACTCACACACACACCTCACATACGCCCATACAACTTTATTTGTACTAACTTCTAATTAGTTGACTGTTTTGTTTTTCTTTCTTTATTTATAACGCTAAATTTGTTTGCCTACCCATATATGTATGTACTTTTTGTAACCACTCAATATGACTATGCTGTGGAATGGAAGTCTGGTTATCCAAATCACAGGTTCTTACCTAGTTTGGAAACCAGTCTCCCAATACCTTCTCAACTGTAATCTTATTTTTTGTTGTAAATGTTATATGGGAGAAAATAAATTATTATTATTATTACCTTTCTGCCCAATGAAAGTTGTCCCCACAACCACCCCATTTAAACCTCGCATGGGGTTCTGAGGTTGCCTGTCGTGGGGGCCGCGGTGGAGCACGTGGAGGGGCTGCGCAGGAGCAAGCAGCGAGCGAGCCCGACGCGCAAGCACGCGCCACGCTCCATGACAATGCGGCCGCCGACATTGCGTATACGTACGCTTGCTCTCGTGTACCTTTAAAAATAAATGTAAAAAAGCAATAGTCACTAAAGGGTTAATAATTCTTTCCTCCAATTTTGATTTAGTTTCAAGTCCACCGGCGCTAATTAAAGGTTTAAGAGTCTGGTAGATAGTACCAGGTCACCGGTGACCCCAGAGCTGGTGCTTTCCTCGCTCAACGAATATATGGGTGCAAATTAATATAATTATTATATTGTTACAAAAATATTTAAATAACTATTTGTGATCAACTTAGAACTTTAATACACAAAAAATATTAGACACTGTATTGACTTTTTATCTGTTTTAAAACATTGGGTATTTAATTTATTGCTTAATTATTCATATATCTTCAGAAACATTCAAAGTAAAATTAATTAGAATTAAATAAAATTATTATGACACTTATTTTTATGCTTTAAGTAATAAACAACATATTTAGTAGAGCAATCTGTTGACGAACTTTGTATAGTGACGTTTCGTTATTAAAATAAATCTTTTGGAGTTATGTAAAATTAATTATAATATTAATGTTGATCTTAAAAGTCGACGGCGTGTGTCAGGCACTGGAGGCTGATCACCTACTTGCCTATTCGATTTAAAAATGATCACGAAACAGATTCAGAAATCTGAGGCCAACCTAAAATGGTTGTAGTGCCGCTGATTTTTTTTATATATTTTAATAATATTACATTACTTCATTAAAAAAATGCATTTTCATTTGTAACAGAACTTATGGCTGGAGTAGGTATAAAGTGTTGAATTATTTTTTTATAAAATCCCTTTACTGGATTTTTCCAGTCTTAACTGATGTCCTGCATAGTTGCCACACCACACTGCAATACTCGATATGACTACGGACCAAAGCGTAACATGTTATACAGCGCTTGCTGTTTCTTATAATGAATTCTGTGCGCGGTAGAAAACGCTCAGTTGTGGAACGGCGGTCGTCAAGGTGATGCGGGTGGAATTTCGAAGTCTGGTTCGACGTTCAATGATAAAACTCAGCTGAAGAGCTGCTTTAAGCTTTTGTTGTTTTATTATGACATTTAGTTTCAATATCTGCTAACAGCTATTAATGAGAGTAGCGGAGTTCGTTGCCAGTTCTCGCCCGCCATCTTGATTTGGTAACTTACACGTAGGTTTAGTAAAGTAAAGTAAAAAATCATTTATTCACAGGTAACACAATGTACACTTATGAACGTCAAAAAATAAATATACATTAAATGCTTCTAATTTTACATTTAATGCCAGTTCCCAAATCAAGGGCGTAGAACGGAAGAGAAGAACTGGCAATAAACTCTCCGCCACTCTTTTTAATCGCCTACTTTTTTGTTTTACACAACGTTTGTAAGGAGCTGCAACCATTACACCATGTTCCACATGACATCTTAAGTAATAAATAATCATAAAATTAATTAAAAACAAAGATTTGTTCTCTATCAGCAGGAGGCATGGTAAAATAGGAGCACGCACTTACATTTTCGTGGGAACAACACGCAAATAAATCGTCAAAATAACTAACATAGACATAGTTACCAATATGAATGAATAAACTATGATTTGTTCTAATATTTTAGCTTTTTTGTTCTGTTGTAGTAAGAACTTACTTACGACCACCAACAGATGGCGTTGTGTTCCATATATTTGAGTATGTTGAGAGTTTTTTCTTTCAATACATATTTTTAAAAACGTTAATGAGTCATTTATCCAATTTTGAGTTTTAATTATAGTTATTTTATATTGCTCTTTGTTATAATAATAATAATAAGCCTCTTATCCTGAACTCTTTCTACATAGTTTAGTATGTTGGGTCTTAAGATATCTCTGGTATGTGTTTTGGGTAGTGTGGATGATGGATTGTTCAATATTGCTTTCTTGTTAGTTTTCTTTTCTAATGGTGCCTTTGGTGAGTCGGAAGTTTCTCTTTTCCTCTTCTCTCTATTTTCTTTCGGCTTCTTTACAATGAGCTTGTCGTATTTTATATAGGCGATATTTCCTTTCTTTATTTCTTCTTCTACTTGCGGTTGCAGTTGTTTGCGTTTGTCTAGGATTTCTTTGGGGTAGTCCTCTTTTATGTTGACGCCTTGTGGAAGGTCAGGCTTATTTTTGAGTATAAGATGTTTTTTCCATTGAGTTGTGATGGTGACTATCACTGGACGGTTTTTATTATCAGTTTTCTGCCCAATTCTATATACTTTGCTAATTTCTTGGCTATCCATATGAACTCCCATATTCACAATTATTTCTTTGATATAATCCACTAACTCCGTTTCTAATTTAATATTTTCATTGATTCCAAAAAAGACGAGGTTGTTTTTTCTCTTTTCAATCTCTGCTCTTTGGAGTTTAAATTCCAGTTCTGAAATTTTGTTCTTGAGTTTAGTATTTTCCACAGTGATAGTTTTCATTTTCTCGTCTAAAGCCTCCATGACGCTCTTAGTAACGGAGTATGTAATAAGTTCGGTTTGATTTTTAAATTTCTCATCGAGTTTGTTTAGAAGCAGTTCCATGTTCTTGTCCATGACTAGGGAAATTTCGTTTCTTGTGTGGTAGCACTGGTAGTCAGCTTTTATTTCTTTTGAGTGGCAACACTACTATTGTCAATGTCACTGTCACAATGGCGTAATGTTGGTATTGGTATTAAGCTAAGCTGAGACAAGTCTATTGTCTATGCCCGTTATTAATTTGAGGTTATAATTCTGAAGGGGTTTTTCAACAATTATCGCACGATATTTAAGCACTCTCACTGTGTTCTTTTATTAGTTGTGTTTAATGAACTTCGTTTTAATGTTTTTACGTTTCACAGCACGAAAATGTCACTTTAAAACACTATTTTACGATTAAAATCCGCGGACGACGTTGACGTACATGTTAACAGTTTTTTCTTTGTTATTTGTGTGCAAAGCAGGTTCAGGAATTAGCGAAATTAATTTGTGAAAAATACTTCACGTAAGAAAAACATACACAAATATGTTTAGGTATTCGTAAACATGATAAGATCAGCACGTTAGTTAGACAATAGGAATCAGGCTATCGCTTGAGGGAACATAACTGATTCCTTACGCTGACTGACTCCCTGATTCATGCGTGGAATTAAGTCTTTTGTCCAAAACTCATCCGGGATGATCGATCCAATTTAAGATAGCGTTAAGATCGAAATGCCAGTAGAGATTTGCGACATGATTTATTCGGGGTCAACATAGCGGGAAGACTGTTTTTTCTTAATAAGGGCCGCGAGTAAAGTGACATTTAATCATGCGTTGGCCTTTGAGGGAAGAGTCCACTCTTTGCGAAAAAAACATAGATCATTCAAAACGCACAAAAAGAAATATAGAAGATTTTTAACAAATTTTAGATTTTGTATTTTTTTGTCATTAAAATTGTATTTTATATTTTGTGGGTTGAGTCAAATACAATTTTAAAAAATGTGAGCCGTCACGGTACGCCTGGCAGATGTGAAACATCGACATTATTTTGTAAAAGTAATATGCAGAAAAGAACAGATTGTGATAGGAACTAAATATGTAATAATGATTAAAGAAAATATTACGGATTTTTCCAGATTACGATGACTATTTATTGAATAAACATTTATTTTCATTAAATACAAAAAAAATACGAATTTATTTCAAATCCTGACTACTTAATTCGTTAAATCAGTGACTTCGAAATACACACACCGTACACACTACTGCATATAGACTGTATATATATACCATAATATGGCGACGCGTCGCCACGCCAGTAATCGGTTTTACGTGCGGCTATAGATGTTTCACATCAAAAATCTACAGCCTAGCGATTGTAGATTAATATTGAGGTGTATTCACGTTCTATATTTACGTGCAAAACGAAACATACTGATTAAGAAAATACTTAAATATCTTTTCATCATAGCGTAAAAACGGAATACGAAAGAATTTTTAAAGAGTGCAATTTTAATAAAAATAATAAATTTATAAATTATATTGTTTATTAAAACTTAAACATAACAATCAATTTATAGTATTTACAATTATCTAGCTACTAAAATAATAAAATAAAATTAAATAAGTGTGGTCCCTGAGGCAGAGTGTACCTTTAATGCTGGGAGCATTTCCTCGCTGTATTGCAATACTTGTATTGTATTAATTATATATTTTGCCATATTTCCATACCAGAAAATTATATGTTGATGTCTGAATGTGCAATTTACCCCCAGCTATATTTTTATGAAATTGAAAATGCTATAATTTTTTATGAAGTTATTTCATGGGAAATGTCTGGGCTAGCATTTAGACATTTACGCTCATTGCTGGCGGACTATAGATCCACTAAATTATATTTTAAGTTTACGTGAAATCGACGAAATTGTGTCGTATTTACAAATAAAATTATATGTACGAGTATTTGACAAAACATATTTTGGGTCCGGTTTTTATTAAAATAATTATAAACCGTAATTATTTTATTAATTATGGTAACATTTTTATGGTCACTGCTGGCTAATACACTAAATTGTATTTTAAGTGAATTCAACAAAAAATGTGTCATATTTATTCCACATTTTCCAATGAACTATCAGAAGCTACTTCAAAATGTACTACCAAGATAGGCAATTTGTCAAGGAACTACAATCATAGCAGACATATAGAGAGACTAAAAAATTAATGTAAAGAGGCAAAATAAATGAATCTTTCAGACGTGCTCACCCTAATACATTTTAATTAAAACTTTCAGGGTTTCTGCGGTGGCTGGTCGCAGTGAACTTTATTTGCGCTAATTAGGTGCTTTTGTAAGCTGGATTTAACAGGAACTTCATACTTTTTAAATTTCATTAAGTTTAAAATTTCATAAATGTGACGTCACTGGAGCGTTCAAGTATTACGTCACGCAATTTTTGGAGATTAGTAACTGCCCCCCCGAGGAGCCTCATAGCCTAGCGGTCTTATTAAGTGGCAGCTAGGTGAGGGGTACCGGGTTCGATTCCCGGTTCGAGGGCAAGTTTTAATTTAAATTTGTTCTCGGCCTTT